GGAGGAGGAGGGAAGGTGCACGAAGAAGAGGACGGAGAGAAAAAGAGAGGCTGTTTTTCCGATCCGTCACTTCCGCGAGGCGTGGCACGGCGTGGCGTGGCGTGGCACGGCGTGGCGAGGCGTGGCGCGGCGTGCGACAGCCTCTCTGCAAAGTAAATCTATACGGGCTAATTGCCTGCTGATTTTCATGCATAGTAACCAGCTGTGGCTGCAAGGGCGGCCCGGCGAGAGGGAGGGGGAGGGAGGGGGAAGGGTCCTGCGTCCCAGCGGGGTGACGGAGACCGACGTGTCGCCGGTTTTTCTCCTGGAGCCCGGCAGCCCGAGCAGGCAGCCCGGCCAGGCAGCAGGCCCGCAGGCAGCCTGTTTGACACGAGGGAAAGTTATTTGGCGCACCCCGCTGCCTCAGTGTGCCCCGCCGCCTCGAGCAAGTTTGAACACCCAGGCCGGAATAGGCGCAGGGGTGGCTTTAGCGTGTACAAAAAAAAACCGCGCAAAAAACAAACAAAACGTTGGCTGTGTTGCTTCGCGCGTTAATTCGTGTCTCCTTGTATTTCAGACAAGTTCATTCCTCTCCTCTGCGCCAGCCTCGCGGTTTTCCCGCGCGCGCGTAGTTTGAAATATTTCGGTTTTTATTTAGATAATGGTCAAAGGTTTTTTTTCTGCCGCTTTTTTTCCTGCCGGGGTGCGTTGCAAGGGTCCGACCAAGGCGGGTCCAGGGGAGGTCCAGGGAGGCCCGGACAGCGGCGGCCGTGGCCGATTTCAAAAGAAACGACGGTCAAATTTATGAGGAGGAAAGGCGCTTTTCGTCGTGAATATCTCGCCGGCCACATCTCATTAATCTCGAGAACACATAGCTCGGGGCGGAAGGGTCCGAAGCGAGGCGGGCGCGGCGGGCCAGGCCCCCTGGGGGTTCGGAAAGGGGGGAGGGGGGAGGGGGGGGTGACGAGCAGGAGGACCCCGCGGATCGCGACGAGTCCAAACGACTGGCTTTTGAAATTGAGACCAACTGGCGCACCGGCCGGGTAGCGGTTGCAAAACGCCTGCGCTGCGCGCGCTGGCGAGGCGGGGGTAGGGTTGCCACCCTGTCCGCCCCCGGAAAAGGGGGGTCGGTTGGCAACGCTAGTTTCTGTGCGGTCTGTGTCGGGGGTGGGGGGGAAACCCGGCGGCAACAAATCATGATTATTTCGAGATGTTTTGGTCAGCGCCGCACTTTATCAGGGCCGATCCGGACCGGTGTGGCGAAAGGGAAACGGGCTGCAGTTGCCCTCACCGGCCGAACGAGGGGGAGAGAGAGGAAGAGGAGGAAAGAGTTGGAAGAAACAGAACAAGGAGACAAGGGAAGGAGGAGGAGGAGCGCCAGCAGGAAGAAAACGACAAGGTGGTTCGGCCACATCATCAATCCGATTTTGCGGATAAGAGATGTACGAGGGTGGCGGTGGCGGCCGGAAGGGGGAAAAGGGGAGGGGGGGACAATGCGACTGAGCCGCCGCCGCGCATGTGTCGGAGGAACAAAAAGGGGTGGCTAAGGAGACGAGTAAATCTGCGGGACTTTGCGTGGGCGCTTGTGTGCGTGCGAGTGCGCGTGTGTGTGTGTCTGCGTCAGTCAATGCGTGCGAGTGCCAGTGAGAGAGAGTGAGAGAGAGAGAGAGAGAGAGAGAGAGAGAGAGAGAGAGAGAGAGAGAGAGAGAGAGAGAGAGAGCGTAACTCCGCCCCTAGGTGGCGTCGACACGTCATCCTGGCGCGGTCCCCGGAGGCTGGTTCGAAGCCCCTCCTGCCCGGCATGGCGGCATGGCAGTGTGCTTGGCGGCTTGGCGCGGCGGCAACGCGGCCGGGCCGGCCGGGCTGCCAAGGCTACACCGAACCGCAGAAACCAATTCGAGGCGGAAATGATTATTCATACACCGCTCGGTAGGGCCAGGGCGGCCGGGCCGGCTCATTCTCGAACAGTGATTTTCGTTTGTCTCTCTCGCACTCGCGGCTCCGCGCCGCGTGGTGTGCGAGGGAGCCAGGCGGGAGGGCGCACGATGTGACGCGCCGTCCCTTTGCCGCCGGGTGGACGCTCCGTTTTTCAGCCCTTGGCGTCTTTTCCGCCCTTTCTATCCGCCCTTCAGTCCCTTTTTTGGGCCGCCTCCCTGATCCCCGCTTGCCCCGCTTGCCACACCACCGTCAAGTGATAGTCCCGCCTCCCGCCTTCGTAATTCTTTGCCCCGTCGGTACGAAACACTATCATTAGGGGCAGGTGGTGCTTCCAGCGAGCTTCCAGGCGGCTTCCAGTGAGGGCCCGGCCCAGCCCGGCCCAGCCCGGCCCAGCCCGGCCCAGCCACCCCCTGGTCTGGCCTGCCTCGGGCCTGCCTCGGGCCGGCCCACTCCGGCGGCGGGCGTAATCTATCGGAATTACCCTTAAAGGGCCATATCCCGGCTGGATTGGACGCCGCTAGCCCCGCCGGCCGCGCCTTCCCTGTCGTTGCCACAACGAGTCCATCGCGGCAAGCCTTCCTCGACAGCTCGGCCCCTTTTTTTCCCGCCTTCGCTTGCCTCTCCTCGCGGATTCGCCCCGACGTACGCGCTAACGCGCAAAGTGGGAGTGGAGTGCGCCCCGGCCGAACACGAGGCCGAACAGCGGCGCAGCGGCGGCGCTCCGAACGGCTGGATTTGATGAAGGCGGGACTGACTGCGTGACGGGCTGTCTGGCCTAGTCTGGCCCTGGCGCGCCCGGGCGTTCCAGCCGTCACCCGTGCGCGGTACAGAGTGTATTGCCCGCCCCGCCCCGCCCCGCCCCCGCATTCCACCACTACAACGCCCCTCCCCACACTTCGGCCCACGTGCTGACTAAGCAGCAACATGGCGGCAATGCGGCAGTGTGACAATGATGAGAGCCCCCCTCCCTGCCTGCCTCTCTCTCTCTCTCTCTCTCTCTCTCTCTCTCTCTCTCTCTCTCTCTCTCTCTCTCTCTCTCTCTCTCTTTCCCCACACCTTCTCTACCCTCACCTCCTTTCCCGTTCGTGTCAACCAAGGTTGCAATGTTCCTCACGAATACGGTGCGTTAGTGTTACTTTTCCTATCAAAAATACCCACGCAGTATGACAAAATGTGTTCCGAAATAGTTATGGAAAATATCGCAACACTGTGGGCAGGCGGGCAGGGAGGCTTCTAATAAGCCGAAGACAAGTTTCTAGTTCGGCTTCAAGAAGCCAAAGGCGAGGAATGTGGCCGTCCGAGACGCAACCTTATTCGTGCCCCCCCCTCCCCCCTCTTTCCCAGACTACTTAGAAACCCTCGGGGGCTCTTATTTCGGCCATTGTTCCCGGCCAGTGTGTTGTGGCGTGCCACGGCGTGCCACGGAGGGACGTGGGTGCCGGCTGATTCCGAACGGCAAAATCATCGCTCTGTCTCTCTCGCACCCCTACGGAACCCCCCACGAGAGCGAGAGAGACACAGTGTGCCGGCCGCCCTGCCCACGACCATGGCCCGCACTCGCTCGCTTAGCTCAGCTCTTTCTAAAGTGTCCTCCGCCGCTCCGCCGCTCCGCCGCCACACTGCCCGCACGAGCTCCTCGCCGACACACCAAGGGTCGAGTCCGGAACCTCCTCGGGAAACACCACCGCACGTGGAGTGTAGTACGTGTAGTACGAGAAGTACACGTGAAGTGTACTTAAGTGTCTGATGGAGCTTTTTTTCAGTTCAGCTTCGCGGCCGCCGGGAGGGTAGGCCACCCATTCACCACCCGGCGAGTGTAGGCACATCCACCGCACTAGGAGGGAAGTCGCTCTCTTCGACGGGAACGTCGAAATAGTTCCGCCTTCCACGTGCTGCAGTCGGCGCGAAGATGCACACCCTCCCCCACCCCCACCCCTTTCAAATTTCCCGTCGGCATTAATCTCCCCATTGTCCCAGCGCGCGTCTTCTCGGCTGGCGCGGCGCGGCGCGCTGGTTCGCCGGGCCTCCGCCAGGGCGCGCTGTTGCTAGCGGCGGTCCACAGTGGGCCAGAAGACCGATGGAGGAGGCGGCCAAAATTCTGCACGCGTTTTGAGCTCCAGAGTCGCTAAACAGGACTCGAACCGAGCGTGTGACCCCACCAATGGATTTCTCGTTAGGAGGGTCATGTGGTGGGGTCCATTGGTGGGGTCACACGTTCGGTTCGAGTCCCCTTCAGCGACTCTGGAGTTCAAAACGCGTCTCGAGTTTTGGCCGCCTCCGCCGGCCATCTGGCCCACTGTGCGGCCCGGCGGCGCGCGAGTGGAACGGAGCCGAACGGAGCGAAGCGAAGCGGCGGCAGGAATTCGCTCCGCCCGCCAACAATATCCCATGAAATACTGCAGTTTTCGCTTTCGCCAAACAATCGTGTGATGTATATCCCGCCGCCAATTTCCAATTATGTGGTGGCGAGCCGGGGCGAGGAGTGGGAGGGGGAGGGAGGGGGGAGAAAGGGAGGGGGGATGAGCTGGTGTATCGACTACCGCAATAATTTGTGCCCCGAAGTAAAAATGGTGCTAATTCGATTTTGAAACGGGGCCACGCCGCGCCGCGCCGCGCCGGGCGGTGCGCGGGCTGTTCCGCGGCGGCGGGGCGAATTTAACAAGAATTAGCATGGCTGCAAATTGGTAACGCCAACGCCGCAGCTGGCAGCGCCGTCGGGGCGGCCAGGGCTGGGCAGGGCTGCCAGGGTACGGCCGGCCGCAGAATGAGAATCGAGAAAAAGCAAGACGGGCGGAGGCAGACTTGATTAGAATGGGAATTGGACCTTTTTGGGCGGGTAATAAATTTACAGTTTGGGGCGCCAAGTTTGGGACAATGCGCTTGGTTCTCGGCGGTGCGGCTGCTGCCCTTGCGAGGTGCGGCGCGGCGTGCTGGTGGTGGTGGAGGTGGCCGTGGTGGTGGTAGGGGGGAAGGCTCAAAGGGAAAAGCACCTCGAAAACAATAACATGTATTTACAATGGCCTTACAAACGAGTCAACAAGAAATGGAAGTTTTGGTTTGGGTTGCTGGCGGTTGGAGGAGCGCTACTGCTGCACGAGGGCCTTGAGGTCCTTGGCCCTGGCGTAGTAGGCCCTGCTCCTGGCAATGGCGTCCTCGGCCGCGTACTTGGGGGTGTACCGCAGGCGCGTCTCGGCGCGCAGCCGGCTTAGCGACACGAAGGACGACAAGTAGCGCACCAGGGCGCTGGGCTGCACGGGCAGCTGCGACTTGGTCCACGACGCGAGGAGCGTCTCGGCGGCCACGGCGGCGAGGTACGACGTCCAGGCGGGCAGCGGCCAGCCGCGGACGCGCACCAGGGACGGCGTGCCCACCCCCGACACGTCCGGGAACGTGAGCAGCATCTGCGTGAGGCGCAGCAGGTCGCCGCGGGGGCTGTCGTCCGTCACGAAGACGGCCAGGCCGGCCACGGACTGGGCCTCCACCGTGTCCGAGAGGCACTCCGCCGCCAGCGCGCGCCCCGCGCACACGTGGGCCCACGCCACGTTGCCTGCAACAGAGAGACACGGTCACGCACACGGTCAAGGACTCGGGGACCCTCTCGGCGTACCTATCCGGGACGCGCCGCGAGTGCGAGAGAGACAGAGCGTCGTCTCTGACATGCGGTTTCGGAATTTCCTATGCACAGCCGGGACGAAAACCGAAAGGGGCGGGAGGGGCGGTTTTAACTCGACCGATGCGCAGCCTGACGCGCGCCTATTCCAATTTTCCGTCGGCTGTGCGTGGTGGCGAGTGGCGTTGTGCGGAATTTTGCCGCCAGGGTACGGCCCCTTGCCAGTTCCTGGGGCGGGCGGGGGCGGCGGGGGCGGCGCTGATCCAGGGCTGATCCTCGGCACACCACGTGTGGCGTTATAGTCGCTCGAGGGATAGTTTATGGCGCAACTCGCTCCAAGTACCATTGTACCATTGCGGCACTCCATTCCGCTAATGAGGACCGCCACTGTAGGGGGAAGGGAGGGGAGGGGGGACCGCGCCGCCGTCCGCGCCGCCGGGACGACACCACCAGTAATTGATATCAGACGCAGGTGCCGCCAGCAGCGCGCTCTATCGGAGAGCGTGGGCACTGCTTGGTATGCAACAAACACTAAGACTCCGCCCCTCCCCCGGCGCCTCCCCGCCGCCCCCGGCGCCGCCCCCGGCGCCGCCCCCGGCAAGGCTAACGATCAAAGCGCACGCAGCCACGCAGTGCAGCGGTGCCGAGCCGCTCGGCCAATCAACGAACTGCGAAACTTGGAAACCATTTGTGCGGCTAGCGCCGTGCTAGCGCCGTGCTGCCGTGCCGGGTAGCGCCGGTCCGGCCGGTTCCTGTCTCTCTCGCACCGCGACGGGGCGGCCCGCGAGAGCGACAGAGACGGAGCGACGGGGTGATTGGCAGTGTACAGTGTAGGCGCGGGGAATCTCCGCGCCGGAATCGGGCCGAGCTGCGTGAGCTGCGTGCCGCGACAGGTGGTGCATTTAAATGGCGCGATTCGGTCCCGGTCGCCGCTTTCCGAAGAGCGCCGCGTCGCTCTGTCTCTCTCGCACTCCCGTGCGGCCAGCGGGACGCCACGCGAGTGCGAGAGAGACGGAGCGACGGAGGCGCTGTTAAGCTCGGCCCGGCATTGCGACGCGATTTGGCGATCAAATTCGCGGGGCGCGGGGCTCGGAATTCCTCAGGCCCGGCGCCGCGCGCCCTCTGCCAAAAGCAATACTTGGCTCCGCCGCCACTGCCGGCCTGCTAATCGCGGCCCTGGAGTGCGAGAGAGACAGAGCGGCACTGCCATGGCACTGCACTGCATGCTTACCCACGTAGGCGTGCTGCTGCCGGTTGGCCGCGCCGCCGAGCTGCAGCAGGGTGTTGTCGCAGAGCTTGGCGAGGCGCAGCAGCGCGGGCACCAGGCTGTGGTCCTCCTCGCCGTACAGCAGGGGCGGCCGCAGCGCCACGGTGCGGAGCACGCCGCCGTCCTGCAGCGGGGCCCCGTTGGCCTGCAGCGCCACGCGCTCGGCGCGCAGCTTGGAGGCCGCGTGCGGCGGCAGCACGTCGGGGTCGCTGGGCGGCAGCGCGCGCGCCTCGGTCTGGTTCACGATGACCGTGAAGGAGCCCATCGCCTTGCCCAGCACGCCGCGCAGGTAGGGCACCATGATCACCTCCATGCTGGACGTCACCACCAGGCGCGGCACGCTGAGGCGCTGGCACAGCGCCACCACGGCCTCGGTGGCTGCGGGCAGAGCAGGCGTTGTCAGAGGTGAACAAGCGCAGCAAGGAGCCTCAACTCACTCCAATAGATGATTTTACTGATGAGTTTTTGTTGTTTTTTAGCGTACCCTGGACGTTGTTCCGGTGCAGGGCGCCCAGGTCGGCGGGGTGCGAGCGGTCGTCGAGGCCGGCGCAGTGGATGACGAGGTCGGCGCCGCGGAAGGCCTCCTCGCACGCCGCCACGGCCTCGGCGGCCTCGTCGGCCAGGTCGGCGCACGTCCAGTGCACCGGCACGCGGGGCGACGCCGCGCCCAGCAGGTTGGAGTACGGCCGCACGTCCACCACGCGCACCTCGCGCACCGAGGCTTCGGCCTGCAGGTGCTTCACGACGTGCTGGCCCAGGAAGCCGCTGCCGCCTGCGGACAGAGAAGGGGGACGTCAAACCAGCCTCGCCAGTTCGAATTCAAGCCTCGAAAGCCCCTGCAAACGGGCGGGTAGGCAACCCGGCCGCACTCCTGCGCGGCGGCTGGCCTATGCGCCGCTCGTCGGGCGCGCTCGTCCTGCGTCCTCGCTGCCTCCGTCCAGCAGTCGGCGGCGGTGGTCACGGTCACTCACGTAGTTGAGAGACCAACTTGGCCGGGACTACCCACCTGCCACACACACACACACGCACACGCTCCCACACAGCAAGCACGCGGCGTGGTTGACCCTGACGACTGCGACGACCCCCTCCGGCGTGCCGGACTGCGTAACAGAGCGGGCCGGCCGGTGGCTGGCGGTGGCTGGCGGTGGCTGCCGGTGGCGCGGACAGGGTTGGCTGCCCGCTGGCCTTGGACTGGGTTACGCCACCGGCACGCCACCGGCACGTCGGCCCCTTCACGTAGGGCGACTGTTTGGACGGCACGGCGGCACCCGATTCCAGCCAGCTAGTCATCCCCGTGCGCCCAGCGCGCCCAGCGCTCGGGGCCTCTGCCTTTGCCGGCCAGCGGACGGCCTGTTTGAAGAGGCTGGCGCCCTGCAAATATTTTGTAGAGCCCCCACAGCGGCGGAGCGGCGCGCACACAGACACTCTCACACACGGCCTGAAAGGGAAGGCCCAATTGGAAGCGCGCCGTTCGCCCTGCCGTGGCAGTGTAGCAGCGCAGCGGCGTCCCATTAGGCACACTGATTTGATGGTGTCGGCGACTCGGCGATCGAATCCAATGATTCGCCCACTTCGGACCTTCGGAGGGCCGAGGCTCGGTTCCCGTCAAAGGCAATGCCGGAATCAGCAGGATAATGCCGCCGAGTTCTTTTCTCTCTCGGTGTCGTGCAGGCCTCCGCATCAACTAAGTAATTACCATGCTACGAAAATTAAAAAAAAAAAAAAAACGGAGAATGTTTGAGTTGAGTGGGGCTCACCTGTGACTACGACCACTTCCTTGCCGGCCTCCATGTCTGGGCGGGGGGTCTTCAACAGGAACTGCGAACGCTGAACTTGGCGGGGGGTTGAACCCGGTACCACGCACTGCCTAGCCCAGCCTCCTCTTCGGAGTACCAGCCCGTCTTGAGCCACGACCGGACACGACTGGCTTGTTGTGGGCGGTGGCAGTGAAAGTCATGCTGACCGGCACCTTGGCTTTGACATGGCACGGCGTGGCGGGGCGGCCGGGGTGGGGGTAGCGTGCGGGTAGCGTGCGGGCTGCATGCCCCACGCGATCCGCACGCCGTCTTGTTAGGAATCCGGCGGCTTTTTGGTCGTTGTGACATGACGCCGTGCCGCCCACCAAGCCTCAGGACGGCGTTCGAGATCCTCCGTCTCTGCCGCCTTGGCCGAGGCCTCGCAGGAGCGACAGAGACAGGCGGTGCTTTCGCACTGCCTTCGCACGCAGCCCCGCCCCGCGCTCAGCACGTGTCGTGCGGTCGCCGCCTTCCGTCTTAGCGTTTTACAGTGCAGCATCGCGGCATCGCAGCGCCGGGACTCGGCGATCTCCTTCGCGATACGGCGGCGCACGCCGCCAGGTGTCGCGCTGTCTCTCTCGCACCCTAGGGCACGCTGCAGGCACGCTCCGCGAGTGCGAGAGAGACAGCGCGACAAAACACCCAATTTATCGGCTGGCGCCACGTCGCTGACGCCACACGAGGATTCAAGCATGGACCGCGCGTCATTCGGCCCGGACGTGTCTCCATCTCTCTCTCTCTCTCTCTCTCTCTCTCTCTCTCTCTCTCTCTCTCTCTCTCTCTCTCTCTCTCTCTCTCTCTCTCTCTCTCTCTCTCTCTCTCTCTCTTTTTCCCCCCATCGGGTCTCGAGGCGCCGATTCAACGGTGACTGGAGGGCGTGACCAAATTTCCAGGCCCCCCTTTTCTTTTAATTCATCGCTCCGTTTTAGATTTGTTTGCAATTTATTTTCCTGTACGGAACGTGTCTGCTGGAAGCACAGGGCAGGTAGCAGGCATCGGCTCCAGAGGAAACGTACCGCGTCATTTTTCCACTAGCGCGACTGCATAAACACGGCAAGGCAGGCGTTATGCGATAAGTAACCAGACGGTAGCCGGCCGTACACCCACTGTAAAGCCCGCGGCGTTTCGCGGCGTGCCCGTCGGGTCCCGAACATCAAGGTTCGTTCCCTCAGTGGGCAGTTGGCACCACTGGGTTGCAATAATTTTGTTTTGCCCACAATGTAATTTAGTCATGGTGCGAAAATAAAAGTTTTGCTCAGAAGAATAAATACATTAGACACAGCTTGCTTCTTTAAGACTGTCTTGTTTATTGACCATCTTTGTATCACTGTTAGACAAACATTTACTTTGACCCGAGACACGAACAAAATCAATGGACTAAGAGAAATAAGGCACAAATGTAAAAATAAATAAACAAAACAAGTTTTAAAAAATGGAAAATGTACCGTATCAAAAAGTTCACAGCTATTACAAACATCACATGAACAACACAGGCATTCAAAAAACCAGACCAATGCTGGGAATCTCTTTACAGTACAAGGCAAAATACCTTCAGTCATTTCATTCTTAACATTGTGAGGAGATTGAAAATTTTTAAAATAAAATACATCAGAATCAATTTTTCATTTCAAATAAAAAAATTGCATTTCTTAATTATTTACCAATTGAAGACATAATCCATAGCTCTTGATACAAAACTTGTGCTTCTCTGTGGTGTATGTTGAGGTGAGACAATCTGGAACAAAACAGATTGACTTAATAGAATTCCAGACAGACAGAATAGGAACTCAACACAAACATGTACTTACATCTCCTACATGTGCACTGGAGAAGGCTCTCTGAAGTGGTCTTACACTGTGAGGGGTTCCAAATGGACTAGCTACACTAGACTGAGGCAGACCCATTGACGGGGTTCCAAATGACATGTTACAGGCAGCACTCATTCGGGACATGTTTGGGTCTCTATTAAAATTCTCCTTACTGATGTCAACAATAGACTGAAAAAACAAACAAGCATTTTGTGTTAGGCTACCAGTGTGGGTGACTTTTACTTTGAAAATAGTTGTTTGCATCACTTACAGGGTCAGTGCATGGCATTACTCCAATCATAGTATTGCCTCCAAATATCTTCCCATTATTTCCAAGAGCGCGTCTGACTTCAACACGAGTTTGGTACTGCAAATGCATCCAGTTCCCTTGAACAGGCAATTGCTTGTCTACTATATTGCCATACCGAGCAAACTGAGCAAGTATTGATGAAGTGGCAGAAGTTGGAAAGCCAAAGATTGTCACCCAGTTACTAGAGAGAGGCTCGTTTGCTGTCCACTGAGGATGTTGTCCTGGAGTAACAGGTGGTGGTGGTGATGAGGCTAGCAATGAAGCATTCAGATTCCTGTGCAAACAGAAATTGCCACCTAAATGTTAGGACATTGAAATTTCAAAAATTGACGCGGAAATAATGATATTTATTACTTACGCCTGAAACATTGATCCATCAGCTGGCTTTGTTGGAGAAAGAAACGGAGACTGCTCTGACGATGGGCGCAAGGTGTCGAACAGGCCAGTGGTTGGGGGTCCAGATCCCTTCTCACTTTGACCTAGGAGACCGGAGGCTGCTGGTGCCCTGAAATCATGGCCCAGCTGTTAGAGGTGCACATCAAAACAGAAAATAGGATTGGAAATAATGCCAAAGTTCGCCTCTGCTCGCCATTCCAGAGATTTCAGAAGATAACATACCTATTGATTCGAGAGTCGGCAGAGCTGAGAGCAGGTCCTAGGCCACCCATTGAGGGTGGTGAGAAGGTGACGTGCCTACCACTTCCTGGGCTTGTTGGGCTCATTGCTAGTTGGCGAGCGTTGCTTGGTCCTGGATGCGATTGTGTGAGCGATTGATTCAAAGACTGATTGAAGTCGCTTTCACCTAGCAGGTATTGGGGCAGATACTGTGGCATACCACCCATTGACACTGGGCTGCCCACTGGTGAACCTAGGGCCATTGGCTCCATGATGACTGCAACACGAAACAAAGTGCAATGAAGTACCTGCTGTACACGCAATACCTAAAACATTATGCAGTGTAAGAGCTAAACTGCAGCAGCACGAAAATTAAACACACAGAAAAAATGAGTCAAAAAGCGTAGTCGAAAGGAACAAAACCACAGGCGGCGAAAAATTACGACGCCAAATTGGAATTCACGAAGATCATGGGCACCACTAACCTCTTTCTTTCAGAGTAAACACTTAGCAGAAGTGATTAAAGCTGTCAGTAGCACACCTGCAATATGAGTCTTCACAGGATTTGAACTCTCGGTCTGCGCACAGCACAGAAGTGAAATGAAAGGTAGTTGAACAGTGTAATTGTCAAGTTACGTCGTGAGCGCAGAAAATTTTGAAAGGTTTGAAGTGTGTAAACGGGCCAGCCGACAGACACAGACTTGCCAAACAGACTATTTTGATTGAAAAGTTTTACTGTCCTCAGACAAAATAAATCTTCAATCAAAGACATACAGTAATGAATGGCATTCATTTTACTTGCTTTCAATCAAGGTTTCGCCTGCGGTAAACATTTATGGGGCATCAAGAGTGCTGTGATTCGAAATGTACGTTGGCAACACGAGAAAACAATAGAACAGCGCACAAGGAAAGGGGGAGGAGCGGGAGCAGGAGTGGGGGGGACGGACGGCGAGAGCGGGGAAAATAAACCGCATACTATGCATTTTTTATACTTTGACACAACGACTACACTTTGTTGCTATTCAGAAGAAATTGATACAAATTTCTGTTCCATTATTCTTAGCACCAAAAAATTAAAAATTGTTTCAGCTTAACAAACTGTGGGAAAAAGGTTCTCAAAAAATGACAATTAAGCAACATTTATAAGTTCATATTTATTTACAACCCTTAAAAACTGCAAGTGAATAAATTTCGAAATCATCATCATAAGCCTGACTCAGCAACGTTTTTATACACAAATCATCTACAAATGGATTCTGAGGCCTCCAAAAAGAGGCTATTCCACATAAATGAACTGACATAGACATTAGTGATGGACTTCATAATCCTTTGGGTCAACCTTGCCATATTTTTTCTGCCACAAGTCAATGTACTCTTTCTTTCTTTGCTCACGAGTGGCAAAGTATTCTGGGTAGAATGCCTTCTCAACTGGATCCCAGAAGTCGACTGCAACGTCCGGAATATGCACATTTCTTAGATAGGCCACTCCGCCAGGAGAGTAAGGGACTGTAAAAGAAATTTAAAAAGACACTTGATAAAAAAGGAAGAGGGGAGGAAAGCAGAGCTATTTTATCAGAAGTTGTAATAATCTTACAAATAACAGGAGCATAGTGCTGCTCAGCTTTCAACTTTGCTTCAGCCTTTTCCACCCATTTCATAGCCTTGGCCATGTCCTTTTCATCTTTGTGCTTGTCGAACTCGGCTCTGAGCATTGTGACATGATAGCGGTAGAGCGGCCTGCAACAGATAATGGTGGTCACACAAGCCAAGGAATCTTTGCTCAGTCAGATTTCACGTAACACCTAACTCTACTCCAAAAAGCTCTCCAATAAAAAATTTCTGATTCCGATACCCTCGAGATAATAAAACAATCGAAGCAGTACCAGTGCGCCATTATGTTTGAATGTACTTTTCATGTTATATTTGTAAATGTTTCCCAGCAAACTACACGACTAATAGGATGATCCATGTCTTATTATTGCAGATTTTATATAAAATAACATGGTTTTGAGAGGCTGTCGGACTGGGATAAACAAAAGGATCATCTCTGCTTGTTGGTAGACATCAGGTGTATATAGTTTTAGGTTAGAACACTTGTCATTGAACACACCACAAGAGGGCAATGAGGATTTAAATGGATTTCAATTTCAAACCATATGGCACACTAGAATTAAACGTTAAAAAGACCTTCCTCGACGTATTAAATAGAGATCCGTTGAAAACTACACAGTGAAGGACTCTCACCTTTCGTGGTACCAGGCCTGAGTGTTTCTGCACAATTTTTTGTACAGACTGCACACCCTGCGGGTGTGCGTAATCACTTCCATAGGCACACTCATGTTAGCGAAATTTAATGCCTAATTTCTTGAATTTTTTGGCCTGCGGTAACGAGGCCTAACCCAAACAGCGCAGCAAAAGCAAAATCAGCTGTGCAGCAGACTAGCAGACCAGACCACGTAGTTCGGCCAAGCGCCGCCAGAGAGCGGGCGCGGGCATCCGCACATTTTACTGTCTTGTTTCCTTTGATAAGAGAATTTTAAACCGACTTCACGTAGCCCAACCGAGTTTTCTTTTTCTTTCCGAATAATTTAGAATGATTCAGAACTTACGCAACACCCCCATGAAACGTGTATTTTGGTGCTGTGTGTGGCAACTGTGAGCGCGCTGGAGTTCGAATGAAGCGCGATTTTGTTTCCGGTAAAAGACGCTGTGGTCATGACTGTGCTGACATCAATTCATTTATTTATTTTTTTATTTCAGGTTTCATCTGCAGAAGCGTCTGGGAGTGTCTGGGGAGACAGAGGGAATTCTGGTGGGCCACCACGCCTAACCATTTTCAGAATGGTTCTTGCCGTTTGCGCGCATTTTGGCAAAAATTGGCTGGCCTTTTTCTTGGGCCTAAGTACCTGAATGCTTTCCCGGTCCGGACTGGCCTTGACGTCACGAGGCTTACAGTGGTGGGCAGCGACCCCTTGGCCGTGCCTTGGCGGTCCTGGCGGGACAGGTCTGCCTTCCGGTGACGTCACCAAGTCGCGGACCGCGCGTCATCTGCAGCGGTGCGGCGATGCACCGCCAAGCTGCACCAGGCCGACACGCCGCGGCGAAGGGCTTCAGACGAAAAACCCGCACTGGTCGAAAATTGAGACTCGTTCCGAATTAATTAACACTCTCGGAGCCGGGCGGCGGCCGGCCTGCGTGCCAGAACGTCGCTCGAGCCGGTTCGATCCGTCCGACGATTCGGATTCCCCCGATTCTACGACAGCATCACGAGCGTGTGGGGAAGGCCCCGTCCTTGCAGGGTGACGCGGTGACGTCCGCGGACTCGGCGGGGCACTCGGCCGAACCGAAACCGAAACGCACAGTCCGCCGATTCGGGGATTCGGCATCGGCATTCGGCCCGGCCGGTTTGATGCTCCCCGAACGCTCTCTGACTCATTGACCCCTCGGTGCCGGCCTGTATCTCCACTTCACTTGCAGCCGGCCGAGCCACTCCGGGGGATCGTCGCTCTGTCTCTGTCGCACTCATGGGCCGCCCACAGGTGCGCGAGAGAGACAGAGAGACAGATTCCCGAAACGCGTCCCGCCCTCCGGTCCCTTGGTTTGTTTTCGTCTTTTCGACAGACTTGTCATCTCCGCCAAGGGCTCATGGAATCACTTCTTATTTGTACATGGAACACCTGGCGGAGGGGGCAAGTCCGGTCACGACCCTTCACACAGAGGGGCAGTGCATGTGTGTGTGTGTGTGTGTGTGTGTGTGTGTGTGTGTGTGTGTGTGTGTGTGTGTGTGTGTGTCGGGGGGGTCATGAACGCGCCTGCCTGCTTACTGCCGCCCCCCAACCGGTCGGGGGCAGCAATGTTGCCTGTTTGCAGTGAGCCCTGCCTGGGCCTGCCTGGGCCTGCCTGGGCCTGCCGTGTCGTCCTGGTCGTCCTGGCCGGCGAGCTGGTCGGCGTGCCCCGGAGCGGCCGGCCAGGGCGGCCAGGGCAGCCAGGGCTGGCGGCCGGCCAGACGGCGTCGCATCGCCGCTGATCTCTCGCAGACTCGGAGATTCTGATTCAGTCAGTCCGGCCGCGTGCCCCAAGCCGGAGAGGCGTCCCAGCGAGTCCGCAGCGAGTCCCACCAGAGCGCTGCCGCCGTGCCGCGCCGCCCAGCGATACGCAGTTCGCAGTGCAGCACCGCGTCGACGTGCACTCCGCCGCGAACCCCGCAAGTACGTGAGTCAGGCTGCAGCAGCGTCTCCCGGGGACCGCAGTCGTTGTCCCGGTCGGTTGACGCGGCTGTGGTGAAGCAAAGCGAAGCTGGGCGCTGCAGCGCTGCAGCCCGGCGGCTGTGTGCGTTTGCACTGCAGTGGCGTGCAGTGGCTGTGGTTTCCGCGTGCCGCGGTGCAGCTCCGCAGCACCGCCTCGCCGAGCCGCGAAAACGGCAAAAGGCCGCGTTGATGCGCTCCGCTCCGCTTTACCGGCCGGGGCGGGGCGACGGGGCGACGGGGCGACGGGGCCCCTCCAGGCGGAGACAGCCTCACGGCGGACAGTAAACACAGTGGCGGCCATGCGTAACGCGGCACACCACGGCACGCCACTGGAGCCACTCTGGCGCTCTGACGTCAGCAAGACGCCGGTCAATCCGTGAATTATTGAACGAGTCTACCTGTCGCGCTGTCGCCGCGCCGAGAGAAAGACCAAAACATCTCGGCGAAGCTGGCGACAAAAGGCACTCATTCGTACGTTCCTTTTGACAGACATGGCGGGACTTCCCCGCGTCGCCGCCATCGCCGTCCTGGCCGTCGTCCTGGCGCTGTGGACCCGGCCGGCGTCAGCAGGTGAGTCTCGGCGTCACTCTGCGTCTCGCTTTGACGGTGTGGTGGCGCTAACTCGGCCATGGCGGTCCGCAGACATCTACGACATCACGACAATCTACAAGCTGCAGCGCGCCGCGTCCGGCGCCACGTCCCTCGAGTCCGGGGAGATCATCGCCAGGAACAACGCGCGCGGCATGCCGCTGCGACGAGGCAACACCACGCTCAGCGGTACGCCCCGCCCCACCCCTCCGTCTCTCTCGCACCTTTACGGGGCGCGCCGTGAGTGCGAGAGAGACAGAGCGACTTGTCGGTTGCAGTTGCGAGCGAGGAGCGCTGCTGCACCGAGTGGGAGAGCGACGGCTGGAGGAAGCTGACGACCGCGGAGGCCGCGGAGACATCACCCATCCTGGACCCCACACTGCGCGAGTCCGCGCAGGATAGAGGTCTGTCACCTTGCCTGCCTTTGTAAGTCGTGCCACCGTGGCCCACACTGTTACAGCAAACAATTTCGGCGCGCAGGGTTCCTGCGGCAGACGGAGCAGGGCTGGCAGGGCACGCTGGGCGCGGGCGAGACCCTCCGGCTGGACTTCACGCCGGCCAGCCACGGCGTGGGGTACCTGACGGTGCTGCTGTGCGACACGCCCTTCCCGCGGTCCTGCTGGGGGCTCACCATCGCGGGCCACGCGCAGGGCAGGCTGCGCTACTACTGGTCGCAGCACGGCACGGAGGGCGCGAGCGGGCCCTTCTGGGTGCCCGGCGGCGGCCAGGTGGGTCCGGGTTCGAATACCCGCCGCGGTTGAGCGCCTGCGGAGCCGAGGGTAGGCATGCCCGGCACACTGGCGCGTCCAGCGGGCCAGCCTACCCCGAGGTCCGCAGGCGCTCGCGGCCGGCCGGTGCAAACACGGTGCCTTCCCCTCCCCCAGGTGACGCTGAAGACGACGGTGGACACCAAGGACGAGTCGGTGCGCGAGGAGTGGTCGCCGGTGCGGCGCTACACGCTGCTCATGGAGCGCACGTCCGGCGGGCAGCTGCAGGCGCACCTGGTGGGCGGCGACCGCGCGCAGGAGGAGCTGCGGGTGTTCGACGTGCCGGGCCGCCGCTTCAAGCACCTGTTCGTGGACCGCTACAAGAAGGAGGGCACGCTGGCCGTGCAGGCCGACCCCGCCTGGCAGGGCCGCGTGGACGCGGGCCGCGAGCTGCCGCTGGTGTGGACCCCCGACCAGGGCGGCCGCCTCGGCATCTTCCTGTGCACCAAGCCGCGCGGCGACTCGTGCTACGGCGCCTTGCTGACGGGGTCCGACGGCAAGGCGCTCAGGTCCACCTGGGGCAAGTACGGCGCCGCCGGCGAGCAGTCGGCCTGGATGCCGGGGCGCGGCGACAGGGGCTCCAGGCTCACCGTCATCAACAGCACGGAGGACTCGGTGAGGCCCCGCGAACCGCCGCGAACCGCCATGGTGGTGGCAGCGCCGCTCGAGAGCCTCACGGTCTTCTTCTGGTGCAGGTGGCCGAGGGCTGGACCGGCCCCGCCCCGCAGTACAACCTCACCCTCAAGCTGGAGGGCTGGCGCGTCGCCCTCACGCTGCTGGGCGCGGGCGGGCGGCCGAACATCTGGGAGGTGCCCGTCGGCCACAACTACATCGTCATCGGCTCCTTCAAGGGCAAGGGCACAGTGGAGGTCCTCGCGGGTAAGTCAACGTTTTACGGGCGTGGGGGTTCGAACCTGCGTTCTGTAACTCCACCTGCTGGCCGCAGACACCAGCACGCTGTCGACGCCGTCCATCGTGTGGCCGGTGTGGGGGCTGGAGTTCGGCCGCACGGAGGGGTCCCTGACGAGCCCGCCCATCCGCGCGCCGCGGCAGCACCAGCTGTGCATCGTCCTGGGCGCCAAGGTCCCCGCCGACGGGCGCCTGCAGCTGGGCTTCAAGGGCGTGGGCCCCGGGTACCGCCAGATCACGCCCATCATCTCCCTCGCGCCCGGAGAGGTAAGCATACAGAAACCGAGAGCCATCAACACGGACAAGCCACACGCCTCGCCGCTTACGCATATGTTTTGCAGGCGTCGGTGGGCTGGGTGCAGATCCGCAGAGTGGTGGACCTGCCCCTGGAGTTGGTGCGGCGCACGGACAAGATCCAGCTGGTGCTCAACGCCACCACGAGCTCCGAGGAGAACGTGTACGTCCAGATCGCGGACACGTGCAACGCGCTGGGTGAGTCCCCCAGTCTTCTTGAGTGAAACGTGTTTGAACGGAAAGTGTGACGCTCTCGTTGTCCTCTCTCTCTGCGCAGCGGACCGTGACATCACCACCTTCGTCACGACCGCCATCCCCGTCAGCAAGCTGTTCGGCTTCGACATCGCCAGCTCCAGCGCCGGCGTTCCGTTTGAGGGTACGCGCGCGTTCCCCCATGGCGGAAAAATATTCAATTTGATGTTGTTTTTCCCGGTCATTTTTTAAAATGATTTTTGAATGCGAGGCTTGACTGCTGTGTCGCAGGCAAGCCCGGCCCCTGCAAGCACGGCGGCCTGCTGGACCTGGAGGCGGCCAAGTGCCGCTGCCCGCCGGGCTTCACGGGCACCACGTGCGAGGTGGGCTGCGGCAACAACCAGATCGGCGGCGACTGCAACGAGCGCTGCTCCGACGACACCCGCGACGGCTGCGAGGGGCTGCTGGTGTGCGGCCCGGGGCTGCCCTGCACCTGCGCGTCGGGCTTCAAGGGCCCGTCCTGCGACAAGCGTGAGCACTTCACCCTTTAACCCTACGTTCTTTTGGCGTCCTTAAAGTCACCCCCTCGCGCTCCGCGCTCCGCTTTCGCAGTGTGCCCCAACACCAAGTTCGGCCCCGGCTGCAAGTTCACGTGCGGCAAGTGCAACAACGGCGCGCCCTGCGACAAGTTCACCGGCCGCTGCCCCAACGGCTGCAAGTCCGGCTTCCAGCCGCCGCTCTGCACGGAGAGTGAGTCCCGGTGGCTTCTTTGGCGTTGACTGTGACTTCTTTGACTGTGACTGTACCGACTGTACCGCTGTGTCCCGCCAGGCTGCGGCACGACGGGCCTGGAGCGCCAGGAGCTCATCGTCGGCGGCGACGCCATCAACATCACCAGCTTCCCCTGGCAGGCCGGGCTGTACCGCCGCCAAGCCACGGCCTGGAGCAACGGCAAATACGAGTTCCAGTGCGGGGGCTCGCTTATCCGGGAGAACCTGGTGCTCACGGGTCTGTACCTCCACTGTGAGTTGGGAAACGGCCTCCGCGACGACGACTGACTGTCGCCCTGATTCTGTTGGCAGCGGCGCACTGCGTGGCGGACGTCGCCGGCAACAAGCTGTCCGCCGGGGAGTACATGGTGGCGCTGGGGAAGACCAAGTCGGCCTGGAACCACCCGGACGACCGCGACAAGGAGGTCAAGCTCAAGGTGAACGCGGACGCTCGACGAGACTCCTTCTTTCGGGTGGAGTAGACGCGCCTCTACTTCCGTCGTCGCCCTCCCCTTTCCGCAGGTGTACGAGATCGTGACGGCGCCCAACTACCGCGGCTCCAGCGCGTCCTTCTCGCACGACATCGCGGTGCTCGTGCTGGAGCAGCGCACCTCGCTCAGCCAGTACGTGACGCCCGTGTGCATCAACTGGACGCCTGAGAACGAGATCCAGCTGCGCTCCGAGGACGTCGGCATGGTCAGTACCTCGCCGCTGCACGTGGAGCTGGAGAGCATGGGCCTGGACACGGCGGGGACGCAGCCCGAGGAGGACGCCATCCTGGCTAAAGTCCTGTTTTAGCGCGACCGTTCTCCTTACTTATGTACCTCTGCGAATTAAAAAGTTGTGCCATCTCGAAACATTCACCTGTGTTTGTCTGCTCCCCTCACGGCGCTAAAAACAACCACCACCCGGCGTTGCTTGATGCTCGCGGCAGCCACAGTGTGACTGTCTCTATCGAACCCGGTTCGATTTCCGCTCTTCGCTTGTTGCTGCAGGTGGCTGGCTGGGGCGCCACGGAGAACAAGCAGGCCAGCGACACGCTGTACTCCGCCAAGCTGCCCGTCGTCAACCGGGAGACCTGCTTCAACAACCTGGAGAGGGCCCTGCACGTCTACATCACGCCCGACAAGATGTGCGCGGGCTACGTCGTGGGTACGCACTGTGAATTCTCCTCAACTTTTTCCACTGTTTTTGTAAAGATGAAAGTTTACCGGCTTTGCTTTGCTCCAGTTCCAGAGGAGGGCCGGGTGGCCAGCGTGGCCAAGGGCGACAGTGGCGGCGGGCTTTGCTTCAAGGACGGGCGTGGCACGTGGTACGTCCGGGGCATCGTCAGCCTGGGCCTCGCCAAGCACCCCGTGGGGCTGTACACGGACGTCAACTACTTCCGCGACTTCCTCACCAGCGTGCGAGACCGCGTCGTCATCGACGAGGTGCGACTCAAGGAGCTGGTGACCAGGGGCCTCGGCCCCCAACGCCCCCAGCCAGCCTAGTCCCAGCACGCAGCCCCTCCCAACCACGCCAGTCACATCAACACAGTCATATTTTTTTTGTACGGTATCCGAGCAATAAAGAATACATTTCACATTTCCCAAGTAAAATGGGCTGCCTACCTGCCAGGCTTGTACCGTCCTGGACGGGCTGTCTTCCACCCACGCGGAAAATTTCAGAGCATTAGGAGGTGAAATAAATTTTGATAAAAAGCTTCCCTATGTGGACTGCATTTTGAAAGAAATAACTTAAAAGGCAATCCATGCCTTCTATTAAATAAATACAAATACATCATTTCAGATCACAACAGTGTACAACATTAAATAAGATTTTGCTGCACCCTATCACAACAAAAAAAAGGCACTACAAAGGAATCGGTCATTGACATAATTTTAAAATTATTCCGTTTGAGGAGAAATATGACCACTCCTTTAATCTGACTACAGAGAGCCATTCCCTTGGTGTAAGATGAGTATCTTTCTGGATGGGCTTCTCAGGAGGAGGAACTAGGTGAGGGCTTTGGGGTGTAAACAGATTCAATTGCCCCGTCTGCTTGAGATGCTACTCTTGATATGACAAATAAAAATTCTGCCAGTCTGAAAAAAATAAATAAAAGGAAGCATTAAAAAATATTACATGTCAAAATCGAATGTGACATTACAAGTGGCCACTAACCTGTTAAGATACACTAAAACCTCTGGATCTAGATTGCCATCCCGGACTAGGGGTAGTACTTTTCGCTCTGCCCTCCGGCAGATTGAGAGAGCTACATGCAACACAGCACACACTTGACCTCCTCCCTAGAAAAACAAACAAATCAATCTTTTAAAAATTTGGAAGAAAAATAAATTTGGGTCTAAAAGTATGTACAGCATTTAAGTAGCTTACGGGTATGACAAAGTGTTCTACAGGAGGCAGTGATTCACTGTATTCTTCAATCCACTCTTCAAGTTCTGCTGCATGGCGTTTTGAAAAGGAAGTTCCCTTAATACTCAATGGAGATGGACTGACAGTTGGTGAGACTGGAGGTGAATTGGGTGAGTTATAATTGCAATTTGATATTGCTACACTTATGTCAATGAGTAAAGTTTGAATCCGTTTCAAGTATTCTACATATGTGTGGTTATTATCGTGAGCATATTCCCGAGCCAACCTGTAAAATGGTGAAGAGTTATTGATAACATACATTGCAAGCATGAAAGTGTGATGATTCTCAGCAATCGCAAGATCTGCTACACAGCTAGAGGGAACTTATGTAGTCTTACCCAACAAATGAGCATAGTTCATCACATGACCCCATAGCATGAAAGATTTGGTCGTCTTTTGGTTTTACTGCACCCATCAAGGTTACAGCGAAGCCATCGTCACCTATTCTGGGAACACGTTCCTTGTGAACTTGAGGAGGAGCTTGCACGGGAACTGGCTTCTCTTTGACTGTTGACGGCTCATTCTTTGGATTATTTGGGGTGTTTGAGCTGTGGGAAAAAAACAAAAACAACATCATTTTAAGGGATTAAATGATAATTAGCATTCCATCAACCAAAAAGGTCCAAGGGAAGGTTGACAAGAACATAAAATTAAAATAAAAGGCCTTGTAAATTTCATTAAGTTCCAATTTTAACACATGTGCTTTTAAGACAAAAACAGGCTTTGAAACAAAATTTAAAATAATAAATTTTGAGGTCTTTGCCTCGAAATAGAACGCTTTAAAAATAAATTGAGAAGATTCTGCAATGAGGATAGGGAACTTTTAAAGGGTTAGGGTGTACCACACTGCACCTCTTAGTTTTATGGAGTTAGAAATTTACCTGTACCGACTGAACGAGATGATTTCAGAAACTTGTGTGAGCAAAGACTTTCTCAGGGCTCTCCTCGCGACATCCATCTCTTGTAGAGTCAAAAAAGCAGTAAAATCGTACTTAGAAACAGTTTCTTGTGAACAGAATTTCGTCTGCTTCAGCTGTCCCTTGTTGACAGTTGCGCCTGCGATTAGAGGTTCAGGCATTATAGGCAGAGCAAGCGCCAAGCGCCAAGCGCGCGGAGGACTGGTCAAGTCGAAGTTCGCGCAGCTCGCGCGGTGTTCCTTCATACCGATTTCATCACGATCGTGACTGTCAATCGGGCTCATTAAACCAAAACGTTTGATAAGAATAAAATATTTATTCAAAACTTCAATTTAGTACATAAAATTTGTTCAGGTTTGAGTTTGAGGACGTTCAAATTCTGGACGGAGGCAATAAAACTACAAAAAAAGAACGCTAGTATTCAGATCAATTTTACAGTAGAAAACACGTAACATAACAAAAGCAAATGCATACACAAATCAGATCCACATGTATGAATGGCATCATCAGATCACTACAAAATGGTAATGTGGACACATGTTGAACTAACATCTACTGTTCAGCCTTATCACATAATATAACAATTGTTAAAAAACTGTTGTGTGAGTTAGTTCTCGTAAGTCAACAATAAGAGTAAACAGTTCTAAAAATAAAACAATACTAGCTTGGTAAATGCGAATGCAGTTTCATCATGGCTGCATGCCATACTGAGAAAACACATTCAATGCTCATCATACAGAATTAGTTACCAAAAGCACAGGTTCCAAAAACAACAATTGTCTTAGAAAGAAAAACAAATTTAAAAATAGTGAAAAGGCACTGAGGTGTATGAAACATGAATATAAAAAATTATTAAACTAGATCCTTAAGATAAAAATTGTAACATTTACGTAAATATATTCGGAGCTTGTCAAGTATAACATGTCACAATTACTTTACATATTCTGGACGGAAACAGATAGATACAGAGGGTTAAATAAACCTTCCTTAATCTCACTTTTTCAAGGCAGAGATCAACCAATTGGACCAGTGGAAGTTTGTAAACCTAACCACAGGGGCAACCAGCAGACTAATGTTAAATACTGTACACCTATAAAAAAATAATTTCCTTGTGGGCCATGTCTTGCAGTTTGAAGACTGAACCGGCACATTACTTACTTAACCTAAGACTATCAACGTCAAAATCACCTACAAATTGAATTATGCAGCACTGAACACAAGAAGTCTAAGCTGTGATATGATAATCATTAACATTGATACAACTGTTTCCACTCAAAGGGGAATTTAAATGTGTGCGCTCATAAAACATGACATGATATATTTCTAAATGGTGGAAGTTGAAGTATTGATCATTCATTCATTCATTCATTAGGCATGTTAAGTCAATTTTGCCATGAAATAAAAATATGGCATGGGAATGTAAAATTTACAAAACTAGCAAATGGGGCTCGGATTCAAACTGAGAATGAGACAAAATACTATAAGTCATTTCAAATGCCATTAAAGTGCAAAAATACTAGCTAGGCACAAGGCTATTACAAAACCACTGACTCTTAAGTGTACTGCATCAGAATTTAAGAAGCCTGTACCAAAATGGAAAACTTTAACATTGTTTTCAGTCTTTAACCACGGATTTTCACCATCATCAAAGAACATGGGGCATCGATCACCTGGAAAACATATAAGAAATTTAAAAATAGAATGCAAAGGTCTGCCAAAATTGATGGGGAAATCAAGTTCACTTACGCTCTCTCTCATATTCAACCATATCAAGGGCCACAGTAGCACCTTCAGTGTAGTTCCAACTGGTGACATCTTGCTTTAAATCACAGAATGCACCAATAGCTTGAGACATCAGTATCCGATTCAGATCAGCACGTTGGTAGACCTGAACAAATTGAGTTCACAATTCATAGTAAGTTACAATAGATTTTGGCAGTACAGAGCTACAGTTCTAGGTACATAGCACTGATGATTACTAACCCAGCATCTGTATTTACTGAAGGGATCTAGTTCATCATAGGTAATTAAATATGATTTAAGATTTTCCTTCCAATAGCCAATGCATTTCATCTTGTAATCAGGGTCACCTGTAATGTGAAGTGTAAGATTAAAGAAGCAAGTAGAGAAGGATTAGCTTATCACAGCTCTGTGTATGTGTCACATTTGACAAACTGATAAAAGTGCTAAACAAAATACAAATAAATAGGACAATGCAATGGTGCACTGAAAATACTCACTGTAAATATCCTTGGGTTGTCCTCTGTGGTCCACAGAAAGACAGTAGGTTTCATCAATCAGAATTTCTTTTTGATCAGTATCACATACTGACAAATCAGAAATGTTCTGTTTGCAATGCAAAGTGGGGCGAGGAGACAAAGTAACTCCTCCAAGAATACGTGTTTCAAATGGTTGATCTCCTCTCTGTGTGAAATTGAACTTTCCAGCAACAGGACAACGTACAGGAATAGGATTTTTAGCTGCAACAGAGAAAATAAAAAATCAACCTGCCACTTGAATATCTGACATAAGCAGTAACAATAAATCACAATCAAATACACACCTAAAAACAGTTCATACTTCCAGGCAACATTATTTTTGAACTGTACCCATGAACACACATTAGAGAAAGCGTCCTTTATAACAGCTATGCCTTTGCGGTAACGAATAACATTGTGGTGCCGAGGAACAAAGTCAAAGCAAATGTAATCTTTCTGGCAACCATCAACTGTAAGCCTAGCCATCATATATCGAGAGTCTCTCGTCTCACGGCAGACATAGATACTGCGACGGTATCGTCCCTCATCAGGATGGTAAGTTTCAATGATGTGTGTGTCATTGATAAAAACGTCTGCATCTATATTGGCAGTATTAATCCAGTCGCCAGAAAAGTTTTGCGGCAAGCGGCATCCAGGTTCTACAACCTCTGCTTTCACTGTAACATTCAAAAAAAAGGAAAGGAAAGAGAATGAGAGAAACCACCCTGTTAAAATGTAAACATAACTAATGAAATGTAACACAAACCTGGAGTTACTCGCATTCTCTCAGGGCTTTTTTCTACTGTTTTCAGGGTACTGCATTCTGCAGTAATGGAAACACCAATGTACAGATCGTCATCTCTGTTTTTAAGGAAGCAACGATACTTTTCATCCTTCCGAGATTCCTTGGTATTGACAACAGCAAAATAATGATTCTTTCCAACAAACCAATCTCCAAGGCAACTGTATTCAACCACTGCAAACAAATATTTGTGACAAAGATAAATTATTGTAACCTACTAGAACGAACAGAAATGCATAAAGATAAGATGAAACATTACCTCCATCAAACGTTCCAGTCATGCCATCACACCGTTTATAAGTAATATTGAATTTTTGGTTTGTAATCAAGAACTGTGTACCAGCAGTCTGGCAGGACTTGATTTGAGCTGCTGGGTTGTTACATTCACCAGTAAATCTGAAACGATTCTAAAGCAGAAAACAAAACAAATAAATCAGTAAGAGGAACAATCTGAACAAGCGGTGAAAACACACAGGACCCGGACACAGGAGGAATTTTGCTAACCTGGTAAGCAAACTGCCAGACCCCTTCTAAACTGGAACGACAATTCACAGGTATAGGATTTTCAGAGAAGAGGGTGATGAGCTGCTGGTCTTCATTCAGTCTACTACACACTCTGTCAAGAGTCGGGGCAGTGTCTGGGGGCAGATTTACACAGCCTGTTTCCAGTTTATCTATGACATTGACAGTTCTCACAATCAGTTTGACACAGTGAAAACATGACTCCTTCTGAAATACAAATGTGTAATTGACGTGATAATCTTCACGAACGTCAACACAGTAGCCCCTATCCGTCATCGAATCAGCATTGATTTCAGTGAGGACAGGTCTGTTTTCCCAAGAAAACCATGATCCTCTGATAATAATTGGGATGTGGCAAGCAGCATCACCTGAAACGAAAAAAATATATGCAATAATGTAAGAGGAACTGTGAAACAAAAATTGGAAGGCGAGTTCAGAAAGTCCGGGTCGACATATGCTACTGCAGTCAGACCTTACATGTATGACTGTGGAAATAAAGAGAGAAATGTGAGCCAAATAAATACTGGGCGTAGATTCTCCACAAGGGTAATAAACAGTTAGCCAAATGGTTATGTGGAACGTCATAGGTTAAGGCAAATTTCATCTGCGTACGTAAGTACTTCAGGTGTAGAAAGAAACAAGATGAACTTACTTGATTGAATAGAAACTAGGGCAAATGCTAGCAGGCCCAGTGACACATGAACGAGTTTTAATTTACACATTTTGTGTGTCTTTAAACAAAAAATTCCTACGGGCAACACCCATCAAGTGTTGCTATACAATGTTTTTCCCAAAGGACGCAAAGGGAGGGGCAAGGCGGTTGGAGGGGAGGGGAGGGAGGGGTGAAGGGGAGGGGGAGGAGAGGGAGGGCTGAAAGAGGGTATCTTGATGAAAGCCTTTTGTTAGAGCCAACGGAAAATTAAGTTCATTTGTGTTATAAGTTTCATTTTCAAATTTAGAACTGTAATGGGTCCTTTTTTCTGCTATAAATCAACTGACCACATACTGACCAGAGGCAGGCATTGTCGTTCTGGAACGGACTCTCCTCCGCCCTCAAGAAGAACAGAAATTCGCAGCCAAACAAAAATTAATCTTGGCTTCGGTTTGGCTGTTACCCAATCTTATTCGTTGCTTATGGCTGGTGGATTTTTGCACTTTTTCAAGATTTCTATGTGATTCTAGCGAGAAATTGAGTTTTTTGTGGGTTGGAGAGTCTATATTGAACAGGTACGACACATTGGTTGGAGCGCTTGTGTTGCATTCCATTGAATAATGCGCTGAACGTCGGTCAGCGCAGCGTACCGCCGAGCCGAACGCAATGTCATAAACATTGTCATTCGGCGGCAATATTTGTTGACCAACTAACTCAAGGAACTGTTTTATTCGGTACGAAATTGCACAGTCTGTGGCACGCCACGCCCACCCTGCTTTTGTGAGAGTCTAAAAGAGCGCCGACGTTGTTGTCTCGAGTCGCCGGGATGGATTGTGAAGAGATGCTTCAGTGTCCCATAGGTTAGATGCCCCCGTCTGCCGTGTTTTGTATCGTGATTGTGCTGTGTGAGAGGTTTAATTCACATGTAGTCGTGTGCAAAGTTGTCCCTCTTGGTTTGTTTTGTGCCCTATGATGTGTTATAGTTGTAATTAATCTCAACTTTGTTCAGTGGGTGCTAGACTCTTGTACTGTTTTTTCTTCTTCATATATTACTTCATTGTTATTCTATTGAAAGTTTGGAGTGGAAATTCTCAACTCTTTGTATTAACAGACCTATCTTGGCATTGTATTTGTTTTTTTATTTACTTCATTGGAGAATTCTACTGAAATAATTTTTTTAGATTTTTGGGTGACCTCCTTATGAATTGTAGGTTAGCTGGACTAGGTTTGACAGTTTAAATGTTGGTAGAGAACTAATTATGTTTTTCTAAGAATTTGCATGATTTGTTCTTCAGTCTTTTTGGAATATATTATGTTTGTTCTTTTTTACGATCAACTCTTGTATTTATGAATGACACATTTGTTTTTCTGTTGGTGGTCATTCAATTTATGAATCTGTCTTGAATTTTAACCATTGTGTTTGTGTGATGTTGATCTATTTGATAATTTTGATTTTCTCCAATCTTTTCTTGTAGTCTGCTCCGGAGTATTCATACAACTACTTGTTTTCCCATTTTACAGAAGGAATGAGTAAGAGAAGACGGACATCTTCTGTAACTAGCAGCCGTCAGGATGGAGAATCTGAGTGCGGTGAATCAGATTCCCAGTCATTACCAGAGCCATCTGCTCGGAAAAGGAAAAAACTGGATCCTGTACGTTATTGTCTTTGTTATCTGTTGTTTTGTCTGAATATTGTGCTTGGAACTTATTTATAATAATTAAATTACTGTTCTACTTTCCAATACAGAGTGAGCAGTGTCAACAAGTTTATGATGCTTTGAGAACACACAAAAAGGAGGATGGCTCCATAATTTGTGAGGCCTTTGTGCGAGCCCCAAAGCGGCGTCAGGAACCAGGATATTATGAGGTTGTTACAAGTCCAATGGACTTCATTAAAATTCAACAAAAAATTAAGACTGATGAGTATGAAGAGGTGGAAGATATGACTGCAGATATTGAACTGATGGTTAACAATGCAAAGGCGTTTTACAAGGTATGCATTTCTATTTTGAATTCCTATTGCCAGATCACTGGAATCAATTTTCAACTAATTGCCCTACATTGTATCGTTTTTCTACAGCGTACCTCCCAGGAATACAAAGATGCTGTTGATTTGTGGGACCTATTTTGCTCATTGAAAGATCAGCTCAAAACAGATGGCGATCTGGACACTTACAGAAATAGGGGTCGACCTGTAAGTTCTCTCAAAGAATGCACAATAGATCTATTCTTTCTCATCCTCTAACCTGTACACATTGATATTTTCAGCGTCGTGTAATCAAGGAAGAAGTGGACGATACATCAGAGGGCTCATGTCCAGATGACGAAATAGCTAATCAACTTGAAGAATTATTTGCTACTGTAATGTCTGCTAATGAAGCTGATCGCCCATTGTATGCCCCTTTCCAACTTCTACCATCCAAAAAGGTACACATTTTGTCTAACTTTGAGGACCTAAAATGTTTCAACATCAAAAGAAATTTGCCTTTTTAAATAATTTGTTGTCTTTGTTTGTTTTTCTGTCTGCAGCACTATCCTGACTACTATGACATAATTTCTAACCCCATTGACCTTAAAACAATTGGACATAAAATTCAAAAAAATAAGTATTCTAGTCTTAATGAGCTAGAACAAGATCTCCTGCTTATGACCAAAAATGCATGTACATTTAATGAACCGGGCTCACAAATTTACAAAGATGCCAAAACTCTCAGAAAATTGATACAAGGCAAAAAACTTGAAGTGGAAAATAACAAAAATTCTCCTGGGAAATGCAGTGAGCGGATCAGGTATGCCTTTGTTTTAAAGAATATAAACTGCATTTTGGCATTTTGAAATTTTCTAAAATTCAATATATTGTAGGAACAAGCGACTGCGAGGATCTCACAGTGCTTCTGCCATTGCTGCTGCTCTTCAAGATGAAGATGATGATGAAGATTCTGATGATGATGACCTATCAGATGATGAAGAGAGTGATAATCCCAGATGGCAGCTTTACCAATCAGTCAAGAATACTGGTAATTTTTTCTCATAAATTTAAATGGAATGTTCAGTTTTAAGTATAAATTATTCAAGCCAACTCTTATTTTGAAATTATTTCCTTGCAGGCAACAATCTAAGTCAACCGTTTTGGAAATTGCCATCCAAACGATACTACCCAGATTATTACAAAGAAATTAAAAATCCCATTTCACTTCAGCAGATAAGAAATAAACTTATTGTGAGTACAAATTGAGTTGCATCTGCTTAGTGAAATTGGACTAGCATGCAATCTTTCTAACGGTGTGTCTCTTTGTGTTTCTGTAGAAAGGTGAATATGGAACTGTCAGTGAAGTTGCTGGAGATTTAAATGTAATGTTTGAAAATGCCAAAAAGTACAACAGGCCTGACTCAAAACTTTACAAGGTACAAGAGAGTTCACGGTTTTCTTCTGTATTCCCATGACGTGTAATTTACTAACTTAGCTATAATTTTGGTTTCCTTAGGATGCAGTCAAACTTCAAAAACAAATGCAAAACAAAGTTCAAGAACTTTTGGACTTTCAACAGGTATAGAAAAATAAAACTTCTAGAAAACTGTGCGTTGCAGGTATTTATTGTCTCATGCTAATTACTATGTTTATTTATAGGAGTCTGATAGTGAGGAAGATGATTCCGACGAAAGAGAAGATGCTAAGAGGCCGCGGAGGAAAGCGGCAACAACACCTAAGCCAAAAGTGAAAAACCCTCAACTTAAGAAGAGACTGCAAGCCTATGTCAAAGCCCTCATTGGATACGTGGTAATACCTCCGTTGCTCTGTGAGGGTGGAAAATAACGATACAGTCCCCTCTCACTTTTTATCATTTGAAAAGAGATCATACCTTTCCACTCACATCATTGATATCACAATTACTTCTTGTAATTCTGAAACTTGCCACGAAGTACATTCTCCTGATTTGATTTATCACACTTAACAGGAAAAAGCTTACAAATGTACAAATTGATTGGAATCAACTGTTTTGCATCCTAGAACAGTCTTGTATTTTACTTATGGGGGTTCATAAGTGTTTTCATTCAGCAAGGTCTCCTGAATTTTGTCTAACCTTTTTAATTTTTGTTTCTCATGTAGTGTGAGGATGGAAGACAACCTATTCTGCTGTTTATGGAAAAGCCATCTAGAAAGCTGTACCCTGACTATTATCAGGTCATAAAAGAACCTATTGATTTACTGACAATTGAAGCTAATATCAAAAATGAGAAATATGCTACAGAAGATGATGCCATGGAAGATTTTAAGGTATTTGACAAAAATTGAGTGAAAATTATAGATTGCATTGAATTTTGTCTTCATGTGCACATTGTTGTTACATTTGGTAATTTGGAAAATTTTCAGTTGATGTTCAACAACTGTCGAACCTATAATGAAGACACCTCACTTATATACGAAGATGCAAACAACTTAGAAAAAATTCTCTATGAGAAAGTGCGGGAGCTCGGTGGGGCGGCAAGAACACCAAGAATGTAAGTAGTTTTTCCTTAACTGTCAAATAGCTATTATTTCTTATTAACATTTTAACTCATGCAAGGTAATTTATTGATATTAAATATGCCTTCACCTCTCTGTCTTCATTGCATGCCTAACATGAAGTGTTCGAGCATATACGAGGTGAGAATTTGTGTCTCATCATATGTGTGTTTGTGTGTGTCTTCGTTGCTGGTTTTTTTATTTTATTTTTTTGTTTTGTTTCGTTTTGTTTGGTTATATTGTGGTGTTCTTTCAATTTCTTTCTACTGTTTTTGGCTTAACATAATGTGCTGGGATCCAACTGTTGCATTTTTGCTGGGGGTCTTAATTTATTGCTACTGAGTGCTAAAGTAATTCTCTAATTCCTTACAGAACTGCCAAGCCCCGGAAAATAATGGGATCTGTTCAAAGCATGAAGATGAGAACCTTGTTTGATACCTTCCGGGAATATAAAGATCCCAAGGGCCGTCAGCTTTCAGTTATCTTCTCTAAACTGCCCAGTAAACTGGTATAAAACCTCTGTTTGCTTAATTAATTGTCATGATTGATATGGTGTATTCTGATCATTTCTAATTACTTTTTTAAATTATAGGAATACCCAGACTACTATGAAGTGATTAAGCGCCCCATTGATCTGGATAAAATATCTCAAAAGTTGAGAACAAGTGCTTATGAGAACCTTGAAGAAGTTGCACAAGATCTCATTTTAATGTGTGACAATGCCTGCAAGTACAATGAGCCTGATTCACAACTTTACAAGGTACTTACTATTTCATAGAAATTACAATTTCTCCATTTCCTTCACACACGTCTTATCTTTTTATTTCTCATTGTTTGTGTAGGATGCTCTCATGCTGCATAGATTGACTATTCAAACCAAGCTACAACTGCGGGAAGATGAGGAATCTGTCCCAGATGTTCAACTTGCTGTGCAAGACCTTTTATTGTCTTTGTTCACATCATTTTACAATCATCAAGATGAAGAAGGACGGTGCTTTTCAGATTCAATGGCAGAGCTCCCAGAGTATGATGAAATTGATGGGCAAAAGTGAGCAGAATATAATTAAAAATATTTTTGTGATAAATTAATTATCTGTTGGTTCTTATATTAATTAAATCTTGCTTTTCTCCTTTGCTCTAGAGTGCGCTCTCTGTCCCTTGACCTGATAAAGCGGCGGCTGGACAGAGGTCTCTATAGACGTCTAGATGTATTTCAGACTGACATTTTTGCTGTAATGGAAAGAGCACGCAACTTATCACGCACGGATTCACAAGCTTTTGAAGATTCTGTGGAGCTGCAGTCGTTTTTCATTAAACTGAGAGATGAGTTGTGTCGTGGTGGGGATTTGCTCAACTCACCTGCTCTCAACTACACTCTGTACACTTTAGCTGATGCAGTGGAACAGACCAGACAGCAAAAACTTCTTCAGGAGCAGCCTGAAGAAGACTTAGACACTTCACGTACAGCAGATGAAAGCAAGCCTACGGTGAGTTGTGCTGTTATCTCTCATGGCCCACTGTTTAAAAGATACACCTGCATCACTTCCATGGTAACTAATAATGTTGTTTTGTTTATATTATCAGGAAAACGGTGATACTGCAGTAGATTCTGGAATGGAACACAACAAGCAAGTGTACCGAACAGGCGACTTTGTGTATGTGGAGCCAAAGGAACGTGGCATGGATTTGAGTATCTTAGGCATTGAACGAATGTGGACTGACGAAAGTGGAAAGCAGATGATTTATGGAAATTTCTACTATAGACCTAATGAAACTTACCATGTAGCAACAAGGAAATTCTTAGAGCAGGTGTGCTAGAAAGACTCTTTGGACCCATTTGTTTTTTTCATTGTGTTTTGATGCAATGACTGCATATGCAATAATTGTTCTTTGTCTTTGCAGGAGGTTTTTAAAAGTGACCAGACAGTTACAATACAGTTGAATGAAATTTTAGGGCTTTGTGCAGTGTTGTCTGTCAGAGACTATTTTAAGTTCAAACCTGAAGGATTTGAAGACAAAGATGTTTTTGTTTGTGAATCCCGCTATTCAACCAAAAGTCGCTCTTTTAAGAAAATCAAGGTAACAAATTTAAATTTGTTTACCCTAAATGCCACAATTTGGCTATTTTAACTAAACATCATACTAATCGTGTTTTTTTTTATTTCAAGTACTGGCAAAATGTGCATAACGCTGCAGAGCACTACAAGTTTGTGGAGCGTGACGAATATATAGAACCCAAGCGTGTTATTTCAGTGTTCAAAGATAGGGTTGATAAACATAGAGAAGAAATAGCTGAACTTGAGGAAAATGAGAAGTTCCAGCATAAACATTTACCTGTAAGCTTTGTTTTGCTTTTATATGAACATAATCTGCTTGATTTTGTCTGATTTTCTTGATCTAATGTACTGCTTGTACTCTCAGGATTTGGAAATAGTAATGCCTCAGTGCATGCCTGGTATGAGGTACTATGAGCAAATTAATGCATCCTTTGGTATTCTAAGAACTGGTGACTTCATTTACATTAGAAATGAAGAGGGATCTAGACTTATTGGACAAGTTGATAGCATAGCAAGAGATCACCAGTGAGTACATGTTTTATTACTCACAACATCCAGTCACCTATTTAGTTACTCTACTCTAATTTCCCTTTGAATCAACAGGGGTGCCACTTTTGTCCGTGGTCCATGGTTACTTACTCCCCGTGAAATTCTTCAAACTCCTGGAAGATTATTTTACAAACAAGAACTGTTTTTAAGTTGTATTGAAGGAGTAAATCCTTTGCAAAACATTATTGGGCGGTGTGCGGTATTAGAACACCAGGAATACATTTCCAGTAAGTATTGCAATTCCTTCAGTTTGCATTCTTTGATGCCTGAAAAATTGGGCACTTTGTAAACCCTTCTGGGTTTTTTTTCCTCAGGCCGGCCAACGGAAATCCCCGAGCACAATGTGTACATATGCGAGTCCGTGTACGACGAGTCAATCAGGCAGGTTGTGAAATTGGAGCCAGAGGGTTTGAAGAAGTACAGCCATAGCAACGCTGTCCACGAAGATGAGATCTACTTCTTCCGAAGATTAATCAATCCACCAAAGGTACGCTTTTGTTCTCTTCCGTGGGTGTAGTGGTCGACTTCAGTGGAGGGGATAGTTGGGCGACACGCACGGGACTCCCCCGCCCCCTCCCCCTGGTTTTCAATCAATCGCGGCCGCATTGCCGCATTGATTTGACTCTCAGTGCTCATGCGTGGAGTCGTCGCCCTCCTCCCCCTCCCCTCCCCTCCCCGTCAAAGTGCCGAATTCATGCGAGATCGAGTGCCGCCCTGACGGCGGACGCTGTGCTGGTGCGGGAATGCAAGGGGGGGACAGGCTGATGATGGCTGGCGTCGTTAGGGACGCGGCGCCGCTTCGCCTCGCCTCGCTTTTAGTATTTCCCCCGAGCGTCAACTTCCGCCCTCGGAGGCGGCGACGGCGGTGCGGGCGGCGAGTGTCGCATCGCATGGGGGACTGGGGGACGAGGGCGGGCCGCCTGGGCGTGGTCGTCCCCGCCGTCCCCGCCTCCACGCTGGGCCGGCGTCAAGACGTCGAGGGGACGCTACGTTCTGCCCCTCCAGAACGCCTCGGGGGACCGCCACACCGTAGCCACACCGCCACTGCCCAGAGCAACCGGCACGGTGTTTGTTATTGGCGGGCCGAACCAGTTTTCTGAAGGTTGTCCGCAGGCTGTCTCTCTCGCACCCATGCGCATCGCCTGCGCGTCGCCCAGAGAGCCCCACAGGCGCGAGAGAGACGGGGCGATGGCGGCGAGTCCAGGCTCTGCCAGCTAGCCAGCGAGCGCGTGGCGCGGAAGGCGTCGGCGGCGCTGCCTGCCTGCCGAGCCGAGCCGGCCGCAGGGCGCTAGGTGAGGGTGGCCGTGGCGCCGCGGCCAGCGGAGGGAATTCCTTGCCCTTGCGCGGGAGGGAGGGGGAGGGTTGGGAACCCGCCTAAATTTCGGGCGGGTCGCGCTTCCTGGCGGCAGGTACCCGGGTACCCGTTACTCCCCCTTGGAGTCCCCACATGTGCGCAATGGCGCGGATCGTTTATCGCGGCCATCTGTTCCGTGCCGGCGCGGGTACACTCGTAGTACCGGTACCGGTGGTGCGGTACGAGGGCTCCCCGGTTTGCGTTCCGATTCTAGATTTGGCCTTACTTCGCAGACCTTTCCCTGGTAATTAGGCGGCGTCGGCGCCGTTTGTGTCGCTGTGGCCGTCCTGGCCGACTTCAAACGAGTGCTTTTCTCTCTCGCACCCCTGCGCAACGCGCCACGAGCGCGAGAGAGACGGCGGCGGACCCATTGTCGGGAATCGGCCCGCAGGACGGCCAGGTAAGCAGGCGGTGGGGTGCGCGATGCGAGAGAGAGAGAGGAAGCGCGCCGACGGCCCGACGGCCAGGCCACGCGTCGGGGCGACGGAGAGGGAGGACGCGGACGTTGCCCTCCCCCTCGCCTCGCCTCCCTCGCCGTGCCCCTCGCGCGCAGCCTCGCCCGCCTCGCCCGTTTTCGATCCGAGCCGACCGCGCCGTGGCGAGCCGCGCCCGCTTGAGGCGAGCAGCGAGGCAGCGAAGCAGGCGAGGCGGGGCTGTCTGCCGCCGAACCGACGTTGGCGTGGGCCGTGGCGTGGCGTGGCGGTCGAGGCCAAGCTTGGGCGCGCCGCGGACGCGCGGGGAGGGTGCGGGGTGCGCGTCAGCGTTCCACAGTCGGGGCGGGCTAAGCTCAGCCCCGCTCGCTTATCGCCGTAACGGTTGCCCGGGGCGTTGCTTGGCTGCGCGCAGCGCTAGCGCCGACTGGTCGCGGGGGCCCCGCGGTGCTGGTGCTCAGTGCGCGCCGTCGTCCACCACACCGTGCGCACCACACAGCTCGCGCTCCCCACTCGCGGCGCTCGCGGCCGACGCCGACGTCCGCGTGCTGCCGCGTGCCCCGCTTCCCGAGGCCCGAGTCTTGGAGCTGCAGCCGCAGCTCTGCGCCGCAGCGGGCAGCAGCAGCCCCTAGCGCCAGCCCAGCCAGCCAGCCCTGCCCTTCCGCACCCTGCCTCCCGCGCCCCGCGCCGCCCCCCTCGCGCCTCGCGCCAGCCTCGCGCCTCTTCGGCGAGCCGCCGCCCGCCTGGCCGCACCTCGCGGTGCCGTGGCCGTGGTCTGTCGCCGTGCCGGTGCCGGCCCGACGCAGCTCAACTAACATGTGAACGCGTAGGTTAGGCCTGGCTCTGTTGTGGCACTCCGCGGCGCGCTCCAGCCCCGTCCAGCGGAGAGCGTAGGGGCCGGCAGGGGCGCCTCCCCGGTCGCGCGGTCTCTCGTCGACGCCGCCCTCGCCTTGTCCTTGGGGGGCCCGGGCTTCCCCCTGGGTGCCGCAGTCCGGGCTCTAGTCTCGCCGGTCTGGCTGCAGCCCTCCCGATGAGCGCCGTCAAGGACATGTCTTTCCTGAACGAGGAGGCCAACGCGCCCCCCACCCCTGTAAGTATGCCGCCGTCCTTCTGGACAGCCTTGGCTGCCTTGGCGGCCGCGACCCGCGGAGGCGGCGAGGCGAGGCGGGTCAAAGGACCAGGACGGCACGGCGCGGCTACGCCACTGTAGCTCTGCTCTGCCCTGGCTCTGCCCACTCCGCAATCAAATGATGCGTTGATACCGCCCACACAATAGGGACATGCTGGGTTGGGCCGGTTCAGGTTATGTGAAGCGTGGTTTCCACAGGGATTGGTTCGCTGGTGCCGCCACCACCGCGCTCGCTTCGGCTCGTCCGTCCGTCGCAGTGCTCCGAGCTGTGGTGCGGGTGACGGTGCCCTTTGCTTGGTCCCGTCGCGGCACTGTTTGTTTTCGCCCCGTTTCCCACTGTGCCACCGCGAGATTTGAACCGCGGCCCTCCCGGTGCTCTAGAGCATGGTGCGGAGTTCAGTCCTCGGCGCCAGAATCTTGAATCGTCGCGAACGGAGTGCGGCTGGTGCCCTGCCCCAGAAATAGGCTTCCTTCGGGTTGCCCCGTCTACTTGTTGACGTTGCTTCGTACCAGCTCACCAGCAGCCATGTCAGACGAAGGATCAGCATCCTGTGAATCGGCGGTAAATTGTTTTGTCCTTTTGTCCCTTTTCGTGGGAGTTCAGGTCTGCAGTCGTGATAATGTCCCCTCGTCTCTCCGATGTGGCAAGCGCACCTAACCTCACTATTGGATAGGCCTTACTGATAAGTGGTGTTATCTGGTTGATAATTCAAATAGTGCTGCGGCAGGATGCGTTAACAACTCAAAAATGACTTCTGGAGCATCTGGTTGTTTCAATTTTCTCTCTGGAGTTGGCTTATTTGTTTTGTGGATAGTCGGAATTGGACTCATTCAGATCTGCCTTCTCTTCTGCATGAAGTGTCATGTGTTGATAATTTAGGTCACAATATTATTGGCAATCAAGTTCACTTAATTTTTCCTCAATTTTTCCTGTTTGTTGTACTCAGCAGCATAATATAAGCAATTCTTATCCGATTTTTATTCTAATTTGTCCGTTTCAACTTGGTTCCAGATTGGGTGTGATGCCACTCAAAACTCGGTCCACGAGAAAAATGAAAATAGCATGGTAAGTTTGCTGTTTGACTTTCAATTCTTCTGTAGGAAGAATGGTAAGAAAATTGTATTTTTGATGATACTAATGAATTCTGTTCATTTTAGGACCATATTAAAATGGAAATGACAGATATGATGGATGACTCATTGGACGGTGGACCTCCTTCAGTGGGGTCTGGAGAAATGATGGGTTCTACCATGTCTCTAGGAATCACAACAGCACCTATTTCAGCAAAGAAGGTAGGTGTCTCTTAGCAGGCCTTAGTTATGACTTTTTGAGGCGAGATTATGTGTCATATTTCGGACACGAGTAGTTTTATTTATTGTATTCTTGTTCCTGCTTCAGGATTTCTATGTAATATTAATAAATATATTTTTTCTGTTTTCTACAGGCCAAGAAAGATGGCAAAAAACTAGTTACTGGATACATTTTATATTCAAGTGATGTGAGGAAAGCAGTTGCTGCTAATAATCCTGAATCAAGCTTTGGTGATGTGAGCCGTATTGTTGGTACTGAGGTGAGTCATTTAAGCTTGGTTGCTGTAAAAAGTGTAACCCAGCATCAAAGTATTTTAAAATTTTCACTATGGCAAATATTTAAATGAACTGTTTCATTTTCAGTGGCGAGGTCTACCCCAAGAAGTTAAAACTGCGTGGGAAGAGAAAGCTGCTAAGATGAACGAGGAAATGGCCTCCAAAATGGCTGCCGCTGAAGCTGAAGCCAACAGCACTGCTGGACAAATTGGCCCCAACCACATTGTACCTGTTAACGAAATGCTGTGGGAGTGTTGCTGGGACACCTGCGATTTCCAATTTGAAGATATTGGTGATTGCATTGACCACTGTGTGGGCTCTGGCATGGATCCTACTGGTCATGTCCACACCTACTTTGCCAATCAACCTGCAGGTAATATAGAGCAGCATTCTTTTCCATTCTACTTGATCTCACAGATGCAAGGTTCTTTTTCTAAATGGCGTGTTTTTTCTTTCAACAGAGGCAGAATGGCAATGTCAGTGGAAGAATTGTGGTAGAATCAAGAAAGGAGCCCAACCTTTCCCTAACCTTCAGCGCCTAGCCAGGCATGTTAAAGAAGTTCACATTCAAAAGAGCACTGGCCGAATTATACCCCTTCATGAAAGAAGCAAAAACTTTGTAATATCTCGTAAGCCAAGAGCAGTACCACTGCAATCTGCAACTCTGAGTCATTCCCAACCGACACTATTAAATCACACTGGAAGTAAGTATTTTAACTCCTCTTGCTGTTTAATTAGTTTTATTTTTAAATGAAAAGGCTTTTAACATTTGGTTTGTGTTTTTATTTTCAGTGTCTGGAGCCAACCACATCTTATCTCAGGCAAGAAATACACCCTCACCTCACTCTCAGCACAACAATGTCGGAGTAGTGCACCAGCTACCTCCCAAACCCGTGGAGGCTCTGTTTGTCTCTGTACCACCCAAACCTCAAAGGCTCCTGCACTCGGAAGCTTACATCAAGTGAGTAACTACCTACTTGATACTAGTTGATAGCAAGCTGATGCATATTAGTATAAAATACGTACTTATGGTTTCTTTTCTTATCTTTCTTTTAACTAGGTACATTGAAGGCTTGTCAGCAGACAGCAGGTCAATCAACAACTGGGAGAAGCAACTGAAAGCTAGGCCTGAAAATACTCCACTTTCAGATCAAGCTAAATTACCAGGCCACTGGTTAGCCAATGGTGTTGGAAATCATGGTACTATGGTGAATGCTTTGTGGACCCTTAGGGACTTTATGGTACGAGATGCTTTAGGTATTTCCAAGCTTGTCTGACATCAAGCCAGGGCTTTGCCACTTCGAAACAGTGGTGGCATTGTCCTCAAACGCTTGTAAATTTTGCAGTTTGCTTTGGCACTGCAGGTTGTGAAGTGGATAGTTACGGATATTTGTACTTATTTATATATTATGAAATTTTGAATATTTTGTGAATTTGACTGACCTTCCTTTTACCTTGTGCAATCAATTTGGTAATTATTTTAGACGAATAGTGTAATTTAATTTCTTGCATGTTATGTTGTTAAATTTACACTTCCATGGTTGTTCAGTTCATGATTCACCCAATTTTAGTTAATCACAGTCCATGATTGTTGTTGTGTTATTGTTAATGGGGGACAAAATGAATAGAAAAGATTGGGACAATAAGTGTTTCATAATTGATGGAGTCTCTAGTAATAGTTCTCTCCTGGTATATTTATGGCAAACTTTCCTTTAGTTAGCCATTTTGTCATATTTCAAGTTACCCGTGTTAAATCTGTTATTCATCTGTTGATAGGATGCTGATGATTTGTTTTTCCTGTAACCTACCTTCCAACCTCCCGGTGTTGTTTTGTCAGTTTTTGTTTTAGTTTCACATGTGCGTCAATGTGTTTGTTTTAAGCACCCCCTCGTTTGTATTCTTTGAATGGATAATTCAAGCAATTATCTTAAACTATTGCAGAATATATAACAATTGTTAAATATTGTTAAATACTTACTGGTATTAGTTTTGCATGCACCAGTGAGACATTGGCATGTTTATATTAATTTATGAATTTTGCTAGATTTCATGAAATGGACTTAGATCTGAACCAGCTAGCGGAAAACTGCCATTATGAGAATGTTTGATGTTCTTAATGTTTTGCCTTCTACGAAATATTGACAAACTCTAAATGAATGTACAATTGAAAAACTTTCTGGTTAATAAAATCCAAGACCAAATTTGCAATTCTTGTTGTTGTGTGACTTTTTTCCCCTCTGCTCCACATACCACCACCATCATTATTGAATAAGCGGCCAATAACAAAAATTCTCACACTCCATTAGGTTTCTGGGATTTATTTCAATTTGTGTAGATCTGATACAAAAAGGATTGGCAGTGAACATAGTATATTAACAAGGTATACAGGTAACACTACAAGTAGCATGGTATAAAAAAGAGACATCAGGGGCTGCACCCAAACTGCATGACCAACATGAGTAGAGGTAGACAGGCCCCTTCCTAAATTCATGCATAGGAAGATGGGGCTTTGGAGAGATTTGGTCTCCCAGTTCGGATACGGTCCCTGAACAAAAATGGGGTGTTTAGGAAGCTCAGTCAGCATCGCCCTTCTGGTTAACTGAACAGTATAAACATAATTGAGCTGTTCCAGCGTATATAAATATTATTATTACTAGCCGCAATTCCAAATTTGCGTGCATTGGAACGGTCTCACGGTGTCGTTCCCCAGTTCAACAACGGTCGGTGTACTCGCTGCGCGCGCGCGCGCTGTCAACCCGCAACCCGTTGTCACGCTTTGGCCGCCTGGAAACGATTTTCAGATTGAGATTGGGTGACGTCAGCGCCCCTTGCCCGTGCGCGCCAACAGACAGGGAGCAGGCGCTCATGGGGGGCCAGGAGGTGACCAGACCAGGAGCCAGGAGGTGGCGCGCCGTGCGCCGCCGGCGTAGCGGGTGTACGGAGCTCAGTGCTCGGTGCTTTCTCCCTTCACCTCACTCCGCCACTCGCCGCCCGCAGCGCCCGCCTCTCTCCCTCTCCCTCGCGGCGGCGACGAAGCGGCGAAGCGGCGCGCGTCCACCCACTACGCCACCACGCCGCCCACTAGCATGCAAACTATCCCCGCGGACTGCGGGTTGATTTCCACCAAAGTACTTCGGAGCCTGCCTGCCTGCCGCTCCGCTCAGTGCGGCGGCGTGGTGCTGTCGGCCCGGATGTGCTGGGTGTGCATCTCGTCGTAGGCGATGGTGAAGATGCTCCTCTTCTCCGTCATCTGCTGGTTCCGCTTGCGGCCCGGGGCCGCGCCGCCGCCCGGGCCGCCGCCAGCGCCGCGCTGCAGCGAGGACATGACGATGCCGGAGTCCAGGTCGTCGTCGAAGGCGCCGCCCTTGTCGGAGGTGGCGGGGTTGCGGTCGGCGCGCTCGGCGGGCGCCACCACGGAGAGCACGCCCTCCTCGTGCAGGCGCCGGATGGTGTCCTCGTCGCTCACGCGCCGCGCCACCTCGGTCAGCGGGATGCGTCGGCCGGTGTCCTGCAACACGCAGAGAACGTCATGGGAGTCCACGGCCTCCAGCCCGCATGCCGCGCGCAAAAACATGTGACCCGCTCATGCCAAAGTCGGTGTTGGGTTTTCAGTGTAATTTTGACGACCGCGTTGGGTGTAGGAACGTGTGCCGGCAGGTCCTGGACAGGACTCTAGTCCTGGACAACCCGCTGTGACTGTGACTAGGACTTGGGGCTGCACTGCAGGACATGCTAGGTGTGAGTGTGTGGGGCTACTGGTGGGTCTACAGTGGACCTACCACCGGGCCACCTCCGTTTCGCGTGTCAAGCCCGCCATCGCCGCCGACTAGCCCCAACGGGGTGCCCTCCAAGTCCTCCAGGACTTCCAGGACCTCCAGGACGCGGCGTTCAGACAGCGCGTTCAGCCGTTCTCGAACAGCCAGGCCATGGAGCCGCTGCTGCGGCTGCTCTCGGCGCCAACATGACTCCCGATCGTCTACACGCACGGACAAGGCCATTTGTAACAGTGCGGTGTCGGAGTGTGTTGTAACGGCGAGTTTGCACTCAATGTCAGGAAGCTTTGCGGGGAGTAACAAGATCAAAAAATCAAAAAGTTTCTCTTTGCTGTCGGAAAGGCGTCGAATGGGTGGGCCACTGGTCAAAGGAAGCCCTTCTCTCGTGAGGTGGGGGAATGGGTGTGCTTTAGCCGGCTTTAGTCATGCTGACCTGGAAGATGGCGCTGCGGCCCACGTCGTCGATGTGCGGCCTGGGCTGGTCGATGTACGTCTTGCGCGGCTCCGCGGCCCTCTGCCCCGCCTTGGCCTCGGCCTTGGCCTTGGCGCGCTCCTCGTCGGCCTTGCTCACGGCCTCGGCGTCCAGGCGGCGGATCGTGTCCGCGGCCCTGGCGCGCCGCGCCTCCGTGGCGCGGTTGGTCCTTGGCGTGGGCCGCTGCTGGGTCGTGGTGGAGGCCGTGCTGGCGGTGGGGTCCGCGGCGCGGCGTCCCGCCACAGGCGCGCCGCGGGGCAGCGTCGCGGCCTCCTGCTCCGCCTTCCGCCGCTCGCGCTCCCGCTCCTCTCGCTTCTTCTTGTAGTGGCTCATGTAGGTCTCGCCGCGCACGTACCGCTGGTTGGCGCCGCGCGTGTCCAGCCTGCTGTTGGCGTCGCAGCGCCCCGCCCCAAGCCCCGCCCCGCCGGGCCGCGCGTCCGTCGACCGGCTGCGGCCGCGGACGGCGGCCTGCTCCTCCGCCGAGGCGGCCAGGTCGTGGCCGAGGAGTCCGCGGCCCTCCGACTCGGCGCGGCTGCGACTGCGACTGGGTCCGCCGGGGCTGGCGGCGTCCTCGCGGCCCTCTCGCGACCGGCTGGGGCGCGACGACGGCGGCCGAAGCTCGTCCATCTGGGGGGCGTTGGAGGCCGCGCCGTGGCCGGGACTGGGCTGTGGACTGCGACTGGGGCTGCGCGACGAAGGCTTCTCGTTGGCCAGCTCGCGCACGGCCTCGGCCACGGCGTCTTTGACGGCGGACAGCGCCGCCATGTCGAAGTAGCCCGAGTCCAAGTAGCTGGCGGGGTGCGCTCGCTCCGTCAGGGCCTCCGCCACGGCCTCGGCGACCGCGCCTTGGAAGGCCGCGTCGGCCTCGAGCTGGCCGTCGAGGGAGTCGGCCTCGAAGTAGTCCGCCGCGGTGTCCGGCGCGTTCTCCACCGGCGAGCCTTCTGAGTCGCCGACGCACACGCTGACGAGGCTCTTGATGGGCTCCAGCTCGAACGAGTTGACCTGCACCTGCGCGTGGCTGTCCGTCTGGCTGAAATGGTCCACGTGCGCCACGCGTGCGCGCGCCCGCACCAGGTCGGCCGCCTCGAACGAGCTCTCGTTCTCCTCCAGGATGGGCGTCTTGATGTTGTGCCGGAGCAGGTCCTTGCGGCGTCGGTAGCGTCGGTAGCGCTGGTGCGAGCGCCGGTAGGCGGTGCGACGTCGCGGGCCGCCGCCGCGGTCCTCGCGGTCGCTGTACGCCCCGCTGTCCCCGCGACCTCCCCGACGACGCCCTCCGCGGTCCAGGTCGTCGTCGTCCGACAGCGAGGACAGCGAGTCGTTGTCGGAGCGCACCTCGCGCCGCGGCGGCCGCAGGTGCAGCGGTTCGGTCTGCGTGGCCGAGTCCACGTCGGTCTGCGTGGCGGCCGCCGTGGTGAGCAGCGGCCCGGGCGGCAGGCTCTGGGTGTCCTGGAAGCGCAAACCGACATTACCCCTTTCAGCAATACCCCCTGCACGCGCGGTGTTGGTTCCAGAGCCCCTGGCGCGCGGAGTACCGACGTTAGTAATGTAAGCGCTTACCTGGAGGTCGAGCGCCGCCATGATGCGCTGCCGAGCCTCGGCGTTGCGACGACCCTCCTCGGCCAGGAAGCGGTGCAGCAGCGAGTTCCCGCGGCCCGCGCCGCCCCCGAGCGCGTCGCGCTGCTGGTCCAGGTACTGCTGCACCAGCGAGGCCTGGCTCAGGCTGTGCAACGCGTTCAGCCCCGCCACCTGGCGAAAAGAAATCCAGGTTTTGAGACCGAACCAAATCACTTCCCCACTTAAGTTGTTCCGCTGATCCGTACCTGTCCCATGAGCATGTCGTGGTAGCTGCTGTTGAGTCCGTCCGACGCCTGCTGCTCCTGGTCCTCCATGAAGCGCTTCATGATGATGTCCTTGCCCTGCTGCTGTTGCTGCGGCTGCTGCTGCAGCTCCTCCACGTGGGTGTACGGCCGCAGCTCTCTGGTTGGCTGCTGCTGCGGCGGCGGCGCCTGGTTCATGGTGATGTGCACGCCGACGTCGCCGCCTCCGCCACCGCCTCCGCCTCCAGGGTGGCCGCCGCCCTGCGTGACCAGGCGGAGGATCTCGGCGCCACCCTCGCGGAGGAACAGCGGCTGCCGCGCCGCGCGGCTGCAGGGGCACACGGGAAAGTGACAGTTATCCACACCAACCAGTGCAACAAGGCAGAGCGGCACGGACACGCACCCGTTGTAGTCCTCGTCGTCGGCCTGGTCGGAGCCCCTGTCCCTCTCGTGCCTCCTGAGCGAGTCCGTGTCCGGGTCGTCCGTCGGGTGGCCGGGCAGGTGGCCGCCGTGCACCCTGGAGCGCGCGGGCGACGGCGACGGCCCCGCGTGCGCACCGCGGTGCATGGGCTGCGCCACCAGGATGCGCGACGGGTCCAGCACGCGATACTCGCCGCCGTCGACGTCCTCCACGTACAGGGCCTGGTGGCCTTGCTGCAGGGCCGCGGCGTCCAGGGGCATCACCTTGACGGGGTGCTGCCGCGTAGCCGAGTTGGGCCTGGAGCCCCGCAAGGACCCCCTGAGGGAGCCCCTGAGCGAGCCGTGCAGGGACGCGGGCTCCAGGACGAGCCGCGGCCCCGGCACGGTGGACTCGACGGGGCCGCCGCGGTAGCCTCCTTGTCCTGCAGGCCCGCGCCCGCTGCCGCTCGCACTCCACGCCTCCTGCCGGCGGTTCATCCAACCAGCTGCAGACCAACAAAAACGGTTAGCGGGCACTGGCGCTCGAACCCGCCACCTCAGAGTCTTGCGTTCAAACCGTTGCGGTCAAAGGCAAAATCGTTGTGGTCAACGTCTTCCCGATACAGGGCATGAAAGAGTAGGGACTTAAGAATACTAGGGCGTCGAGGGAGGCCTTTTAAGGCAACTAGATTGGACACAGTGGCCGCCCAAAGTCAGCAAAATCAGCAAATTTCCGAGATTCGACCACTTTTTGACCAACTTTGGTCCCAAAATCGTTGCGGTCAAAGGCAAAATCGTTGTGGTCAACGTCTTCCCGATACAGGGCATGAAAGAGTAGGGACTTAAGAATACTAGGGCGTCGAGGGAGGCCTTTTAAGGCAACTAGATTGGACACAGTGGCCGCCCAAAGTCTGCAAAATCAGCAAATTTCCGAGATTCGACCACTTTTTGACCAACTTTGGTCCCAAAATCGTTGCGGTCAAAGGCAAAATCGTTGTGGTCAACGTCTTCCCGATACAGGGCATGAAAGAGTAGGGACTTAAGAATACTAGGGCGTCGAGGGAGGCCTTTTAAGGCAACTAGATTGGACACAGTGGCCGCCCAAAGTCAGCAAAATCAGCAAATCTCCGAGATTCGACCACTTTTGGACCAACTTTGGTCCCAAAATCGTTGCGGTCAAAGGCAAAATCGTTGTGGTCAACGTCTTCCCGATACAGGGCATGAAAGAGTAGGGACTTAAGAATACTAGGGCGTCGAGGGAGGCCTTTTAAGGCAACTAGATTGGACACAGTGGCCGCCCAAAGTCTGCAAAATCAGCAAATCTCCGAGATTCGACCACTTTTGGACCAACTTTGGTCCCAAAATCGTTGCGGTCAAAGACAAAATCGTTGTGGTCAACGTCTTCCCGATACAGGGCATGAAAGAGTAGGGTCATAAGAATACTAGGGCGTTGAGGGAGGCCGTTAGCCGCAACTAGATCGGACGCAGTGGCCACCCAAATTCAGCAAAAACGGCTACTTTCGGAGATTCAATCACTTTTTGACCAATTTTGTGACGTTACTGGTCCCAAACCCGAAGGCTGCCTGTCTGCCCTGGCCAGTCCGAGCCTGCTCGAGCTCACCTTGCACCCCCTTGTCCGCCCCGGCGGCCTGCTCGTGCATCACCAGCTGCACGTTCTCGGCGGAGTGCACGCGCGACCCCTTCCTGGCGAGGCAAATTCAGAAACACGTTAGCGACACTCCATGGCAGTGAGACGGCGAGGTGAGCCTCGCGCTGGCGCCGCTAGATGGCGCTGGCTGGCAGCCTGCAGCCCACCCCACCTGTGGCCCGCGTAGTAGGGGCAGCCGTGGCAGAAGCAGCACAGCAGCGCGGCCAGCAGCGCGAGGGCGAACAGCACGGCGAAGAAGATGAGCACCCAGAACAGCACGTTGCCGCTGTCCGCGCGGTACTCCTAGCAAAAATGATTTTTAGAACGACAAGGCCACCAGCGCCAATCTAAGTTGAAAGAAGGAGCCTCACTTTGACCACGTTCTCCCCGATCATGATGGCCGTCTTGTTGCCCTTGAGGCGCTTCTCCAGGCTGGCCACGTCCACGACGGACTGCGTGTTGTACAGCACCGTGGCGGTCACCTGGCTCCTGCAATCACCAAGCGGCCGATGAAGCGCCTGCGCCTGACCCGCCTGGCCACCGCGACGCCGCGACGCCGTCACACTCACTTTGGCCCCGGCGGCGACCCCGGCATGTCCTCGCCGTCGTACGGCCGGATGTCCTTGATGGTGACGCTGCCGCCGGTGAGGGAGCTGAGCGTCTCCTCCGTGGCCTTGGGGTCCGGGTTGACGCCGGGGACGATGAACACCATGGTGCGCGTGCGGGTCTCCGGCGGGTACACGCGCACCATGCCGTGCGTCCAGCGCAGGGGCACGCCTGCGAAGAGGGAGAGTTTGAAACTGGGGTCGCGGTTCGCGGCGGATGAGGTTGGCGACGGTCGAGCTCAGTACCGAGGTCGTACGCGCGGACGTTGACGGTGATGACCGACTCGCTGGGGCTGAGCGGCGTCTTGACGGTGAACTCGCCCGTCTCCCTGTCCAGGGCGAAGTGCTCCCCGCGGTTGCCGCTGAGAATCTCGTAGCGAACCTGAGCAGCAACCAACAACGTCAGTAAGGACCGACATCGGAAAGATAAAATCGAGTGAGGTGAGAGTTGAACCTGGTTGTTGGGAGGCTCTGCGTCCGCGTCGGTGGCCTGCAGGAAGGCGGGCGAGGAGAAGGAGGCGCGGTCGTTGGCGAGGATGAGCTCGTAGGGCTCGCGGACGAACTTGGGGGTCTCGTCGTTGACGTCCAGGACGCGGATGATGAGCGGCACGGTGGCGCGCAGGCCGGCGCCGTCCTCGTCGCGCGCCTCCACGTCCACGCGGAACTCCGGCGCCACCTCGCGGTCGAAGTCGTGCTTGTCCTTGGACACGGTGATGACCCCCGTCTCCGGGTCGAGCGCCAGCGACCCGTTGACGCGGCCCAGGATGGCGGTGTAGCGCACGTGGCCGAACTCGCCGGTGTCCACGTCCGTGGCCTGCACCTGCGCGATGCGCACCCCGGCCGTCACGTTCTCGGGGATGGTGGCGCGGTACTCGGCCTCCAGGAAGCGCGGCGGGTTGTCGTTGACGTCCTCCACGAACACCATCACGTCGGCGGTGGCGGACAGGGCCGAGTCCGGCGTCAGCTCGCGCGCCACCACCTTGAAGCTGAGCACCTTGTTGATCTCGTAGTCCAGCAGCATGGCGCTGCGCACGTGCAGCACGAAGGTGGCGCGCTGCTCCGCCACCCCGGGCAGCACCTCGAACGTGCCGTTGTTGTTGTCCAGCGACAGCGAGAACACGCCGTTCTTGCCCTGGTCGTCGTCGCGCACCACCGTGGTGAACGGCTCGCCGAACACCAGTGGCGCGCCCTGGGGGCTGTTCTCGGCGATGCGGCTCACGTAGCTGGAACAGCCGCCCGATTTTCAAGACCTCTGAGACTCTACCAGTTTGTAGAGCGCGGTTCCTTTCTTTTTAGCAGTGTACCTGGGGTGGTCGAAGTAGGGCGGCGAGTTGGCGGCCGGCCCCAGCAGCAGGGCCAGGGTGACGGTGGACGCCATGGCGGGGGGCTCGGCCACGTTGGTGCGCACCTCCTCCGCCATGACCGTCAGCAGGATGGGCTGCTGCGGCCGCGCGATGGACATGAGCTCTGGCAGTGGCCTGGCCAGCGTCACGGACCCTACACCGCAAAAAAAAAATCGAATAATTTCGGGAGTCGAACCGCAGTTCCCAGGGTTCAAAAACGGCTTCTCTGCTGCCTCGGCCACGGGGCTCAAGTGAAATTCAGACTTCGACCCATTCCATTCACTCGCGACGCCGCGGCGCCGGAAAGCGTGGGAACAAAGTCCGTTCTTTTTCCAGGACGGAGATGGCTTTTGTTTAGTTTTAGTTTTTTTTTTATTCGCCCAGCAAAACAACCACGACGCCGCTCGGCTCGGACACGCCTCGCCGCGGGGTAGTCCAATAGTCTGGGCGGCTGCTAAAAGTAGTCGCGGTGGCCGGCGGCGGGGGCGGGGGCGGGGGCGGGCAGCCCCCTTGCGTCTCAAGTGGCGGTGTTTCCAGGGCGGGGCGGTGGGGGCAGCGCTGGCCACGGCGTATCGGTACATCTGCCCCCTACCCCCCCCCCCCTCCCCTCTGCGGCGTGGCCCCGTTACATTCTAATGTGGCTGGACGCCCTGGACGCCGCGGCGTTGCGAGGGTCAACAACCCACCCCTCGGTTGCGGCGGCGCTGCCCCCCGAACCCTTTAAACCCGTCAAGTCCCGCTGACGAAGCCCCGCGCGCGGAGATTTGCATTCGCGTCGTTTTGGAGCGGCCGGAACCAACCGAAGAAATGGTCGTTGTTTCCACGTCACTGGACTAACGGCCCGTCATTCGCGTTAATTTTCCGGTGCGGTGGCCGAACTAACTCGCCTGTCTGCGCTTTGGAAAAATATGAGGCTCTTTCCACGGCAAGGCCATGGATGGACCAGCCCGACAGCCGACAGCCCGAGCCAAGCCCCGGCGTTGCCGTTGTTCCCCTTGTGGGTTGGTGAGGCCCCACACGGTGTAATGGCCGATGTGATGCCGATCTCGGCCCCTTGGATAGGCCACGGCGAAAGTGATGGCCGAGGCCGGGCTGGCGGGGTGGGGGTGGGGGAGGGGGCGTGACGAGGTAATTAACCGTTTGGGGGCACTCAGCCCCCTCCGCGCCCCGCGGGCTATCCGTCTTGGCTAACTGCTAACGTACGATGAGCTCGTTGAGATTCGCGCGCGGCGCACGCCACTTCCGGGCCGCCGCTTCCGGTCCGTCCGGGACTCACCGGTGCGCTCGTCCACCGTGAAGAAGGTGGTGAAGGGGCTGCCCTCGGACACCAGGCCGTAGCGGATCTGGCGCGGCTTGCCCTTGTCGCCGTCCTCGGCGCGGACGCGGACCACCTCGTCTCCCTGCGACAAGAGAGTCGTTTTCGTCGCTCTGTCTCTCTCGCACCGATACGGGACGCCCCATGAGTGCGAGGGAGACAGAGCGAGGACGGCACGCACCACTTGGAGGTTGGGGTCGAGCTGCGTGACGGGCGGCGCCTCGATGAACTCGGGCGGCGTGTCCTGCACGTCCACGACGACCACGGCCACCTGGAAGCCCGCGATGTTGCGCGTGTCCTGGCCCGGCTCCACGAACGGGTCCTGCACCGGAGAAAGAAGCGTTCGCCGTAAACAGCAACATGCCTTGTAGGTGCTGGACGGAGCGGGGGCTTACCAGCGCGTACAGGTCCAGGGTGTACATGGCCTGCGTCTCGTAGTCCAGGGGCCCGGCCAGGATGATGCTCGCGTTGGTCTCGGTGCGCGAGCTCAGTCGCTGCGCCAGCGTGAACAGCGGCGACCCCTGCGCGGACAAGAGCGTCATGACGGAGGACTAGTGTCTCTTGGATGTGGCGGAGCGCTGCCGCTGCTACTCACCCACAGCTCGACGATGGCGTGCCTGCTGTTGCGGGGGTTCTTGCGCACAATGACGTACTCCAGCTCGGTGCCCGGCCGCGTGTCCTCGGGCACCATGATGAGCGCCGGCCTGCGCGGGAACGTCGAGTCCATGGGCGTCGTGTTGTTGCCCAGCTGCACGATGGCGTCGATGGAGGTGGCGTCGCCGCGGGAGTCCCGGACACGCAGCCGCACGTCGTACACCCTGCCGGGGTCCAGGCGCCGCGCCAGCACCACGTTGGCCTGGCAGTACGACATGTTGCGCGTGCAGGGCAGGTTGTCCAGCCGCACCACGGACACCTGGGCGCCCGGCGCTGCGAACAGTCGACCCCGTTATTCGCACGACGCGGAGAACGCCGCGCAGGTAGGCTGTCCCGCGGTACAGGGCTGCGTTACGGGACAGCCTGCCCGCCAGGCGGCAAGGCCCCTTGCGGAGGCCGGGTAGGCAGTCCCGTCACACGGCGCTGCCGACGGGACGGCATCATCCGGGCGCGCAGCGCGCGCAGCCTCCACCACTGTACCTCCATCGCCGCCGACGTCGAAGTGCAGCGGGTAGTCGAAGTCCGAGTCGGTGGCGCGCAGGCGGTAGATGACGGTGCCGACGGCGGCGTCGCGCGGCACGAGCAGCACGCGCATCCGCGTGGCCACATCGAACAGGGGGTAGTTGGCGAGCACGGGCACCAGCAGCACCAGCAGCACCAGCAGCATGCCTCGCCTACCTGCAGGCCAGGATCGCGATGGCGGTCAGCGAACGCCGCCAGGCACTCCGGAAAGTCCTCGCTCTGTCTCTGTCGCACTCGCGGAGCACCCTGTAGGAGTGCGACAGAGACAGAGCGATGCAACGCAGGAACGCGGTCTGCTTTTATTATCGCTGTGCAGGACTTCCTCCACAGTTACGGCCTTCTTTTAGGACAAACGGCCCCGGGGCGACGCGCACCCCGCGGCGGACTTAAAGTCGGCGCCTTATCCGGCGAATCGCCCCGCCACTGCGATGATGAGTTTGTCTGCTCCGTGACTCCCGCACCCCGCGTGGCGGGGGCCGGGGGCCGGGGGCAGCCACCTAACAGTGTCGTCTTCAAAAGAAGGGACCTTCCTTGTGCGTTTTTGAAATGAATTTACCCCACTGCAGTGCCACTGCTCTGGTGTCCAGAAACTCCTGACGCGAGGATTCGAACCGCGGACCTCCACCCCGCGAAACCAGGCGCTAACGCGCACGGCCACGCCGCCACCCCGACGGGAAGACTCCGCGGTAACGAGCACCCACTTTCCAGCGCCCCGATGACCCAGGTTGATTATCTGCCAGCTCCATCGCGACCCACATCGCCGGCGTGCCTCTCGCGGTGACGTCACGCCACTGCATCACGCACTGGACGGCGCGACCGCGGCCACCGCACTGGGAAAGGCGTGCGACACTGTTTGTTGGAAAACGGCGCGGCATCGGCCGGCGCTTCTCTTTGACCCGCACGCTAGTCGCTCTGTCTCTGTCGCACTCGTGGGCCGGGCCGCAGGGCACCGCCGGGCCCCCCACGGGTGCGAGAAGGACAGAGCGACCCACTTGTGCTACTTCCGGTCTTCCCCGGTCGTTTGCCTGACCACCGCAACCCGGCCGCTTGACCGCTCGCCTGCACTGGAGGGCCGGCCGGAAGTAAACGCGGTTTGTTTTTCCGGTGCATCAGTGGAGGGCGCGAAAACCAACAACGAGCGAATTCATTAATTTATATTTTTAATACCAGCGGTTTATTTTTGCGGTGTATTTAAAACAAGGTAAACCTGACGCGTGTGTGCACACGGGGTAGGAATGCACTGGGGGCGGAGGCGGGGTGGACGGAGGGTGGGGGAGAGGCAGAGGGTGCGTTTATAAACAGAGACAGGGTGGTTGCTGAACCGTGTCGACCCGAGGGCAGCCGAGCGGCCCGGCCCACACAGGTGCGACAAGGAGGCGGGCAAGACGAAGGCGTGTGCACTGTAAACAGTGGGGATGTGAGAACAAGCAAACAGCGATCCGTTTCTCTCTCACACACCGGGGAAAGAGGACGTTCTGTGTCTCTCGCGCTCGCAGAGCGTCCCGTACAGGTGCGAGGGAGACAGAATAGAGGGAGGGAGAGAGAGAGAGAGAGAGAGAGAGAGAGAGAGAGCGAGCGAGCGTGGCTCTTTCTCTTTAAAAATGGAGCAATTGGACAATGGCGAGGTCTTTATCGCGTTTCGCGGTCTTTTGGAGAGAGAGCTGCCCTTTCCGGTCAGTCACGTCATGTGGCGTGGTGGCGGTGAAGGGAAGGGGAAGGGAGGGGGAAGGGAGGGGGAGGCCCGCAGGATATTGCCCCGGCGCCCCCCAGGGGGTACTCGTCCAGCCCTTCAGGACAGCTTAGAACGGTCACTCTGGCAGGACACACCTTCGGTGACTCAGGGGGTTGAGGCATAGATTGCGCAACAACAAAGAAGGTTTTTTTTTCGGGGGGGGGGAGTCCAGTTGATTTATACCACGGTGGCTCCAGACTTCAGTAATGTCCATCATGAGGCATGGAGACTGAGGGAAAAATGATTTCGCAGAGATTCCCAACCTTTGCGTTATGCTTCGCAACGCGAATGGTTTTGTGAGCAGGCCGGCGTCGGCGTCGGCCTCAGCGGCTGGTGGGCCTGGTGGGCCTGGAGGTCCGTCCGACTACGTCCGACTACGTCCGAGCGGCCCGAGGGCCGAATCGATCCTCAAGACGGCGAGGCGAGCGGGCCGGCGTGTCCAAGGCCCGGCAGGCCGCTCACCCCTGGGCTGCCTGGACTGCCGGACCCCCCCCCCCCCACTCCAGCGACAGACGTAGTCATTACGACAACGCAAAGGAAAGGAAAGGAAAGGGGTCCGAATCGTCACGGCCATTGCATTGCAGTGATTTCAATCTCGTCGGGGTGTTGACAAGGCGCCCCTCGTCGCCGAAGCTTTCATTTCGGGCAGCGCCGCTGCGTTCGAACCCATTCACCGCTCTGTCTTTTTCACGAGTGAAAGCAAAGACCATGGTTGCAAAAAATAAAAATCTTTTATATTCGGGGCTACCTCTCTACCCATTCGGCCGCTAACCAATCGCGTGAAATGGCGGCCGCCGGGCAAAGAAGTGCCTGCCCGTTGCAAACCACCTCGCGGTTCTCTCCCTGCTGATGCGGGTCGACACGATGGCAAACAGCCGCAAATAGCGTACCTGCTGCAACTTCACTTTCGATCTTCTCCATCCATCAGGCGCTGCAAGGTCCATGGAAAGCGATTCACACCGTCCGCCCCCCTCCCCCTCACCTTGACACCCCTTCCCCCTCCCCCGCGAACTGACCACCCCGCGCTGACCCTCGCGGGCGAACCGTTTGCGGCTGACCCACATAGCGACGCGCGGCACGGCACACAGTGGGCCAGAAGACCGATGGAGGCGGCCAAAACTCTAAACGCGTTCTGAGCTCCAGAGTCGCTAAATGGGGCTCGAACCGAACGTGTGACCCCACCAATGGATTCCTTGTGCGGAGAGCAATCCATTGGTGGGGTCACACGTTCGGTTCGAGTCCCATTTAGCGACTCTGGAGCTCAAAACGCTTCTAGAGCTTTGGCCGCCTCCACCGGTCTTCTGGCCCACTGTGCGGCGCTCGATGGGATGCCAGTGGAATCGATGGTGTCCACGCGAGTGTGTCTTTTGTCTCTGTCGGATAGTGGCCGCGGACGACGAGGACGACGACGGTGACGTGCTCGCCCGGCGGCGGTTTCGGACGCGGCCGCGCGCTTCATGGTCACCCACCCCCTGAAGCGCGACACGTTGGTGGACGCGTCAGGTGGGCAAGCGGCCGGGATAATAGACTGCTCAGAACTCAGTGACCAGCCGACACGACAAATTCATTTCTCTTTTCAAAAAAAAATTAATAATAATTGGATGATAGCTGGGGTTCGCCCCGTATATTTTTGACCTACTGTACATCCCTGTCCTGCTCACTCTCTGGCCGGATCGGGGCCGTGCCGGCCGTGCACCCGTTTCGCTCCGTTCCGTTCCATTTGGCCGACTGCGCAGCCCGACATGCAACCGCATGCAACCGGTGTTTGCGCAATTCGTCTATCCTATATGCGGCGCAATCGGAGCAATCGGAGCGGCAGTGGCTTTCGCGGGCGTACTCGCGGGACTGCCGCTGCAGCGGGCCGGACGCCCCCCCCCCCTTTTCATCCCTTCGGTCGCGTGCCGCGGGATGGCGACGGTGGAGGTCCCGTCCCGATCCGGCCGCGGGGGTTTGTCGCACTTTCACTTTTCCCTGGCGATCGTGCACGGCGAGCAGACGACGCGGCGGCGCCGGGACAGTAGTTTGCGAAGCGAGGAGGCGGTGGCTCGCGGCGAGGAAGCGACATCCCCAAAAATTATTCACAGGAAATTTAAAAAAAAAATCGCGACCAAAACAATTGTAACTGGTTGTTTTATTTTGTTGTTTTCCTGTTTTTGTTGTTGTTGTTTTTTTAAGTTTTTGAAAATTTCCGAGGTCATTGACTGCTCCAGCCAACGCTCGGCCGCCTGGCCGGCCTGGCCCTCACATGGCGTGCGCACGGCCTTGTACACTGTACACACGGCCAGGCCGGCCAGGCCTCGGCCCGGTCAAACACGGAGCGCAGTGTGCGAAGACCAGCGGCCTAATAGATTCGGGGCTTTGTTCTAGCGTGCCGACCGAGCCGGCCGAATTGAGAAGGAAGGGATGGAAACATTGTACTCTCCGTGATTTTTCACTTCTGGGGGGCCGTTTGCCTCGAAATGAAGAGACGGCTTTTACAGTGGGTGTCGCCGTCGTGGCTCGGCGCCGCTCGGCGCAGTTGGGACGCCTTTTCCTCCACGCAAGGTGCGTGGCTCAAGGTGGCCCGCTCCGTTCCGAGAGGCCGTGTCGGCGCTCTGTCTCTCTCGCACTCGTGGGGCGTCCCGGCCGGGTGCGAGAGAGACAGAGCGACGAGTGCTCGGCACCGCTCGCGGCTGGCCAGGGAGGTGGGTGGCGGGTGGGGTTGTAATGTCTGGAGAGGCGGTGCAGGGCGGCAGGGCGGCGGGGCGGCAGGGGCGCCAACCCTCAGGTAATTTTCACGGTTCCGGTCTCGGCAACGACAGCACGACGCCCAACGCACGCCCAGCGCCGGCTGCATTTTTACAAACCTCCCGTCTTTTGTTTTGGTTTTAAACGATTCACGATTTTTCCCAATCATTTCCCGCTTTATAAATTCTTTTTCATTTTTTTTCGTATTTTTTTTTTGTCATTGGCAGCCTGTTTGGTCGGATCCGAGCGGTTGGCCCCACGCTCACCCTCAAGGACAATCGAAGACAGTCGATTATGAAAGGAGAGCATACGTGTCTTCACACCCCGTGCAGCAAGGCCGCAGCCCTGGGGAGCGTTTTCCATGCTCACAGTGTGGCGACTGCTTCATCGTTGCGTTCGTTTTAACTGCCTGCAAAAGGCGCCCTCCCTCCCCCACTCCGAGCGATCCTGTTGACAGACTTAGGCCCCCATTCAACCTGCCTTTGTTCCCACGGATAGCCCCTTTTAATGTGAAATTCATGCAGCGCGCGCGCTCACACACACGCGAACACACATGCAAGGAGAACCAGCGCCCTAAGCCCCTCCGGCAAGCACCACCCCACACCATAAAGGGAATAAGAGTGAGAGTTTTAGGTGGCGCCAGTATGCAAATGTGACGGCGTGGCTTATGGAATTCCCTGCCCGCGCGTCTGTCTGCCTGCCTGTCCGTCCGTCCGTCCGTCCGTCCGCGTGGAACACTGGCGTTCGAGTGGCGTTGGGTTGGTTTATCAATGGGATTCCCCGACACGTGCTTCGAGCTGGCGAGGCCCTGCAGCGCGCAGCGTGGCGCGGCCCGCGCAGCCCGCGCAGCCGGGGGTCGAGGTGATCACAGATAGCGCCAACGCTTCCCTCCTCCTCCTCCAAGGGGAGGCGTGCTACGTACCGGCCTCCCGCGAGGCGTGGCGTTCGTTCCGCGCCGCCCCGGGTTCAAACACTCGGAGGAGCGAATTTTTTATGTTCACCTGAGTTGTTTTGGTTTTTGCTTACCAGTCGTGTGCGCTGGCATGGCGGTCTAGGCGGCCGTCGGCGGTGTGGAGAATCCTGGGCCTCGGTGGCGACGGGGGCATCCCGGTCGCCGTCATGGCAGCGGCGTCGTGCAGGCCAGGGGCAGGCCGGGGGCAGGCCAACACCGTCACATCCTCAGCACTCACTTGACATCGCTGGACATCACTCGCGAGGAGGCCGCGGGAACGTCTCCGTTTTCTAGTGTAGGCGAGCGAGGAGCCACGCGGAGCCGAGCCGGCGCGCCAGGAGACCGCCTCCCTGGCCCTGCTCGCCTGCTTGGAGCCGCGACGGCCGGAGTGCGACTGGGCCGCGCGTGCCTCACCTGTGTGCTGTTGTGCGGGCCGGGGTGGGGGAGGGGGTGGGGAGGGGGAGGGGAGGGGGAGGGGGGGGGGCGGCGCGTTGGGGTGGAGCAGGGCGCCGGGCGGGGATAGCGGCTAGGGACTCCAAGACGACCAACGTCTACTTGAACAGGGGCCAGCACCTTTGTTACGGAGTGCGGTTAGCCGCCTTAGTTTGGGAGCAGTATTGCAGCAAAGTTTGTCGAAACGGTAACAAATGTGTAGAAATCGTCGTTTGGGCTGACTTTAGGCAGCCACTGCGTCTAATCTAAGGCGCCTAATCGGTCTTCCTCAACGGGTGGGTACTCTATGGGCCTTCCTTTAGAACACCTTTGTTACGGAGTGCGGTTAGCCGCCTTAGTTTGGGAGCAGTATTGCACAAAGTTTGTCGAAACGGTAACAAATGTGTAGAAATCGTCGTTTGGGCTGACTTTAGGCAGCCACTGCGTCTAATCTAAGGCGCCTAATCGGTCTTCCTCAACGGGTGGGTACTCTTTGGGCCTTCCTTTAGAACACCTTTGTTACGGAGTGCGTTAGCCGCCTTAGTTTGGGAGCGGTATTGAGCAAAGTTTGTCGAAACGCTAACAAATGTGTAGAAATCGTCGTTTGGGCTGACTTTAGGCAGCCACTGCGTCTAATCTAAGGCGCCTAATCGGTCTTCCTCAACGGTGGGTAATCTTTGGGCCTTCCTTTAGAACACCTTTGTTACGGAGTGCGGTTAGCCGCCTTAGTTTGGGAGCAGTATTGCAGCAAAGTTTGTCGAAACGGTAACAAATGTGTAGAAATCGTCGTTTGGGCTGACTTTAGGCAGCCACTGCGTCTAATCTAAGGCGCCTAATCGGTCTTCCTCAACGGGTGGGTACTCTTTGGGCCTTCCTTTAGAACAACTTTGTTACGGAGTGCGGTTAGCCGCCTTAGTTTGGGAGCAGTATTGCAGCAAAGTTTGTCGAAACGGTAACAAATGTGTAGAAATCGTCGTTTGGGCTGACTTTAGGCAGCCACTGCGTCTAATCTAAGGCGCCTAATCGGTCTTCCTCAACGGTGGGTACTCTTGGGCCTTCCTTTAGAACACCTTTGTTACGGAGTGCGGTTAGCCGCCTTAGTTTGGGAGCAGTATTGCATCAAAGTTTGTCGAAACGGTAACAAATGTGTAGAAATCGTCGTTTGGGCTGACTTTAGGCAGCCACTGCGTCTAATCTAAGGCGCCTAATCGGTCTTCCTCAACAGGTGGGTACTCTTTGGGCCTTCCTTTAGAACACCTTTGTTACGGAGTGCGATTAGCCGCCTTAGTTTGGGAGCAGTATTGCATCAAAGTTTGTCGAAACGGTAACAAATGTGTAGAAATCGTCGTTTGGGCTGACTTTAGGCAGCCACTGCGTCTAATCTAAGGCGCCTAATCGGTCTTCCTCAACGGGTGGGTACTCTTTGGGCCTTCCTTTAGAACACCTTTGTTACGGAGTGCGATTAGCCGCCTTAGTTTGGGAGCGGTATTGGAGCAAAGTTTGTCGAAACGCTAACAAATGTGTAGAAATCGTCGTTTGGGCTGACTTTAGGCAGCCACTGCGTCTAATCTAAGGCGCCTAATCGGTCTTCCTCAACGGGTGGGTACTCTTTGGGCCTATCTTTAGAACACCTTTGTTACGGAGTGCGATTAGCCGCCTTAGTTTGGGAGCGGTATTGGAGCAAAGTTTGTCGAAACGCTAACAAATGTGTAGAAATCGTCGTTTGGGCTGACTTTAGGCAGCCACTGCGTCTAATCTAAGGCGCCTAATCGGTCTTCCTCAACGGGTGGGTACTCTTTGGGCCTTCCTTTAGAACACCTTTGTTACGGAGTGCGATTAGCCGCCTTAGTTTGGGAGCGGTATTGGAGCAAAGTTTGTCGAAACGGTAACAAATGAGTAGAAATTGTGGTTCGGCCTGACTTTACGCAGCAATCGACTGGCAAAAAAAAGCTAGCTGGTTGTGCAATTTTACTAGCTGGGCTACAAAACCGTTCGTCAGCATAATCCGGCTATTTTTTAGTGCCGGTGCAAAATAGATAAAACATTTTCCACCTGAAGTCTTTGTGTGCCCCGAGACCTGAAATTCTTTATTCAGTTTTGTTTGCGATGCGGGGTTCGGGAGAAGAGGACGCCTCCATGGAGGCCTGCAGGGGGTGCTGGGCGCCCCCCCCCCCTCCAAGTCGGCCAAGTCGGCCGGCCAGAGCGATAAAAAGGAAAAACACATTGTGTGCTGCGGGCGGCGCTGCGCTGCCACGCATCCACCGACGAATCACGGGCCAGCATGCAAATTGGCCCAGCCGGCCGGGAGGCAGGGCACTGCTTTGGGGAGTCCGCGCACTTCGGCCCTGGGCGACCACCACACTGGCAAACCAGGAAACCGCTGAGGCCGCCGCCGATCGCGTTCCGAACCAGCGCCACCACAATCAGAGGGGCGGTTCAGGAAACGCGGCGAATGACGTCATGAATACAGTGTGCCACGCCCCCCGCGGGTTCAGCGACTGCCAGACCCAGCAGCTCAGAGACTTGCCCGCGGGGCGGAGGCGGCGGAGACCGGTCCGCTGTCACCAAGCGACGCCAAGCGACGCCAAGCGACGCCAAGCACCCCGCTGCCTCGCCCCGAGGACTGCGGCGAAACGACAAAAAGGTGTCCGCAGACAGAGGGAATCCCGGCGAGGGAGTGCTCTCCGTCTCTCTCGCACTCGCGGGCCGCTGCGCTGCGCGTGCCTCGCGGCGGTGCGAGAGAGACGGAGCGACTGTTCAAACGGCAGCCACGCCCACCGCGGGGCGCCGAGCGCGCGCACGCGACGCGCACGCGAAGACGAGCGGAGGACGGCGACGGCGGCACGGCCAGGATGAACGCGCAGGGGGGCCGGGCAGGGCAGGGCTGCCGTGGAGGGCGTCGGGGCGTCGGGGCGTAAGCAGCCCAATAACAACACCTCGCCGATCGAGAGCCCTCTCCCCTCTCTCTCCCACCCCAGGCCCCAGGGCCCAGGGCCCCAGGGGGCTGGCAGTCGTGATGGATCATGTCTTTGGCGGTCGTTACGTTCACACCACTCGCCGTGCCTATGGCTGCCTATGGCTGCCCTGCCTGTGGCCCGATGGGCCTATAAAGCCTGCACAAAGGGCCGGCAAGCAGACTCACTCCCAGCCGTGTCTCTATCTCTCTCGCACGCACGGGGCGTCCCGTGCACAGTGGGCCAGAAGACCGATAGAGGCGGCCAAAATTCTAGACGCGTTTTGAGCTCCAGAGTCACTAGACAGGACTCGAACCGAACGTGTGACCCCGCCAATGGATTCCTCGTTCGGAGAGCAATCTATTGGTGGGGTCACACGATCGGTTCGAGTCCCATTTAGCGACTCTGGAGCTCAAAACGCGTCTGGAATTTTGGCCGCCTTCACCGGTCTTCTGGCCCACTGTCCAGTGAGGGAGAGGCCACGAGGTTTGCCGAGGTTTTCCTTTCCACGGAAGGCCGGGCTGGGTATTCCGAAGAAAGAAAGAGAAAGGGAAAGGGGAACGAGACTCGGGTCGGGGCGGTTTGTGGCCGGTGCCGGCGGTGGGTGGGGTGTGGGGTGTAAACGGAGGGGTCAGTCTGCCTCCCGGCGGCGCCCCACGTCGACCCCGCCGCCGCCAAGACGCACGCGAGCGCGGCGCACTGGCGGACTGGCGGACGCCACCGCAGCGAGGGGGAGGGGGGGGGGCGACGCATTAGACGTTGCAGTGCGCCGATCTGTCATTCGCGCCCAAGACGGAGGGAGCGAAAGCAATAGAGTTTCTGCCCCGAGTTTCTGTCGTCATAAGGTCCTCGAACAAAGTTAGAAGATAGTGTCCTAATTTGGGTACCACCAATCTGGGTATGTGGAACGAGGTTCTCCCGTCCCCAGCTCCCACGTTGCTGCCCACGATGATCTGAAGTGCCGTATTGCCGACGAATGCAGCTCGCGGTAACTGGCATTGTTTCGTGAGCGAGGTTCAGTCGCGCTCCACTCCAGGGAGGGCTCAGTTTATGCCTCCATTCCTCGGCTTCCGCCCGGAGCTGCGACAACTCCTGGAAGCCCCCCCCCCCCCTCCCCACAGCCCCCGCTGCGTCCGAAAGGCCGGCCTACCTCGCTTCCTGTCCACAGCACACCGCGGCGCGCTCGCCTTCGGGGTCGTTTTTCTTCGATTCCGGACGCGGCCGGAACAGTGACCGCGGCGCCGGTGGACACAGGAACATGGAACAGCCGTGAAATATGTCCACCGTGCAGCGGGGCCGGGCGCGGTGGCCGGCCGAAAGGTCAAACCCTGAGGTCGGTGACTCAGACCCTCAGACCAGCCGTGGACTTCCCCGCTGCGACCGCCGGCCCGAACATTCGTGAGTGTGTGTGCGTGCGTCTGTGTGTGTGGTTTTTTTTGTTGCTTTCTTGCGCAATTAGGGCCAAACCACATTGACCCAAAGCCGATTTCCACCCTCTTGTTGTTTTGAAAAAAGTTCAGCAACATTTTCTTTTTTATAAAAATGAAAAGAAAAGAGGGTTTCTCTCGGACCAGACAGGCCTCGTTCCAGATAGACCGTTTAAATTTACGCGCGCGACCTCATTAACGGCGGACCAGACACACGGTCTGAAAAACGAGCACCCTACTTACGAGGAGGGGAGGGGGCGCGGGCGGGGGCGGGGCGTGGGGGTGTTCCGTTGTTTCACTTGGCCCAGATTGATAGGGAGGCAAATTGTGGGGGCCGGCCAGGGGGGCGCCAAGTGGGCCCCGTCGGATTGGAGCCCCTCGACGTCTTGGCCGCCCGCCACGCCGCCCCGCCACCCGGAACCCCCTTCCCCGTGACCCCCTAAGTCAGCCGGCGAGACGGTGGTCGGCATGGCGGTCGCCCTGTTCGAATTTGGCGCCGGACCCTCCTCAACGCCGCACTTCCCGGCCGCCTCTGCCGTGCACGGCCACGGCCTTGACGGCGTCCTGGAGGCCGCGCCGCCCCACACGCCAACAGTGTCGCCACGTCATCGCGACAATTTGGGGCACCGCTCTGTCTCTCTCGCACTCACGGGGCGCCCCGCGCGGCCCCGCGGCACTTGGGATAGATCAGTCACCAGACGAGTCAACTCACAGAAAGCGCCCCGCCGCGCCGTCGGTCGGAACCAGTGACCGCATTCTCGAACTCTCCGCCGTGGACGCGTTCGTGGAACACACCCCCAGCGGTACGTACCGAACGACATTCACGGCGCGGTCGGAGTTACGAGTGTATCGGGCGAGGGGAGGGGCCGACGGGGCACGGGGTGCAAAGGGTCAGTCGGCGGGGCACGCAGTGACCCACTTCGCTTCGTTACGGCCCGCGGAGGGGGCACGGCGGGGCACGGCAACGGCAACGGGGTCGTCCCGGCTGGCCGGCCCACCAAAAACACCGCGCGGTCAGGGTAAGTAGTTTGGCCCCGAAAAAGCGGCGTCTGGCCGACCGGGCTGACCACCAGACCAGCCCGCCGAGTGGAAGGGCCGAACACAAATTCTCGACTGGATCGAATAAGAAGAACGAAATGCGGCGCTTGCAGCGGCGCACCGTCTTCGTCCTCTTCCCCGCGGAGACCCCTGTCATCGAGAGGGCAGGCAGCCCGTGCTGCCGGTGTGCCGGCCGCTGGCCTAGCCGCCGGGCGGGGGACTGCGCCGATACTCCGCGCGCTGCGCGCGGTTGCTGCACCATGGGCGCGGGGTATCGAAGCGGAGCACGAACGTAGACATGTTCCTTTCGATGTTTTTTTTCTAGATGCTGGCTGATTTTTTTTGTAAAGTGGTCATATTATTTCTAACGGCAGGTGTGAATCTATTATTTTCTCTTCTTTTTCAATTTAATGAATGGGTAATATTCATTCAGTTGACCTAACCTAACCTAACCAGATACTCGGGGCCGTTTTTGACAAGCACTCCGGTCTCTGTTTTTCTTTCCTGCATTCTTGCATTTGGACATGTATGTGTAGGAGAGGTAGGGATTGAAATAAGCGAGAGTTGAGTACTTTTGTCTTTAATTGTATAAATATTAACTTATGACATCGGCACTATTTACAGATCTGCTGATCACCGCCTTGCGGCATAACAGCTTGGACTAGTCACTTCCTCGGGTGGCGTCGCGGCCTTGGACCACGGCCTCATTCTAACTAACAATTTTACAACTTATTTTTTTTTTACAGGCTAAACGATACGTACAATAAAAGTGTGCCCTGAATGAAGGCGCCACGAATGAAACTCTTTGGAACGACGCTGCTTGTCCTGCAGCCTGCAGATACCCCGCGCGGCGGCGCTACTCGCAGCGCGGGGCGTCGATACCCCACGCCGCCGCCGCGCTGAGCGCTCACATGCTGCCCTCCTCCATGGCCTTGTTCATGTCGTGCACCAGCCTGGACAGGTGCTCCCGGTGCACGCTGTCGCGGCGGAACACGGCGTCCAGGAACTGCTGGTTGGCGAAGAAGCCGAAGACGTGGTCGATCCTGGTGAGGCTCTTGTCCGTGAGGTGGCTGGACACGAGCTGCTGCAGCACGGCGCGCGAGTCGTGCAGCGCGGCCAGCAGGTAGTGCACGTCGTAGCTGAACTCCACCTCGTGGAAGCTGACGGTCGCCATGGCCGCGGCGTGGAAGCGACTCTGCGGACAGAGAGGCACTCTCTCTGTCTCTCTCGCACTCGTGGGGCGCCCCGTACGGGTGCGAGAGAGACAGAGCGATCGCCCGCAGCGACACAAGGACGCTGGAGCTGCACGAGAGCGCCCAGCGCGGCGTGGAGTGCCCGAGGGAGTGGCAATGCCCCCGGAGCGCTTCCTGGGGGAATCTGTGTTCATTTACATACCTTGAATCTCTCTGCGAGCTTCATCTCCTCGGGGCCGAACTGGCCGTTGCGGTACAGCACGCCCAGCTTGATGACCACCTTGATGATGTTCTTGACCACCTTCTCGGCCTCCTTCTTGTTGTTGGACTGCAACAAAGGAAGTTCCAGTGCGGGCGACGCGAGCAAGGCGATCTCATCGAACTCGACTGAAGGCCTGCGCTACTCACATAGCTCTTGGCGAGGCGGTACAGGTTGTCCAGCAGGCTGGACGTGGTGTCGTCGATGAAGACCCTGGCGACGTTCTTGGACGCCATGCGGCTCAGGATCTTCTTCTGCGCGCGCAGCCCGATGTCGCGCGCCCGGAAGCCGCCGCCCTCCGCCATGACTGGAAACGGAAACGGAGCGAGGGGATGAGAGCGGGCCGAGGGGGACTAAGTGGCGACTCAGGGCAGCGGTGTCGAAAGGGTTGCCTAACTGGAACGCCGTTTCTAATTGTGTCCGTTAGGATAGCGACCAGGCGATATCCCCCGCGCTGGAGAGTCTCACGAGGCGCGGAGTAAGGACAGAAATGGCTTCTATTTTTTCACTTTCGACACCTCTGCTCCGATGAAGTTGTTGAGGTTTCACGAACAAAAAAATAAATAAAAAAGATGAGCGATAAGCCGAGTGGGCAACAAGTGCACTCCTTACCTGGACTGTAGGCTGCCCAACTAATCTGAAAGAAACGCGTGTACGGTCCGTGTTCAACGCCTGGGGGTTCCAGCTGACGGTGGCGAGGGACTCACAGGCTAATCTAAACTACGAACGAAACAAAAAAGGAAAGAGAACGGAAATAAAATAAAAGAACAAAGCACATGGCAGAACTTAAAAAATAAAATAAGAAATAAAAGTTATGCGGTGGCGAAACAATGCTCATGCATCTAAAAAGATAATGTCGAAATGTCAAATGAACGCGGCGAGGGTTGGTACTCACAGGAACACTCGGGGGCTACCCAGGAGTACAGCAGCCAGCTCTCCACCTCCATGATGGTCGACAGCAAGGCGGATGCCATGGCGCCTGCAACACACGGACACGCATTGAAACAGTGGTTGTAATCGGGCCGAAAGTTTAGGTGGCGTCGCGGTCACGTTGGGCAGCCAGTCCCATCCGCCCCGCCCCGCCGCCGCGACTCATTATGATATGTAAATAGCACCCCGCCCCCCCAGGCCCCCCGCACCACAGCGACGCGATGCTTCAAGTATTTCCTCCAATTTTCCCGCCTGCGGCCATCTCTTTGCCATTACCATATTATTGGCACACTTGGCCGGCACTGTAAACAATTACCGTGTTTACACTGTCAAATCCCTGAAAGTGCGTTCCACGGTGGCTGTCACGTAGTTTGTGCACGCCCTTCCCCTCGCGCCGCGACTAACTCGACATAACCGGCGGCTTGGGCGCGGTCGACTCGGTCGATAGTCCCTTCGGCGTAACTTCGGTTCCGAGTATAGAGAGTAACTTCGGCGTTTGGAGAATCGGGCGGAAAAAGGTAAAAGGGGGCGCGGACACTGACAAAGGGACGGGTTGCGTCACCTCCGGCTGCTTCCGCTTACAGTGTGGCGCGGTGCGGATCGGTGTGGATTTCGGGGAAGTTCGGCGGCATCGCGTAGCCGAGGCGCACGCCGCCAAACCGCGCCAAACCCCCGCGATGATGCAAGTCCCATCTCCTGTTTTGCTTGTGTTCGCCGCGAGGCCACGGCCAAGGTCACCTGGTCAAGGTCACTCGGTTTGCAGTGGACAACCTTCTGCGCTCCGGATGCCCAGTTGTTGTCCAGCGAAGCGGGTTTGTCTATCAGCTCCCGACAGGCGCTCTCAGGCAGACCCGTTTGTCTGTGTCTTTGTGAAGATTTCGTGGGTATCTCTGCCGCTCCAACCTGGCGCCAGCCTTGGTGTCTGAGGCCGCCCCGCCTTCGCCGCCTTCTCGACTACCTCGAGGACCTCGAGACGGTGGCGGCTGATGTCTGATACGTCGCGTCCCCCTCTCCCCTCAAGAAAGCAGATACCGCGAGACTCCCGAAACCGACCGGCCGGCAGGGCCTAAATGTTGCGAGACAACGCCAGGATCTTCCCTTCCAGTGGCGAAAACGACATCGGATGGAAACGAAAGTCAAGATTTTCTACCCTGCAGTCGGTCGGCGCGGCGCCACGACAGATCGGCGAGAATGTTCCGGGGATTCCCGAGTCCCCTCGCCAAGCGCCGACCACCGAACCCAGCACCCTTCACTGAAGTGTGTGTGTGTGTGTGCGTACTACTCCGTGCGCCCCTTAACCGAGTCTGGCAGTGTCACACGCACGACGAGGCGTATGAGTAGGGCCGTTATAGCCCGCCTCAAAGTCAGGGAGTGGCCAGGCAGCCAGGCAGCCAGGCAGCCAGGCAGCCAGGCCAGGAGGGCCAGGAGGGCAGAGCCGGTAAAGTCAATTCAACGCCACAGCGACCACACCCAATTTGCGCTTGGCTTTTCACTTCACCTCGTTGACTGGCTAAAAAAATTGATTAGAAACCAAGCCAAGAGAAAAGACTAAATTTAATATTTTTGAAGATGTATTTTAGAGAGTGTGGCCGCTGAGGGTCCCCGCGCGACCTCTAGACCTCTCCAGCTCGGCCTCTCCACTCCAGTTGCGCCGACCTATCACGGGCCTCGTTAGGGAGCAAGTGCGGTTCTGTGGTGTCCCAGACAGAGCCGCGGGCGGGCCCCCTGGCCCCCTCTCTCTTTCTCTCTCTCTCTCTCTCCCTGGTCGTCTCCCCAAAACCAGAAAACGGGACCCGGACGACCCGAACCTGAGACTCCCGAGAGTTCCGCTCACTCTCTTCAGGAGGGAAGTCCACTTGAAGTGAACCGTTCGGATGAGAAGCCTGCGAGTCGATGTCGCATTTCTACCTCTCTCTCTCACTCCTGCCTTTTGGCGCGGGGCTCCCCGGCAAGACTTCCCTACTGTCGGCCGCCTGAACTGCATGCGCTATTCGCACGATGCCTTACAAGGGGTTGGGTCGTGCCGCGTGTGGTCTGCTTCCGAGTAGCTCTGTCTCTCTCGCACCCCGGGGGCGTTCCGTCGGGGTGCGAGAGAGACAGAGCGCGTTCGAAGCCATCCCGCTGCGTGACGGCACGACGGCACGCACGGGCGCACCTCCTCTGGCGGCGAGTGCGTGCGTTCACCCCGGCTTCCTTATTCGCACGGCGAGCTCGGCATGCCTGCCTGCCTGCCTGCCTGCCTGCCTGGCAGGGCTGGCAGCCCTTGGCCGTGGGCTGTGACCGCCGTCCGCATTTTTCCGCGAGCGTCTCCCCGTCCTGCCGCCGTGGCCGCCGTGGCCGCCGCCGTCGAGGCTGCCATCCTGGGGGAACTGGAATGACGAGGTGTGTGTGCGGGCTGCTCCCTGCCGCCCCGCCCCGCCCCGCCCCGCCCGCGTTCATCATCGTCGGCATGCTGGCGGTCGGTCCGTCGGTCCGTCGGTCCCTAGCCTCGCCCGAACGCCGCCGTCCGTCAGCCTGGTGGCGTGCCGCGCCGCCGCGCCGCCGCGCCGCTCTACAGACGGTACGCCACTCGCTGCAGTGCGAACCCAATTAGCGATCCAGAGAGAGAGACAGACAGACAGAGACGGAGGAGCCGTATCCGAGCGCAAAGCCCTCATTACATTCTTTCTTTGTTTCAGACAGTCGTTTACACTGTCGGTCTCTCTGTCGCTAAAATCTTCCTCTCAGACGGGTTATCGACGCGCGTGCTGTACGAAAGGCTCAGTGAATTTTTCATAATTTTTGCACTTTTTGCAGTTTTGTTTTAAAGAAACAATGATGGCATTTTGAGAGAGACGGGGTGGGGCGGGGCGCGGTGGGGCGGGGCACGTCGCTGGGCGCGGCGGTTTGTAGGTTATCACTTGAGGCCGACGGACTAAGAAGGCCTAAGCGTCCTTCTCGCTCGCACTGCAGCCGCGGCCGCACTCCGGAGAACGATGCCCCTCTCGCACGCAGCCCGCTGCATCGGCCCGCATGTCCGCCCTGCCCCCCTCTTTTGGCGGGGCGGGGCGGGGCGGGGCGGGGCGGGGCGCCCGACGCGGCCCGCTGAATCAAAGTCACCGTTCAACCGCTGCCCATAGTTCAGGTGCGCCCGCTGCACACCGACAAAACACCCCCCCCCCCCTCATTTCATTCTCGACGTGCCGCTTGATGAAAGTGGCTTGCTCATTCCCAGAGTGAATGGTCAATCTTCGACACCAAAATAAATTGGCGCTGTGGCCTTTTCGCGACCCGCCCTTAGAGGCCCTTGGCCAGGCCATGGCGCCCCTGCTTGAAACATTGATGTCTCTTTCGGTTCGCCCGACGTGTATTGATTATTGGCGTCCACGTGGAGTGGAGGTCTTTCATGCCCTCATGCCTCCCATGTTTCCCATGTCGGCCGCGACACCCGCGGCCCGCGGCTTCTCTTCTCTGCCCACACACACACTAACTCTCGACGGCAATTACTGCGCTGTGTGTGTGTGTGTGCGCGCGTGTGCTCGGGGATGGCACGTTCGCCTGGGGCGGCCAGCCTCCATGGCCTGCTCGGTCTGCAAAATGAATGATTGTCGCTGTTCGGCTCGTTAATAATGCTCGCCAATCATTTCAAGATTGTCTCCCCACGCAGTGCCAACTTTGTTGTTGTTGTTGTTCCCCGGCCAGTTTCGGATCGTCTTATTTCGAGGATGTGTGCGGCCGGCGCCCTCTCCATCATGGGTCTGTCTCTGCAGACTGAAAGGTGGTTCCGTCTCTGTCGCACTCGTGGGGCGTTCCGTGAGGGTGCGAGAGAGACAGCGCGTTCCGTTTGGAGTGGCTCTGCCGCCGCCTCCGTCGCATTGGACTTTCCAGTGGGAGTCGCGTGGCTGGAGCGGCTGGAGCGGCTGGAGCCACTCCAGTGAGAAGTACAGTGCCTGGCCGGGTAAAACGAGAATCTGGGGTGACACACACACACACGCTGACTCACTCACACTCTCTCGCGCTCGTGCCCTGCTTCCAGTCTCGGCACATCGCCCGAAAAAGACAGACAAAGAGAGACATCCCGGGTCTCCAGCGTTCTCCAGGATGACAACGGCGGCCCCGCGGACTATTTTTAAAGCAGTATTGAATGACACGTGCCGCCCCCGTCGGGCCCACTGTCTGTCTCGCCCCTTCCGAGCCCCCCGGGCCCCATGCATCGGACTGAACGGGCTGAATGTGGAACCGACCAGCTGTCTCGTCCAGCCGGGGTAGGAAAGGGGAAGGGGGCAACGGCAACAAAATGACCGTTGGAAGGAACGCGGCACGCGCCGCCCCTCCCTCCTCCTCGCACACCTCAAAGGTGAGACCCCCTCCCCTCCCCTCTCTCTTCCTCCTCGGCTGATCCCTCCCAAGGCATTCTCCAACGTCTTCGCGGTCTTCGCGTCGGCGGGGACGCCCGATCGAGTGTCTCGGCGAGCAGCGGACTCATTCCGAGAGTCGTTTTCGTCGGTATCTCTCTCTCTCCTTGCGACCGTTTTAAACGAATTTCCAGAAAGCGTGGTATTTAATTTTTAAAAGGACGTCCGTACTCTGCCGCGCAGACGGAGCAGAGGCACAGTGTGTGCAGCATGCAGGGTTGCTGCTGGACCAAAGAGCTCTCCGGTTTTCCGGCGGCCGACTTCCTCTCTCTCCCTCCCTCCCTCTCTCCCTCTCTCTCACTTCCTGGCCGGGAGAATAAAGGAACCTCCAGGCAGCCCGCAGGCAGCCTGGAGCACACTCCAGAGCCACATCGCTCCAGCTACAGCTCCAGCTGATGCGGCCCGTGCGTGTGTGTTTACCTGGATCGTGCCCCCTACTCCCAGACGGGATGTAATGTAATGTGATTCGTGTTCGAGGGGGTGGGGGGTGATCCGAGACCACCACATCGCTGCGAGGCTGGGCGCAGGCATGACGTCACCACGCTGTGGTTTTGTTTCACCCGAATCTCCGTAGTCAAACCACGCGTTCATTTGTCCCGCGAGAAATATTTACAAATAAAAAATAACCGTTTTCTCCGCCTCACGGTAAAGCCGAACCACCGCGCACGCACTTGTGCGCGACGTCGCCGTTAACGATAGTAAGGTGCTTGCCACAATCACAACGAAAGTGCGGCAAATGAATGAATGGTGCGAAGCTAGAACCGGTGGAACAATGGGGTGCGGGGAACGCCAAGGCTGCCAAGGCCGAACCGCCGGGCCGCTCCTCAAACAAACAAAAGAAAGTCGCGACGCACACGCACACACGCACAATGCTCGCATGAGTGAAAGGAGGGCTGCAATCTGCGATCGGCTTCGAACGACTCGCACTAATCGGCCCATCCAAGACGGCCGGCGCGGATTTCGCGGTGCGGTCGACTTATCGTCGCGATAAGAACGCGCTCTGTCTCTCTCGCACCCCGCCGGACGCCCCGTGAGTGCGAGAGAGACACGCGTCACCGAATGCCCGCGGCCGAGTCCGCCAGTCCGCCCCGCGCTGCCCTGCGGCCGCCGAGCGCGGAGTCATCTTACATGTTACCACCGTGGGAAGAAGCTTCCAGAGTTCTCCAGTGTGCTAGCCTTGCAGTGGCGCGGCACGCCTCCAGCCGCTCCAGCCAGCCGACGGCCGCGCCTTCCAGCTCAGCATCGTCGCTGTGTCTCTCTCGAGCCCTCGCGGGCCGGGCCACCCATGAGCTGGGTTCGAATCCTCGCGCCTCGCAGTTTTTCGCGCGTTGGAGCAGGTCCTGCTGGATACACTGGATCCAGCACCGCCGCCGCCACGCCGCCACGGCCTGGGTACCTAGGCCATTCGCCAATTGTCACATCCTTTCCCCCCCATGGCCATGAAGCACCGTGTCACCGTGGTGCTGATGACATTGCCCCCCCCCTTCTCCAACTGCTAACCTCACCCAACACGACCGGCGCGACTGCGGCGGACTGGCTCCCCAACCACACCGCCACGCCGAGTCCACTCCACTGGAGAGCCGTTTGTCGATCGTGTGCAAGCCGCGGGGCGATTCCGCGAAGAGTCGCTCTGTCTCCCTCGCACTGCGGACGCCCCACGAGTGCGACAGAGACAGAGCGGCACCCGGGGCTCCGGCAACTTTTGGCGGTCAGACTGGCTTCGGAACTTCGGTACCTCGGCACACCGCCTGGCAGCGCGTCAACAAGTTGGACAGTGCATGCACTCGGCAAGCCGCGAGGTACAGTACGCGCGGCAGCAGACGAGGCAAATGAGTCGCACATCATGCATTTCAAAGTAAATTAAAATGGAATCAACAGTACTGAGGACAACTTCGATAGGTCTAGAAGGAATACTCGAACGCGCCGCGGCGCACTTGCAGTGCACCAGCGCCCACCACTGGCACGACGGCGGCGCCAGCGCCTGACCCACTCTCCAAATCACAAAAAGGCCGTAAACATTCATTGGAGGACGTAAAACGCGACGACGGTGACGCCGCCAGCGCCTTACTCACCGGCCGGGCAGACGCTGGCCGAGGACGCCCGTCTGGCGGCACGGAGTGGCGAGAACGACGAGTACGTCGAGAGCGTCGGGCAGAGGACGACAACGACCAGGACGCCGTCAGGGAGAGCCGAAGCCGAACACAAGAGTCACACTTGCACTGGTCTATTCCGGCACACTGGCTGATACCCACTCGCCGGCGGTGAGCAAGGTACTTCCCCCGGAGGGGCCGGTCGCGGACGCGCGTGCTGCCTGGGGCTCTTGTCGACGACGACCGCGCGGCACGGCGGCTCGGCTGCGACTGGTTGGCTGCTTGCCGCGGCTTGCCGAGGTGAGGAGTGGCGTAGTGATGGAAAGCAGACCAGGGATCGCGACCCGCGCCCCGCACCCCGCGCAGCCCCGCGCCGCCCTGGAGCGGCAGCCGCGAAGCGAGCGAAGCGCGGGTAGCCGCCAAGCCCGCGCCGCCGCGCCGCCACGCCGCCCAGCTGCTTCTGCTTTGGCCAGCTGCTGCCCCCACCACGCTCCAGCGACCAGGGCCCCTCGCGCGCGGGGTATCGCCGCTCCGCGCGCCGACGCGCGCGCCAGCGGCGCGAGGAGGAACTACTCCGCGCGCGGCGGCGGCAGCGCGGTTTGAACGCCCCCGCGGAACGGGCCAGGCGGCCGCCGAGCCCGCCGCTAGGGCCGCGGGTCCTTCCGGGGGGCCAGCTTGTCCTCAGCGCGCAGCAGGTACGTCTCCATCCAGTAGGACACGCTGCAGGCGAACTTCTTGGCGGTGGGCACGAGGTCGCCGACCTGGAAACAAGGTTGTTGAGGCACTGCAAGGCCCTGAGGCACTGCCCCTCGCCTCACCTGTGGCCGCGTTTGGTCGAAGAGAGTTGTGAGTCTTCGCTCCAGTTCGGTCTGCAGAAGGCTTCGCCGACGGTTTTCTGGCCTCTCCTAGAAGCGACAAAAAAAAGGTTAAACTTGCAGTGATGGAGCTTAAAGCTCATCCCTGGGGAAACCCTACCTTGAAGTTGTCCAGCAAATCGTTGAGTTGGTCCAGCATGGTACAGATTGCGATGGCCTGCACTTCGCCGGGCTCCAGGTTCTGAGAGGAGTGCGTCTGAATCGGTGGCAGATTGCCCCTGCTCGCCGCGGTCGTGGGTTCGACCCCCGCCGCCCCCGCCGCCCCCGCCGCCTCTGTGTGCTCTTGCTCTGCCGCTGCCGCTTTTCCAGCGTCGTCGCCGGGCGGGCCGGGCGGCTCCAGGGCCGGGGGCACGGGGGCGGCGGCGAGCGGCGGCGGGGGCCTCTGGCGGTAGCCGAGGGCCGCGTGGCCGCAGACGGCGCTCGCGTACTCCTGGACAAGGAAGACGGCGAATAAGAACAAATAGAGCTCGGAGCACTTAGCGAGGGAAACGAACATCCACCTCGCAGGCCTCCGAGTCCAGCGACTCGCACGTAATGCTGGGCGGCTGCTCGGCGTCGCGCTCGCCGTCGTCCGCGTCCACCTCGTCCACCAGCACGTTGGCGGCCTCGGCGTCCATGGCCACCAGCGCGGCGCTGCCCACCGACGCCATGCTCTCCAGGGCGACCAGGACGTCGTCCTCCTGCTCGGTGATGAGCAGGCTGGTGTGCGTGGACGGGCACACGGGGGCCAGGTCCAGTGGGCCCCTGGACACCATGGCCGTGGAGGGGTAGACTTCTGAGGAGGGGTCAGGCTATCAGGGCACACTCTAACCATCGCGTTGCTCTCGCCTGGTGTTACGATTCACGGACCTGGCGTGGAGTGCAGGGACGAGATTGTGCAGGAGGCTTCGCTGACGATGCCGACGCCGTCGTTGGTGTTCACGGAGCTCGGCGGGCTCGACGCCTCGCTGGGGGTGGCGCTGGGCAGGCCGCTGGGCGCCGCGGTGAAGGCCGGCGGCCTGGCGAGGCAGAGCGGCAGGTGCACGGCCTCGGCCGAGTCGGACGGGGCCTCGGACACGGCCTCGGACACGGCCTCGGCGGAGACGCGCGACGACAGCGCCACGGAGCGCGGCAGGCAGGGCGGCCGCGGGGCCAGGGCCGCGGCGCTCGTCGCCAGGAACGGCGGCCGCCGCCCTTCGTCCAGGAGCACCGCGGGCGGCGCCAGCAGGTGGGGCTCCGGGGAGTGCAGCGCGGTGCGGGGCGGCGTCGGCGAGTCCGGCGCCGAGGAACGCAGTTCGAGCGGCTCGAGCGGCGGGGCGGCCTTCTCTGCCTTCTTCACGGTCTCGGCGCTGCAAGAAGGCAATGTCAGCAAACGGCCCGACTGCCTTGCAGCAAAATGCGCCAGTGGCACCTGCTGGCGTGCTGCGGCGACGCCTTCGACGACGCCAAGGAGGCCCTGGACGTGGTGAACCTCGGCTCGTTGGACGACGCCGCGTCGCCCTGGGCCCTGAGCTCGGACTTGGGCTCGGCCTTGGGGCTGTGCAAGTCCACCAGGCTCGCCGCCATGCCGTCCAAGGCCACCAGGGCCGAGGGGGGCGTGGCCGAGGGCGGAGTCGCCGCCTTGTCCCACACGTCACCGTCGTCGGTGCTCAATGGGTACATCGGCACGGCCGACTTGCAGGACCACGGCGACGCCAGGCCGGGGCACCGGTCCACGGACAGCATCAGCGGGTGCAGCGTCTGGAACGGCTGCAGCGCCAGTCATTGCCCTTCCGAACGGGAGATCACAATCTGCCAATTTTTGGGCTTGGTCTCACCTTGCCGTGCTGGGTCTTGGGGTGCTTCGGGTGCTTGGCCGTGGCCGCGTCCCTCTGCGCCGCCAGCGCCGCCCGTTCCCGCTCGTGCACGCCGAGCAGCGCCACCGCCTGGCCCATGGCCTGCTCCACCAGGTGGTCCAGCAGCATGGGGTCGTGGTCCGTCTGCGTGGCCTCGGCGTGCTGCTCCTTCATGACGGCCGACACGGCGTGCAGCGCGCCGTGCAGCTGGGCGCGCGCCCCCTCCGGCACCGACCACAGCCACGCCGTCAGCCCGGCCAGGGCGGACTGCGCGCCGCCGACCGGCCTCTGCAGCACCGCGTCGAACGGAACGGGTTGCCAGTGTGAACCCCTTTCCCCCACCCCGTCGGCCACCAGAAGCGGAGGATCATTTGTGCCTCCAGCCCGCACCCACCTGTGGGGCCTGCGCCAGGGCCTCGGGCGGCGCGCTGGGCACCGGCCTGCGCCGCGGCACGGGCTGTGGCTGCGGCGGCAGCATGCTGCGGGGCCGCAGCCGCGAGGGCTTGGCGGCGTGGTCCTGGTGGCAGGTCTGGCTGTGGATGCGGCACGCGCTGGCGCCCCTGCCGAGGGACACCGCGTCCTGCTGTTGCGTCGACGAGGACCGCGCCGACGCGCGGCTGGCGGCGCGCCCCGAGTCCACGCGGTGCACCAGCGACTGAGAGTCGACACAGCGAAGGGCCACGTTGACTGTCTCGGTCTCCAGGCATCGTCGCGGTTCAACTCCTGCTTACGCTTTTCGTCGAGGTCTGCTCCGAGGAGGTGGGCGGCAGGGTGGCCCACTGCTTCAAGGTGACAGTGGACAGCCGCGCCCGCTTGCCCTCCACCAAGGCCTTGGCCTCGGACAGGCCCACCTGCTGCAGCGCCAGCGCCGTGTAAGGACTCTCGCGTGCCCTGGACATCACCGACAACACCGCCTAGCCAGTCAGAGCAGCACCAAACTAGGCTTCCAAAGTGCCGCTTGAGGGAGACAACCATCCTTTGGATTGCTACCTTAGGGAGGACCCCGAGCCAGGCCCCTGCCCTTGTCGCCGAGATCTGGTGCGAGTGGACAGTTCGCCGCGCTCGTCCGATCTGGATTTCCTAAGTAGCACAACCAGAAACATGAACTGGTGACAACGCGAAGTCCAAACCCGAATCCGAAAAAGCCACACTGCCCAACCTATGGTGCAGGCGCTCCACCCGTGGGGTGTCACTGACGTGACCGGGGCGGTCCTCGTCGGCGTCCTCGCCCTGCCGGTGGCGCCACCTGGTGTCGTCTGCCACAAACGCCGCGTTAGTGATTTTGGCTCCAGAGTCCTGGATCTCCTGCGGCGTGGACGCTACCTGCGTTGCTGCCGGTCCTGAGTAAGGGCGTCGAGGGGCCCTGCGACTCCTGGCTGGGGTGCAGGGAGAGCGAGCCGCTGCGCGCCGCGTCCTCCACGTCCCTGTTCATGGCCTTGAGCAGGAGGCTGGTGCGCTGCAAGGGCCCGTTGGCGGCCATGGCCATGTCCTTGGCGCACAGGGAGGCCAGGGAGGTCCCGCTGCGCCCCGCCGCCCCCAGCGTGGCACGCCGCGACCGCTGGCCATGCTCTGTGTCTGTCGCGATAGAGGAAAGGTTCAAGACTGCTTCGTCAACCTCGTCTTGGGGACGACCGCCGCGACTGCTCACTGAGGCCGTGGACGTCAAGGTCCTTGAGGGTGGCGCCGCTCGCGCTGCTGGACGAGGGCTCGAGCGTGTCGCTGTCGTCCTCGTCCTCGAAAGTGGGCGGCGGTGCCACGGACATGGCCTCGGGCTCGGAGTCCGCGCTGCGGAGCGCCCTGCTGGTCCTGCTGCGCGTCTTGCGAGCGGGTTGCACGTCTGGGGGCCAGTGCAATGTGCATAGAGTGCAACTTGACAGCCCTGCGGTCGCTACTCCGCGCGGGAGAGACCCTGGTGGACGCGCGTGGGGTATTGACGGGTCCTTCCCTGTACTACAGTGTACCTGCGCCATGCTGCTGGGAGGCGTTGGGGGCGTCCGTCCGGCTCGCGCGCGCAGAGGGTGCCGACGTGCGCTTCTTCTTGTCCTCGGCGTGGTCCCTGCCCATGCCGACGCTGGCCGCCCCGGAGACCGCCCCGTCCCTCGCCCCGTCTGCCCGCCTGCAGAGGGGAGCGCGGGGAGGCCCTCTGCGCTGGAGGACACGCGAACGGGGAATTTCAATCACTGCTCGCCGAATCGCAACTCGCGGGGTGGCACTTTCGTGTTCTCAGACAAGCGCCCCTGTGTGTAGGCAACCCTTCGTGTCTCGACAGGGTTGCCTACCTTGCTGGCGACTGGCGACGCAGACTTACACAAGTTCCGATCCATGACCAAGGCAGTTGTCGACGTCCGAGTCCACGAGGGGGCAACTACGCGGTCGCCATGGTAACCAACCGCGCAAATAATAGCCCCAGAGACCCCGATGTACGGGCTGGTAAAATTTTGGTGAAACCGGATTAGTGCTCGTGCTGCAGAAAGTTTGTTCAAATTTTGAAGTTTTTCTGTCATTTGTGCTGATAAGAGGTTTGGGTTGAAGGTTGAACAGGAAAAAAATAAGGTTAAAAGGCTTAGTTGATTCTTTATTTTGTTCTTGTCAGCAAGAGTTTCATTTACATTCAGAATGGTGTCTTTAGAAAAAATATCTTAGACAAGATTTACTTACAACATGATTATGGAAGATCTTACAGCAAGGCTTACCCTTACAACTTCAAGAGTAGAAGAAATATGTGAGACTCGTCACTATTTTCACACAATATACAACTTCACGACTTGAAGAATGTCATGGATTCAGTCTTAAAAGAATCTACCAGCATACCTTATTCAAGATGAAAAAAAGATACTTTATTCACCAAATTTTCGATCTTGAAAGTAACAATTAAAAAAAGGAAAGCAAAGAAGGCACCTCAGCAAACAACAGGTCTCATGGTGAAAATAGTATTAAACTAAACAAAACCTATATTAGGATCACAGTCTTCATGAATGAGTGAATACATTTTGAAGTACCCAACATTCTACAAATGTACTGCTATAAAACAGAGGAAAAAAAATGAAACAATACCACCTATAAATCCTTGTAGGAGGGTAAAATTTAACAAACCCCAAAATAACATGTACATCTGAAACAGTCTCTGGTAGGAGAAAACCAAAGCAATTGGCATACTTGTCATGTGGCGCAACAAACAATACTATATTTTTACTTCAATGAAAATAATGTATAGTAAAAATATAGTACTTTATGTTACATAATAATAATAAAAAAAAACAGACAAGGAGAAACCAAAGCAATGTTACCCTATTGAAATAAAAATAACAACCTCCAAGTGGCATTAAATGCCATGGTGAAAAGGAAGAGTGCATATCATCTCTTCATAACAATACAATCAAATTGTAACGCATAATTCAGCAATCAGTCCAATCTTAATCTATCTTGCCTGAAATTAAAGGAGAAAGATATTGATTTTGAATTGAAAGAATTTCTATCGCTCGTGAATCACAGAGAATAATTGTGTTTGACTGCAATGGTAACCATGAAAACAGGTTTTTCAACTGATTGCTTATTTTACTAAATCTATTTGGTATACAATGGTTACATTACTAGTGTTCATGCCAGCATCAGCTATGAAAGGCAAACTACTGTCAGTAAAACTAAGAACAAAAACCAAACAAACCACCATCATGGTGCTGAAAGTCCCATGATTAGGCCGACAGACAAGATGCCCAGTAAAGAACACTAGAGAAATAAAAACAGCCAAAATCTCCCCCTTCACTCCCAAGGACAGGCAACTACAATTACTACTTGTTACTGTACATTGGGAAAAATACTTCTGGAAATAAATAAGAATTTCTAATGTGGCCAATATCTTACAAGACGTCAGACGTCTACACACCAGCAAAATTTTTTGCTTTTACATTTTTTCATAAGTTAAAAATGTAACACTTATAAAATGTTTGAGCCCTAATAAAATGGATGAAGTTAAGATACTTAATAAGTCTTATTCCCAAAGAACATGTGAGCTACCTCGGCGAAGCTGCAGCTTTTTCACATGACCATAAATTTTCAGTGCCGGCCCCATCTTCAACTGAAGTCCATTCACTACATCACTTCTAGTCATAAGGAGAAGAGAGCGGCCATCAATATCCTGAAACAATAAGTCATCACACATCACTTTCCAGTCCCTTCATCTCATAGCAACTCGCAAACAAGTAAATAAATCCATACCTGATCTTTAAATACTGCAGCATATTCAGGGAATTTGGAATTGAAGAAATTGTAAACCTCATCTGTCGACCAATCCGATGCATCAGGAATTGTTTCATCAACCTTTGAATTCTCTGTTTCTATTTCCTCTATCTTCGGTTTCAGCAACTGAGGTAGCGTCTTCATGATTGCACTAACTGTCAATTCGTTATAAGCTCCAAGCCTGAGAGCTGTAGATGATAATGGTTTATCTGAGAAATAAACAAAACATAAGATGATGCTCATTTTAAATGATCACTGAAAAATGTATTGGGACAAGGAAATGACAGTTCTACCTGGGGTCGGCGGTTTTGGCTCAACTGGGGGTGAGCAGCGGAAACAAACCCACTTTTTCCAAGGAATTTTGGGTTTTGGAACATGGCATTTGACATGATACCCCTCATCACATACTGTGCAAACCACTATTGTGCCCTTGAACATGAAATGTATTGGTTAGGTATTTAATTATGGAGATAATGGTCCTGTCAAAACTTTGACTGAAGTGTGAATACTTACAACTTCCTCAGTAAAAGAGCAAATTTGGCATCCTTTGCAGTTCATGCACTGCCAGGTGTTGGGGCGGAACCTTGCCCTGTTCCCTTTTATTAGACATGAGAAATGGGCTGCAAAACAACATAACACAATCAATATTCCTCTTCATTAGCAATAGAAGCCACATTGTTCAACGTTTATAATACACACCTTTTAGAGAACAATCTTTGCACTGTATTGCTTTACCATCAACTATGGCGTTGATACAAATAACACATACAGGTACTGCACCTGAGCCAATGGAGTTCAACTTGTTGCCAGATGGTATAAGTGGTTTGACATCCTTGACGTCCTTATTTTCATAGGAAGCTGAACCATTGCTGGACCGAAATGACGATCCATTTCTGTGTGCTGAAGATCCATTGGGAGTTCTGTTGCCATTGAAAACAGTGCGGGTATTTCCAGAACCGTTGGCAAAATGTGGTGTGGCAGGAGAAGCCGTTACGGTGGGAGGGTTAACAACCAAAGTTGCTTTCAACGGTTTTTCGATAGCAGCAGCAGCCTGTCGGCCACGACGCTTAGCCTTGGGCAGGTTATTGTCAGAAGGATCAAATACTTTCTTCTTTGCTCTCTGAAATAGAAAGAAAGTTTGAATTAGAACTACAACATAGCTGGACAAGGCAAATATTGACAATGTAAACAAAGGTAGATGTTGGGCTTTAAATTGAGTGCGACACAACACGAATGAATAAATTAAAAGGTAGAGGGAAGTCATAGCTCTACCAACAAGAAGGGTGTGAAAAGAAACTATGAAACATGTAAACACGCCCGGCCTGAGCTTTCAGTGGGCCCGTGACCCACAACCACAACGACCCAGTGCAAAGTTCCCCTGCAAGGGTAGGGTGCGCGACATAGTGCCAGGGGGGCAGATTCCAGGGCCCAACGCCACACAGTGGCACGGACAGCTGGCGGCCTGCGTCCGGGAACATGGCTTAGAATATCCGGAGACAGTTGCCGCCAGGCAAAGCCGTGCCACTGTCAGTGCGGTGGAGGCGCAGGACAAAAGCGCAGTGCTCGGCGGAGCGCCAGTGCCTGGCCACTGTGAGTGCGACCCTAACCTCAACCTGCGCGGCGGGGCGCGTCCTCGGCCAGGGCCTGGATGACGGCCTGGGCGGAGGGGCGGCACTCACCTTGCGGCGTTCGCCCTTGCGGTACCCGGTGCTCTCTTCCTGCTCCTGTTCCTTGTGGTTCATGGCCGGGTCCGGCTCAGGGTCGGGCTCCGGGTCTGGTTCAGGTTGGGGCTCCGGGTCCGGTTCAGGCTCCACCTCTGGCTCGGCCGCGGCGTCGTCCTCGTCCTCCTCCATGTCGTGATCCTGGTCGCCCTCGTCGCGCTGCGCTGCAGGGGGCGGCTCCTGGGCCATCTCGACGTCGCCGTCGGCGTCGCGTTTCTCGTCCACACTCCGCCTCTGCATGAGCACGGCCGGCGCCGGCACCAGTGGAGGCAGTGGCGGCAGGGGCTGTTGCGGCGAAGACGGCGATTTCACGCGAGATTCGTTGACGGCGTCCCCGTTGGCCTCGTCGAGCATCGCAGAGTCGTCGAGGTCATCGTTGGACATCTCCGCCTCGCTGGCTGACATGCCCGATCCGGAGCCTGACCAGGAGCCAGACATTGTTGACGCGGCGCGCGACCCGGCACTGACACCACCACGGCCCCTGGCGCGCGGGCCCAGCAAGTAGTTGCCGTTCTCGAGTTTGACAACGGTGCCAGATTTGGCCTCGCGGTTCAGCAGCACGTTGAACGAGATGCGCGAGAAGAACTCGCTGTCCTTGGTCTTGACGTACTGCTCGAGCTCGAACACGGGCACGCCGTGGTCCAGGTAGTCCGCGTCGCGGCTCACTAGTTCAATGATCGCGCACCGCAGCACGGAACTCATGCGCTCAGACTCGTCCTGCAAGGACTCCAGCTTGTTGAGGTCGCTCAGCTCCACCTCGACGCGGCTCTTGTGCACCAGCAGCTTGGACCACTTGGCTGCGTTGCGGTAGCTGAAGTTTCCCTTGTATTCCACCTTGATGACGTCCTGCTCGTCCACGAGCCGCTCCAGGTCCGCGATGGTGGAGCGCGAGTCCGCGCCGCACCGCCTCGACACAAAGCTACAGATGCGCTCCCTGTCAGGGCGCGCTTTCCGGCTGCGCAGCTGGTCGATTGCCTCCAAGATGTACTCGCGGTGTTTGATGGCACTCATGGCGAACAAAGGCCTGAGCGCGGCAACCCGCCCACGGCGCCCACGGCCACTGCCAAGGCGCGGTTCCCCGGTTCCCCGGCCCCGCCTCGCAAAACAACACCAAGCACGCCTGCCCTGCCCCGGCCTGCCCTGCCCAACTCGCGCAAACTCGCAAGTCGCGCCGCGCAGCGTAGGCCAACGAACGGACGAGGTCCAGGCGCACTCCGCCGTGCCGTTCGCTGTTCCCGCGTCACGCCGTGCCGTTCTCCCCGCTGCTGCTTTGCCGCGGTGGAGGCAAAACCACGCGCATGCGCAGTGGCGGGCGGTGCGGCGCTCGAGGGTGAGGGGCGCGGTGGAGAGGCAGAGCGGCGCAGGGCCAGGGGAGAGGCGGGGAAGGGGTGGCCGGCTTGGGGCAGACAAGGAGGAAGGGGAGAGAGGGATGGACTAGGAACCTTAGGAACGCTAGGGTAGGCAAAAAGAAGGGAACATGAGAAGCAAGGGCAAGGACGTGAGGGGAATATCAGACCAGGGGCTGGGCAGAGCCCTGAACCGCGGGCTACGGCGGCTTGAGTGGGTCTTCAATCTTCAGTTTGGCTATTGAAGCGTTCTTCACCACACATGGCCTTTGCAGGCTCTTGGTTCACAGAGACACAACACGTCATTGCTTTCCAAGTAGAGCGCTTTATTTCATACATTTCAATGGTACATTTCAATGCACTAACTACAAAGTTTGAACAATCGAAAAGAAAAAAAAATCCAAACATTAAGACATAATTAAGATAGTTGAGCCCAGCTCTAGAAGATACAAAAATTGAGTAACACTCAAAAATAAATGGACATACGTACAAAGGTACGTACATTTATGAATATCATCATAAGACACATATCATACACTGGGGGAGACGTAATGAGTATTCAACATAGGATTACCCTACAAAAAAAAGATTTAAAAAAAAATGGGGAGATTCTGAACTCTCTCACTCGGCAAAAATCAGGTCTGCTCTACACATAGCACCTGTCTACAAAAGTAGACATTAGTTAACAAATATGGCAAGTTTAAAGAGAAACATAAATAAAAGCGAGACTAAACACAAAGGCAAGAGGGGCATAAAGGAACAAAGCTCTTGTGCCAAAATCAGATTCAAAACAATGACCTAAATGTAACTACCTTTACAAAATAGAAAAAGAAAAATGAAGCACAGTTGATTGAAAATAAGGAACTTACAAACATTAAACCTTATTTTAAAATGCTTCAATTCAAGCTTTAGGAATGAAACTGAAGCACTTAGTTCATACAACCAAAGGTTCTGAGTCACATTAATGACTAGCACAAACTTATGTGAGCAAAGGAACACATACAATTAATAGGAGACAGTAAATCAAATGGGTCCTAATCGTGAAGAAATAAAAAATTTAAAAATTGTGCAAGTAAAAAAGCTCCAGAGTGAGTTAAAATAAGTAGAGTTAGTTGGCAGCATATAGATCAGCTATAGAAAACAAATAATCTTGACAAATAAAAATAGTCTGAGAGAGTTACAAAATAGTGTCTTCTCTAAACAGGGTTCTACCTTCAAATAATAAATGATGAAGGTGGAGCTGTACACACGGTAACGAAATCATAACTAAATGTCAGCACAGAATCTTGTGCTCGAGTGTTGCCACAATGTGTGCTACCCTCATAAGGAGTGCTGTATTTATAAGAATACAGAGATATACACGATCAACAAAACTAAAATTTGAGACAAAAATTATAACAATTGCATCAAAAGTTTCATGATTTAACAATGAATAGGTAGTATGATTTAACAAAATAATAGTGGGAGAATAAAAATCACAGGATGTAAATAGCCACTTCACTTTTTTATAAAGTGAAATGACCATGATATATCAACTCACTATAGACAACATACAAAGCTCAATAAAACTGCAAAGAGAAGCACCATACACACAAACTGCTTGCCACAAATTTGAATAGGATACCTCTGCTTAAACTTAGCTGGCACCTTGAGGTAATTGAGATTCCATTCTAGAAAACAAATACAGTGTAAGTTGGTCCCATAAATTAGTCTTTCAGGTCATTTAAAATGTTACAATATGATATTTGGAACTTATAAATCATCACAACTTTAAAATAATACAAATCTGAGTAAAGCATAATTAGAATGTCCCTCCCTCCAAAGCAAGGTAAATTAGGGAAATTGAGGACAGAACACAGGAAGATTCCTAAGAAAACAGTAAACAATTGGTTTTATAATCTCAAAATTAAATCAGTCAATGAGGCGCTTCCTCTGAACGTTTGACACCATTGGCACTGACATTGCTCCGAACTTCTGCAAAAGCTGGTCGCTCCTTGGTGGATGGAACAAAGCTAAGAGCTCTACAGACTCTTCCTGAATCCTTCAGCTGTGGCATCATGACCTAAAATTAAGACAAAACCCTTAGTAAAACAAGAAAAATTAAATTTAATCAAAGTAAAAATGATTAATTTTACCCTTAGCTTTGCTTCAAGAACTTCTTTTGATTTTTCTGATGAAGTTATTTTTTCTTGTGCTGACCTCAATTCCTTGTCAAGCTTTTGCTTTTCCTCTTCAAGATGACGAAGACGTTGTTGTGCTTCTATAATGAGGAATGGTGACTTGACTTAAGTGCATGTATATTTTTTAAAAATTGGAAACAGTATTAAATATATACATCAAACAGATTCGTACCTGTCAACTGCACCTCTTTATCTTGTTGCTGTTTCTCAAATTCCATTCGTTTTTCTCTTTCTAGTTCTAGCAATGCTTTCTGCTCTTCTTGCAACCTTTCTAGTTTTTCACGGTGCTCCATTTCCTCTCGCAAAACCCTGAATGATTAATTTACATTACAGCCAAGTTTTAAAGATGCACAAAAAATTTAAGAAAAATAGCTAACCTGCCCTGCAAGTTGCGCACAATCTCCTCATCGCGTTTAGCTTGAGTCTCTTCTTCAAGAAGGCGCTCTAGTGTCCTCCTAGTTTCTTCCAGCATTTGCACCCTCTTCTCCTCCTCACGATGAACTGCTTCCAATTCCTTGGCCTGTAACTCGGCAGCCACACGGGCCTACAGAACAATTTGATTAAATTTTTCCCATGTCCAAAACAAAATATTGGGTAAAAAAAATGAATGAGGCTGTCTTACAATCTTTTCAGCTTGCAGCTGGGCACGTGTCATCTCCATGTCAAGGATTTGGCTTGTTCTGCGTTTATGCTCTTCTGATTGACGCAGAGCATCTGCTTCCCTTTGAGCTCTGCGCCGCGCTGCTAGGGTACGTTGATAGCCCTCACGACTACCAGACTGAGCAATCGCCAAGTGAAGGGATGAAATCCACTGCAACCTTGACCTAGATCAACACAGATTTAGCAATGTAATGAATTAATATAAATTGAATGTAGTTTATACAAGGCCACAACATGTCACTTGCCTGTGATCATAAGCAGCAAATTCATAAGTTCTTTCACTGGTGTGCAGGGCAAGGCGGTGAGCCTTATCTTGTGTTCTCATGCCTCTAGACGTTGCATCAACTCTACACTGAGTATCAAGGCTAATACTGCCACAGCACTCACGTTCATCTTGACTCTTGTAATAGTTTAGCTCTGTTGGGCGCAGTACAAACCAATACTCTCGAAGTGTAGGAAGGAGAAAACCCCGTTTCATAAGAGTACCCTGAAGTGGAAAATAAGATGATTTTAGAAAACTATCAAACAGCATAAAATATTCACCTCCTCAAAATTTTTATCACCTTCTTCAACACGTCTTGGAGGTAAGTTCTGAAAATTTCTCGCACAGCCTCTACCAGACCATCAGTTTCAACGCTTCCATCTCCAAAGTACTTGGTCTCAATCAAAGCAAGGAAGGAACCAAAGCGAAAAGCTTTGACAGAAGAGGATAAATTTTCAAATTCAATTGCATCCCACTCTAAACCAACAGAATTTACAATCTCAGAAACTACTTTGCCAACCTCAGCCGAATGCATCAGCACCTGCAGAGAATCAAGACATAGTAAATTACAGTATTCATACATACGTTTAAGTAAAATTATTTTCAAAATGTATACCTGAAATGTCTCATGGGACTCTTGAACAAGGTCAGACAACATACAAAAAACACGGAATAGTTGAAAAACAGAATCATCCGGAAGCAGTGGTTTATCCCTAGAAATTAAATCCTTTTTGCAGACTAGCCAGCACACTTCATCAACACGAGCTTCAAAATCTTGAATGGTTGTAAGTGTGAAAGTATCAGGTAATGATGAAAATACCTAAAAAGGAACATGAAGAAAATGAATGTCAATTGTTTATCCGAAGTTTATCGACAATATATCAAGAAAACGTCCATCATAATAATTTTTGGGAAAGCAACAAACCTCCTTTTGTAAGTAATATTTGAAGTGTTCAAAGTTGAGGTCTGCAGTACTTCGATAATGCTCAAGGCCCTTTTCCACGCCGTAGAGATCGAGTAATGTCCCAATGTTTGCTGTGAGGACCTGAAATTGTGGCACAGTTCACACATCAGAATTTAGTTAAATGAAATGAAAAATTACTGCATGAGGAATGCATGCCACTCGAATAGAAATCCATGCACCCTTCCAACATTTTTGGGCGATTTTAAGAAATTCACTGGCTACTTTGAATAGAATGACAGAGTACCAAGACGAGTTGCCTTATAAGACATTGAATGAGTCACTCCATGTTACACATCCCGGAACAACGAATTTACGGCAAGAGGTGGCCTGAAATGTGAGTCGCAGGCAGTTTGCGGGTCGAGGATTACCTTCAGCTTGGATTTTACGACGGTTCCACTCTTATCTGAACACAAAGCGTTAAAAGCGTGCCAGATGCTGTTGGTCGCATTCTTCAATAACAATGACATGTTTCTGCTTGCTGGAGCAACAGGTGCTTGTCTCCTCAGCGAGTTAAATCAGAGCGCCAAAAGCGCTGCGGTGTACATTATCCCGAGCTTCACTCAGAAAGCAATTTGTTTAACCCACTTAAACTCCAGATAAAGACAATTTAAAAATGCGAGCTGGCCATTATTTCCCTAAAAATTGTAGACGGCCTGACGGGCTGATGTTGTGGTGTTGCTGTCGCTGTTCTAGGTGACCTACAAGAGAGGGGCAGCTTGGTCGGCCATTGCACACCCTGCCCCCAAAGTCTCGATATCATAGTTATAGCTCTTGCAGGAATTAATAACAAATGTTGGCGGCTGCAGGGATTCAGTCTCGATATTTTCATAGATAGAATGTGATCCATTTCTGGCTAAATGCGTAGCATTCAATGCTGTTCAGAACAAGTCGAGTTAAGATGGCGTCTTTCCGCCATTGTGAGTGCCATGGTGAGTCGAAACCTTGTAACACACCTAGGCCGTGCACGCCCACATAACGTGCGAATACTTAGAACGTTATTGGCACGAGGCCTTATTTGCCCTCGAGTCTGTCGTCTGCCCGTCGCCGTTCAACTCCGTGGTTCAACAGCTAAGTAAACTTTGACTTGCAGGAAAGGGCGAAATTACAATATTGAAGAACCTATCATCTTAGGAAAAATTCAGATCCATACTCCTAATGAGGTGAGTCTATCAAAAATTTAGACGACACTTCAGATATATCAGGAAAAAAAAAAGATTTAACCTATGAAAAACGGTGGCTTTGTGTTTGTCGTCTGCTGGGAACAATCTTTATATACTCTAAATTTGCGCCACTTTACCTCTCTGCCCTCCCAAGGTCTAGCTATGGTTGGTTATGATGAAAACGCTTCCAAACGCCTCAGAGACTCTGAATACGCTGTGGCTGGTGCAACATCCGGTGGTTTGACAAGAGCTGTAAGCCAGCCCCTTGATGTTATCAAAATTCGCTTTCAGGTATGAAATCATTATTATAGCAATATTTTCTTGCAGATAAAATGTTAGTGTGTGTCCATTAAATTTTCTATTTATTTTAATTATACAGCTGCAGGTTGAGCCCTTGAAAAAAGATGCAAATGCTAAGTACTGGAGCGTGTCTCAAGCATTGCGAAGAATAATCCGCGAGGAAGGTGTTACTGCCTTGTGGAAGGGACATGTACCTGCTCAAGTTCTATCTATACTGTACGGTGTGGCTCAGGTATTGATCAGGAGCCTCGTGTACCAAGTAGCAATCAAGGCCGTCTTTTTCAATGTTCTTCTCTATTTTTTGTCACACAGGCAACATGTTTCGAAGTACTCACCAGAGAAGTGTGGAACATCGCTCCAGAATGGAGAAGCAGTCATCAGAGACCTATAGTGCACTTTGTTTGTGGTGGTGCTGCAGGAATATTCGCCGCTGTTGTTTCATTTCCGTTTGACGTGGTTCGGACAAGATTAGTTGCCCAAGGCAAATTGAAGGTATTTACTAATAATTCTGTTGGACTACTTGATGTAACAGCTTAGTAAAGCAAATAAGAAATTTGCTCATTGAATACAGGTTTATTCAAGTACCAGTCATGCTGTCAGAGAGATTCTTAAGAAAGAGGGCCAGAGAGGATTGTTTAGAGGTTTAGCTCCAGTTTTAATTCAGATGGCTCCTCATTCTGGAATACAGTTTGCTACTTACACGGCACTTATGAAGCTCACATCATCAAAAGAAGGTATGTAGATCATGGGCTTCAAATAAATTGCTCTGACCTGTTTCAATTTAATTATCACATACTTATGTGGGGAATGATTTGAAATTTCATTGCATGTTCGTTTTGTTTACAGAAGAAAAGCCTGCTGTTGAGCGTAGCTTAATTATAGGAGCACTTGCAGGAGCAGTGTCTAAGTCTGCTGTGTATCCCTTGGACTTGGCCAAGAAGAGACTGCAGGTGATTGGTTTTGAGGCCGCCCGTCTTGATTTTGGACAGGTTTGTATTAACTGCATTTTATCTGTGCATTTAACCTGGTAAGTTTCCTGTCAACATTTCAATTTGATTTTACAGACTTTCTCCACATCAGGACTTTTCCATTGCATTAGGAAAATTGTTAAGACTGAAGGGATTTTAGCCCTTTATAAAGGGTTGTGGCCTAGTACTATCAAAGCTGGAGTGGTATCAGCACTGTATTTCACATTTTATGAGAATACTTGTGCATTGATGCTTAGACTTAAGTAAATTATTCTAGTAAGATAAATTATTTTTTCATTGAGGTCTAGTCAAGTGGTATACACATTTAATAAAAGTGATCTGTTAATATTGTAAAATATTTATTTCATTACATCAAAATATACTCCAAGTACAAGGATAAAATATGTATAAACATGATTCATGAGACCAATAAAAATTAAGTTTCCAAAACAAAACTCCAAATCAGTTTCCATATAAAAAATTATCAAATTAACATTTCATTAAAATTGAAGTACAAAAAGTTGTCAGTTGATTTCAATAAACAAGCAAATTGGAATGTATGGCACAAGTAATGGGGACGGATACTAATTTACAAAACACCATAAATGAAATGGAAGCAAGATGATCTGATTATCAAGATGAGGAATGCAGTGAACAGCCTGTTAGGAATAGTTTTAGCACCTGCCAAGGACCATGGCAAGTAGTGCCATACGTACATACATGCCTCCCTCAGCTTGTCGGAAGTACGCAGCTCTTGGGTCAGAATCCAGATCAGCACTAATCTCATCAACTCGAGGTAAGGGGTGCATGACAATCATTTTACGCTTGGCCCGTGTCATGAGCTTGGGTGTTACAACATAGCATCCTTTAACCTGGAAAAAAAAATTAAATAAAATTTTAAGATAAAAAACAGAAACTTTCACATTAAAATTTGCCAAAATTTAAGTTACCTTTTCATATTCATCCTGTGATGAAAAGCGTTCCTTTTGAATCCTTGTTACATACAGCACATCGGTCTCAGGAAGTGCCTCTTCTAATGATGAATAATTTTCTTGACTAATACCCTTGCTCGTTACAAAGTCAACAATATGCTGAGGCATGCCCAGTCCTGATGGCGCAACATAACGCAACTGGATATTGTACAAAGTGAGTAAGCGTGCAAGAGAGTGAACAGTTCTTCCGTGACGCAGGTCTCCAACCATTGTGATGGTAAGTCCATTGACAGTACCAATCTCCTCTCTGATTGTGAATACATCAAGAAGTGCTTGGGAAGGATGTTCTCCAACACCATCCCCAGCGTTGATCAGTGGCTTCCGGCAGTGAGCTGAAGCTCTCTGTAAGCAAAAGGGAAGAGTGGTCAATTTCAGTGATAAATTCAAATCACAAATAAGATCCTTTAAATTATCATTGGAAGTGTCAATACTCACAGAAACTGCTCCTGGTTCTGGGTGCCTCATGACAACAACATCTGAGTAACCTGCCATTACCGCCACAGAGTCTGAAAATTGATAAAGATAAGATAGTCAAGAATGAATTAATTAGTTATGCTTCAGTTACGACAAAAAACTCAAATTATTAACTAACCTTCAAGAGTTTCACCCTTCTTAACTGAAGATGATGTTTCATCCATGTATATTACTTGTCCACCAAGACGATGCATGGCAGCTGCAAAACTGCAACTTGTGCGAGTGGAAACTTCGTAGAATATGGATGCCATAACTTTTCCCTGAAGAATTAAAACAAAAGATTACAGCACTTACATAGAAAACGATAAAAAAATTAAATCTCATTAAACTCAAAATTACCTTGAGAATATGATCAAGATTACGTTCTTTCAAAACAAAAGCTCTCATTGTCTGAGCCAAGTTGAATATCTCATTCAGATGATCCTTGGAGAACATGCTCACACTAAGAACATGTGCCCCGCTTAAACTGTGGTGAGCTACTCCAGGCCCTGGGTACAGGGTTGAGTCACTCTTGTACCGGTTTTGAGAGGTTGTCAGTGGTGAAGTGCAACGTTGAATCGACTGTGCATCCGGGGCAGCCAAGTGATGGATCCTGTCGTGAGAGTCATCCCATCCATTCTCATGCCTGTGAGATTCATCCATCTCCCTGACAGCATGGCTTCGTTCGAAGTCCAAGGCAGAGGATGGTCGACTTCCATTGAGCTCGCCATAGTGGTTGGTGGCTGCAGGCGAGGGGGAGATGCTGGATGCTAAGGCACTGAGAAGGGGTTGCTTTTTGAGCTGCTGTTCTCGGACATCTTGACCAAAGCCAGGAGGAACAAGCACCTGAGAAAAACATGACAAAAATGAAGACAATTCACAAAATATACAAAAGTGGAACCAGCATTTCAATTTTGTGCCAATGACTTACTTGACCATCCACATAAGCAACTTCCCCACGAAGAACTACCCGTTGTACACAGCCACGAACTTTCCGTCCAGCAAACGGAGTCCAGCGAGCTTTGCTGAAAGATAGTGCTTCTGGAATGGTCCATTCTGTGTCCATGTTCACCTCGACATAGGTATTTGGCTGTTCAGGGAGGTTGAAAATTCGCCGAGGATTGCGGCACAACTTGTCTTTGATATCCTGGAAAAGCAAAAACACAATGACCATAAAGTATGCATTTTGAGTAAAAAAATATCATGGGCCAGTTTATTGGATACAAACCTCCATGGTCAGCCTGCCCTCATGAACAGCAGTCAGCAGCAGAGGCAGCATAGTTTCAAGTCCGGGGAAACCAGGTGGTGCGTTGTCCGAATCTTTCTCTTCAATGGTATGAGGTGCTAAAAAGAGAAGCAACATTTAAGCAAAAATCTCGACTTACAATAAAATAATCATCACTTTGAGATTAGAAAGTGTGCATGGCTAGATATGGAATAGTAAGAAATACAAACCATGATCAGTAGCAAAACAATCAATAATGTCCATGTTTTCCCACAAAGCCCGTTGGTCTTCCTCAGTCACCAGATTTGGCTTCACGCGGCTCTTCTTCTCTCCCAAATGTTTGACATCGTTCTCCGTTAAAAACAAGTGATGGGGGCTCACTTCACAAGTAACAGGCAAACCCTGAAAAAAAATTTTAAAAAAATTAAAAAATCAATCAGACATTACACGGGATAATATTGAAGGGTGAAGCGAACAGAAGTTGACATACCTTTTCCTTGGCAGCACGAATGATCTGAATTTCCTCTTTGCGAGCAACATGACAAACATGAATGGGGCGATTATGGAAAAAAGCCAATAAGAGAATAGCTGCGGTTGTCTGGCACTCAGCATGTACACAAAGAGGGTACTTTGTGGGCCAAGCATCCAAGTGCTTCCTCCAGATGGTGAGGTCCTTCAGTCGAAGAGTTGTGAATGTTTCATTCAAGTACATCTTCAGACCTGCAGCCTGAGGAGCCAGCTCCCGAATATTATTGAAATTCTCAGATGAAGCTCCAACGAACAAAGCATAATCACACTTGGCCTTTGCCGCTGCCAACTGTAACAAATAATTTATCATGAATGCCCGGTTTCACCAAAACAATTTTGTCGTTTGAAAGCAACAGGCCAAAATTTACCTCTTTCACAAGTTGGAATGCGGTGGCATCGGTGATGGCTGGCTGGGTGTTGGGCATGGCGCAAATGAGCGTGACACCACCGGCAAGAGCAGCCGATGTGCAGCTGGCGTAGTCCTCCTTGTGCGTGGCTCCAGGCTCGCGCACGTGGACGTGCACGTCGATGAGGCCGGGCAGGCGCACCATCCTGCTGGACGACACGCAGTCCGTGTGCATCTTCATGGGCGGGGCGTTGCCGATCTTCAGCATGGCCTGGAAAACGACCGCAAAAGTCACCCCACCGCTCGGACTTACGGCCAAACGGCGCACAGTGGGCCAGAAGACCGGTGGAGGCGGACAAAATCACAGGCGCGTTGTGACCTCCAGAGTCGCTGAACGGGGCTCGAACCAAACGTGTGACCCCATCCATGGATTGCTCTCCGAACGACGAATCCATTGGTGGGGTCACACGCTCGGTTCGAGTCCTGCTTAGCGACTCTGGAGGTCGCAACGCGTGTAGAATTGTGTCCGCCTCCACCGGTCTTCTGGCAAAGCCACTGAGCGGCGAAGGAAGGACTCGGACTCACCTCGACGAGCAGCTTGGCGCACTTGACGTCCGTGACGAGGGGCACGGAGTAGTCCACGGCGAGGCGGCGTGTGCGGTAGCCGTGCGTCACGAACGAGGACACGCGGCGCGCGCCGCCATTGCGCATGGGCAGGTTGATCACCAGCTCGAACTGCTTGTTGGCCAGGAAGTCGGCCAGGTGCTTCAGCTCGCCGCGGTCCCCGTTGCCGTTGCCGTTCCCGTTGCCCTCGGCCGAGTCCAAGTTCTCGAACGTCCACTGCACGGGCTCCACCTGGGGAAACAAACGGGTGGGTCAAAGGGCGTGGCGACGCGACGCTCGGCGAACACTTAACCGCGTGACCCGACACCCGACGACGGCGACGGGCCGCCGCCGCGACGCCCGCCGCGCCCACGCCGCCCGGCAGGCAGGCAACCCAACGGGCAGCGCGGCTGTCCTGGCCGCCTACCGGGGAAGGCCAGGGGCTCATCTCCTCCAGTAGTGCCAACATTTCGATACGATCGCAGATAACGTGGGAACCGCGGCAATCGCGAGTGTGGCGCACCGAGCATCGCGCGGTCCTTCGAGTGGACACCCGGCGGGACGGTTTCGCGGAACGCCTTGGGCGCCACGGTCAACGCGCCAGTCCGCGCCACTGCCAGTCCGCGCTTCGCCTCCGAGGCCCCGCCAGCCCGCCAGCCATGGGCAACTCGTCGAGGAAAGCGGCCGCCGCCAACCTCGACCGCGCGAACGGCCTCCGGGGGCGGAGGGGCGGCACCGCGCCGCCACCACCGTCCAGCCAGATCCAGCTCAGCCTGCAGGACGTCGTGTACTCCGCCACCGACCCCAGCCAGCCCGACCAGCACGCCCTGCGCGCCCTGCGCGAGGCCCTCGCCGTGGACCCCGAGGGCTTCCTGCTCGACAACCTGCTCATGGCGGTGCAGTTCTTCAGGAACTACGACGAGTAAGTGCGCCGCCGCCAGCGGAACAAAACCGAAAGCCGTCCCGGTCGGCATTAGCGATTTGACAGCTATCTTATCGTGGGAAGGGGGTTTAATTTATGGGCAAGGTTAAGCAGCCTCAATGCACCTCCGGTCGCTTACTTTGTTCGGAGGAACAATTAAGATGAAGGAAATCCTAGTCATATGAGTTCTGTTAATCCAAATTCGCGAAAAACCGGGAGAAAAAAAAAACTGTCTCAGGCTCGGTCTCAGGCTGGACCCTTAATTTTTTTTGCTGTGGCTTCTTTTTCCTCAACGCGAAGATTCCTTCCGTAATCAGCCCCAGCGTCCCCCGCCAACTATGACGTCACGAGGGACATGCACATTATCAGTTGCGGCCAACGTAACGCTTGTGCCGTCACATCGGTCACGTGTGGCATAGCAGCGTCGAACTCCTCCGAAGTCAATCACATGTATCTATTCGGGGACATTGAAAGGGAAACTCACTGTGACAGGTCCCAAAATGAGTGGGGCAAAAACAAGGTTGAAATGAATGCAGACCGGAGTGCCCTTCTCCCCGGGCCGACGTGTCCACGCCACCAAACAAGCGTCAGCCACCAAAGATTACCTTAATCCCTCCCATCGGACGTCGGTGCTTGCGTGCGGCTTAAGTTCGGGACAGACCGAATTGGCGGACAAAGGTGTGAATGCCAGCGCGACAGAGAGAGACAGACTCGCGAGCCCAGGCGGGTGGGAGGGAGACAACTCGACCAGGGGTCTTTAGAGAGTGCAGCGGTCCGAACGACCCCAAACCACTCGAACAGCGACATTTTGGAACAAACCCCTGACGTTGGACCGCAGTGGCAGTGGGGCAGGAAAGAAGAAGAGGGGGTGTCGGCATACACACACACACCACCTTTGGCGACTTTTCCTCCTCTGGCAAAAGGGGCAATAAATCAATCGTGACGCCTCGGTGGCCTGGACAAACCGCCTTATCAGTGTGTAGGACGGTCGGACAGGCCGGACCCAGGCCAACATAGTTGCGCACGCGTCTGAGAGGAACGCACGATAACGTACCGATGCTAGTCCAGCTGTCCTGCCGATAAGGTGAGCGACCGACGAGGGGCATTCCCTCTTTCCAAAAATTCAAAACGCGCGGCCCAAATGAGTCAGGAGCGACCTTGGCGTGCCGTCACTCTCCGGGGAGAGCGTCTGCGCGCGGCAGAGTGGCCGGCCGCCCGTCAAGTTGGCTTAATCGAGCGCCGAGCAGCGTCACCGCGTCAACAAGGTGCAGGCAGCCAATCAGCTAACGAGCCGCGTAATTGGATTGCACGATTGCAGCCCCTCGGCCAGAATCTCGGAAAGCAGGCGACGGGCGGGCCACCTCTAGGAAGTTCTAACGACGCACTCCCCATAACGCCGTCCCTTCCCGGCCGGGCCTTGACAGACTTCGCAGAGGTAGTCGCGCGGCGCGGGAGGGAGCGCCTGCGGCACGGAGGATAGGCACGCCGCCACACTCGCGTGTCGCCCAGGCGAACGGTTGCCTACCTCGCCGATGGCAGGCGGTTTTTAACGGCTGGACCACAAATGATGGTCTGCCTTTCGACCCAGCACGTCGCTGATACACCAGTACGTGACGGGCCGTCCGTACTTGGAGTGGTTTATCTCCGCAGGTCAAGAGTAGGCCAAAATCCCCACGAGACACCTGTGTCGCAGAGTGAACCGCAGCGGGCTCGTTCCGAACAGTGCACCGTCACGCTGTCGCGGAGGCGGCGCGAGGCCCGACGGTGGTGGTGTTCAGGACGGTAAAGGGACTGTAGGGCTGCATCGACCGCTTGCTGCCTTGCTCCAGGGAGGTGGCGGAACTGCGGCGCGCGTTCGACGCCGAGGCCCGGGGGACGCCGCTGCCGGCGGACGACGACGGCACCGCGACGACGGCGTGCCGCAGCGGCCGCGTGGTGCAGCCCGACGCGCTGGTGCAGGCGTCCGCCAAGCACGTGCGCTGGCGGCCGCGGCCCACCGAACCCGACCGGCTGGTGGCGCCGCAGCGCCGCATCGTCCTGGACGACAACATCCTCCTGCACACCGTCGGCGGCACCGCCCAGCCGCCGCCCTGCCCCGCCGCCACCCACTACCACCTCGTCATGGAGGCGGGGCCCAAGCCAGGTCAGTACTGAGTCACGCAGGTTGCACGGCGCCCCGCACCGGACACGCACCAATTTAGACGGGCAATCTCAGGATGCACTCCATTTGGCCGAGAGGGCGGCGCGTCGCGGCGCGTCGCGTTCCACGAAACTACGGGCGCAACAGGAAGAACGATCGCCGGGATTAGTCCGTTCGCGACAAGTTGTTCCGACGCAGCCTGCGCACGCTGCCGCGGCGATACATGTTGATTAAAGGGGATTAGACGAAACGAGTAACGAGCTCCCACTTTAAGCCGCCTTATCTCCAATTGGTCCCCGAACACACTTCAACCCGCTCACCCCAGTCACTTCCATGCAGGCCACATCAAACTGCGCCAGGTGGGGCGCTCGTGCACCGGCGACTTCCGGGAGGACCACGAGGACCTCAAGGAGGACCTCAGCGAGCACCTGGTGGAGCAGGACGTGCACCTGCGGCTTCCGGGCAAGGCGGGCAGGACGCCGTCGCCGACGTCCTCCGTCAAGTCCCTGCCGTCGCTGCTGAGCGCGGACGCGGCCCGGCGCCGCCACGCGCCGCGCTCCGTGGACTCCGTCATCACCTCGGAGGGCTCGGTCAGCCCGTCGTCGCTCAGCATCAGCGACATGAGCGCCAGCAGCGCGAGCCGCAGCCGCAAGCTCTCCGGCAGGCTGCTGGCGCTGGACGAGTTCCGGCCCAACTTGGCGCCCGGCGACGTCGGCGTGGTGCCCGACGAGTGCTTCCAGCCCGTCATGGTGCAGCGCAGGCTGGCCGGCAGCCACCACGACGACGACGACGTGGCGCCCGAGGCGTGCGAGCTGCGCGTGCAGTCGTACCTGCAGGCCGCGCCGTACTTCGCGCGCTTCGCCGACGAGTTCCACGACACGCTGGCCGCGGCCATGGGCTTCCCGCGCGAGAGCGTCGTGCTGGCCACGGTGCGCGGCGCGGGCGGCCCGGCGGTCATCCAGTGCGAGGAGCAGCTGGACGACGTGGCCGCGCTGGGGCTGGCGCTGGGCCAGGCCATCCGCGTGCACCAGTGTGAGGTCTTCCCCGCGCTGGCGCTGCCCGCCTGGCCGCGCGCCGCCGCCGAGTGGGTGTACCGCGCGCGCGGGGCGTGGCCACCGAGGTCGGCGCTCCGCCAGGCACACGGCCTCGGCGGCGTCACGGTGGCGGCCGGCAGCGGCGGCGACCTGGCCAGCCTGCAGTGGACGCTGGCTTTCCCCGCCGCCGAGCACCTGCTGGAGCTCAACCTGGCCGCCGAGGACGCGCACGCCTACCTCGTCCTGCTCGCGCTGCGCCACTGCGTCCCCGGACTCACCGCCAACCACCTCCGCGCCGGCTTCCTGCGCCAGGTCGAGCGCAACCAGACCCAGGACCAGGTACGACCTTGCGCCCTGGCGGAGCGACGGCCGCGGTCCGAACACCAGCCTCACGCTGTCCCTCACGTTGCAGACTGCCGACGCCCCGCTGGGCTGGAGTCCGGGCGCCTCGCTGCGCCAGGCCCTGGCCACCATGTACAAGGCCCTGCAGCGCCGCCAGCTGCCGGACTACTTCATCAGCGACCGCAACCTCCTGGACGAGGTGGCCACCAGCCAGGTAGGCGAACGGGCCGCCGCCCTCACCCCTACACTGTACGAGTCTCTCACCGCCGACTCCCCCCCCTCAGGTGCGGCACGCCCAGGAGCGCGTCTTCCGGCTGCGCGAGTTCACGCTGCCCAGCGTGCTCAAGACGTGCCGGCGCCTGGCCTACGTCCACGAGGACGACTTCTACCCGCGCCTCGACCTGGACAAGCTCACCGCCATCCTCAACGGCAGCGCGGCCGCCGAGCTCGGTCCGCGGGAGCGCGCCGAGCCCCAGGACCAGGAGCACGCCGACGACACCGAGTGGATCGACAGCTTCCGGCGCGACTTCCAGGACGAGAAGGCCCGCGCCGTGAGGGAGCGCCCCGCAAAGGCGCCGCCCGTCACGCCGGACTCTGTGCGTCAAGCCGTCCAGCCCCACTCTATAGCTAACCGAACTACCGCCGCGCCACGAGCGCGCACTAGCGTATCAGCGGAGCCTACACTGTTGCTAACGATTTGTCCCTCCGCAGATCAAACTGGGGACCGCCAGCAAGGAGAGACTGGAGCGGACCGCCGCCGTCCTCAAGCTGTTCTCGGAGCACTTCATCAAGATGGCCGAGGCCAGCAACAAGTTCAACGCGCTGCAGCAGGCCAAGCACTACCTGCGCCACTCCCTGCACCTCCTCATCCTCCTGGAGCAAGACTACAACTGCCCCAACGACGCCAAGCAGCTCTTTGCTCGACTCGTCCAGAGCGACGTCTGACTAGAACTCTTAAAACTAAGAGCACTCGACGAGTTTGCTTGGACTGATTGAAAGAAAATGGGCGGACCACGTTGCCTGACTGCCTAGTTTACTTTTGATAACAAAGTTACCATGAGATTATAACTGAAGTTAGTTGCTAAGTTTTAGTTTAAGTCTAGTTAGATTGTTTTTATCATTCGCAGTATTATTATATGTAAATATTTGTACATAATCCTAGAATAAAAATATGACTTACATCAACTCCATGCTCGGTGTAGTAGTCAGCAGTACCCATGCTAGCATATAGTTTGTAGCCCATCTTGCTCAAGGCTTGCATACTGGGCAGAAGTTCAACTTTGTGCTGTAAAGAGGAAATAAGAACACAAAAGGATATTTATAATGTTAATAAAAAAATTACAAGAGACAAAACATAACAAAAAACCCACCTTGAAACTGCCAATGGAGAGAAGGATTGATTTCTTAGGAATGGTGAATCCAGTGCTCATCATTGCCTTTAAGTAAGCCTCATATCTGTTGTCTCCAAAACAGGCAACTTCACCTGTAGAAGCCATCTCCACTCCCAACATCACATCAGCACCTGCAGTTCAAAGATAGATTAAAATGAATAAAATATAGAAATGTATGAGAGTAACAGCAAATTTTTTCACAGCAATGCAAAATGACGCACCTGCAAGACGTGAGAATGAAAACTGGGGCACTTTGCAGCCCACTTTTCCACAACCTGCCATTACATTGACAGGCTCTACTTTCTCCCCCACTATGACCCTGGTGGCCATTGCCACAAAGTCATGGTCCAGAGTCTTGGAAACAAATGGGAAAGACCTGGACACTCTTACATTGCATTCTATCACTTTGATGTCATTGTCCTTGGCAATCAGCTGCATGTTGAATGGGCCAGTGACTTCCAGAGACCCTGCAACCGCCTTGGCAATCGCAGTGATTTTTGACAAAGTCTGCTCATTAATATCCTGGGGAGGGGTGATGAGTGTTGCGTCCCCAGAGTGGACACCAGCATTTTCCACATGCTCACTGACGGCCATGCAAAGGACTGCACCATCACAAGCAACGGCATCAACATCAATTTCCTGTAATAAGAAAAAAACACATTAGGTCATGGTCATCAAACGTGAGTTAAGATGTGAGTGTTATTGAAAAAAAAAATTAATGGAAAATTTTAGTACCTTTGCCTCCAAAATGAATTTTGAAATAACAACAGGATGTTCTTTACTGACATAGCTGGCAGTGTTGAGGTAAGTTTCTAAGTCATGAGGCGTATGAGCCACATTCATGGCCGCTCCACTCAACACGTAAGAGGGACGAACCAAACATGGGAAGCCAACCTCCTCACAGAAAGCCCTGGCAGACTCCAAGTTCGTCAGCTCCTTCCATCTGTTGAACAAAACATAATCTTTACAATAAACTGTCTAGCAACACAAGTTTCATAAAATATAACAAGAGCACAAACCTGGGCTGGCTGATTCCAATACGATCCAACATACGAGAAAACTTGAACCGGTTTTCAGCTCCGTCCACGGAGTCAGGAGAGGTGCCCAAGATCCGGGCTTGTTGCCTGTGCAAGTCCATAGCAATATTGTTGGGCAGTTGCCCTCCCATGGACAATATGATACCCTCTGGATTCTCTGCGTTATAGATGTCCATCACAACTTCAAAAGATATCTCTTCAAAGTACAGCCTGTCCACCATGTCATAATCTGTGCTGACAGTCTCTGGATTGTAGTTGACCATAATAGTCTTTCTTCCCAAACGCCTCAGTTCCCTCAAGCAACCCACAGCACACCAATCAAACTCCACAGAGCTTCCAATGCGGTACACTCCAGAGCCGATGACCATGGTGGCACCGCCAGAGAAAGCAATGTCGTGAGTAGAACCATTGTAAGTCAGATAGAGATAATTTGTAACTGCTGGCCATTCTGCTGCGACGGTATCAATCTGCTTCACAAAGGGGAAAACCTTATATTCTTCTCGCAGTTTCCTGACGGCAATTTCGGTGCTCTTTACAAACGACGCTATTTGAGTATCACAGAAACCAAGCTGTTTAGCCTGAACAAGAAGTTCTCTTGAAAGCATGCCTTGGCCTAAGGACTCCAGGACAGACTGGTACTCAATTAAGTTCTTCATTTTATGGAGGAAGAAGCGATCAATTTTTGTGAGCTCATAAAGTCTATCAATGGTGTAGCCTGCTTGTAATGCAGCAGCCACAACAAAGGTGCGCTTGTCTGTTGGCCCTTCAAGTTCAGCATCACAAACTGCACGAACTGAGGGGTCAAAACCCTTAACACTCTCATCCACCATGCGCAGAGCTTTCTGGAATGCTTCTTCAAAGCAACGCCCTATGGACATTACTTCTCCAACACTCTTCATAGAACTACCAATCTTGGAGCAAACTCTTGCAAATTTAGCCAAATCCCAGCGGGGAATCTTCACAACACAGTAATCAAGACTTGGTTCAAAACAGGCAGTAGTTGAGCCAGTGACAGAGTTTCGGATGTCAGGCAGCCTCAACCCCAAAGACAATTTAGCAGCAACATAAGCCAATGGATATCCAGTTGCTTTACTTGCAAGAGCAGAGCTGCGAGACAGTCGAGCATTGACTTCAATGATGTAGTACTCATTTGATGTGGGACTGACAGCATACTGGATGTTACATTCACCAACAATGCCCAAGTGGCGAATCACCTTAAGGGCTGTGCTTCTGAGTTTATTATACTCGTAATTGCTAAGTGTCTGGCTGGGAGCAACGACTATGGACTCTCCTGTGTGGATACCAAGAGGGTCTACATTCTCCATATTACAAACAGTGATACAGTTGTCATAGGTGTCCCTGACAACTTCATATTCCACTTCCTTCCATCCTTTCAGAGACTTGTCAACAATCAACTGGCTGGAATGTGCCAATGCTGCAGTGGCCAGAACTCGCAGTTCCTCTGCAGTGTTTGCGAAGCCTGATCCCAAGCCTCCCAAAGAGAAAGCTGCTCTCGCAAGAACCGGATACCCTAGTTTTTCTGCAGCATCAAGTGCTTCTTGAACAGAATTAACAGCACAGCTTGGTGCAACCTTCTCACCAATTTCATTTACTCGCTCAGCAAACACCTTGCGATCTTCAGTGTCAATAATTGCTTGAATTGGTGTGCCCAAAATCTTGACATTGTATTTCTCAAATACACCAGCTTCGTAAAGTTTTACACCACAGTTCAGGGCAGTCTGGCCACCAAATGTAAGGAGAACACCATCAGGGCGTTCATGGCAAATCACCTGAGAAAAACAACAACAAAAAAACGTGTTATTATTTAAAAAAAGTCTGTCCCAATATAATTTTTTTTTTCCAAACAAAACAAAAGTTTTAATTACCTGCTCTACATATTCTGGTATGAGGGGCAGAAAATGAACTTTGTCTGCCAATCCTTTAGATGTCTGCACAGTGGCAATGTTAGGATTGATAAGAACAGTCTGAATATTCTGCTCTCTCAAAGCCTTCAGAGCTTGTGAACCAGAATAATCAAATTCACCAGCTTGTCCAATTGACAGCCCACCTGATCCCAGAATAAGAACCTGAAAAAAATTATTGCAAATTAAAACTATTTCTTTTTTTTCATTATTATTATTTACTAAACTTCATTTTTATTATAAAAAAATTATTTGACTCTACCTTCTTTGGTGGCTTATCTGGAGATGGAGGAACAACACCTGGGCTAGGACGGTAAACTAGAAGATCATTAATTCTATTAGCCATCTTCACACCGGAACCACGGCCCCAACTTGCTGCATGTGCTTTCACTTCATCCAAGAAAACATCAAACAAGCATTCTAAATCTTCAGGACCAGGTGTGTGTTCTGGATGAAATTGAACACTATTTTTGTTCAAGGAAAAAAAATAAAATTACAAGAAAATAAGAAGAAAGATCGATTATCAAGGTAATCCCTTTGCAAGTTTCATTGTCACATACCTGAAAAATGGCAGAGAATCGTGAACAATGCCTTCATTTGATTTGTCATTGGTGTTGGTAAAGAGTGCCTTCCAGCCAGATGGCAGGTTTTGAGCATCGACAGCAAACCCATGATTTTGAGATGTCATATAACAGCGGTCTGTTCCATGGTGGGTAACAGGTTGGTTGTGTCCACGGTTGCCATACCTAAAAAGAAAGCAAGATTACTTTTGTTTTTATAGATAATTTAGCAAGACATACCACAATGTTTTGACAGTAGAATGGCACTTGCTTCATTTTGTATGTGCGGCATCCTGCTGCTGTGGACAGCAGCTGGTGTCCGAGACAGATACCGAATATCGGTTTTAATTGAGGTGACTCAGGCTTGGCGGCAAGCAGTTTCTTGATATTTTCCACAGTCACAGAGCACATGGCTGGATCACCAGGTCCGTTGCTGAGGAAGAGGCCATCGAACTGAGAAGGGTCCAGAGGGTGATTCCAGGGAACCATGTCAACTCGAGCACCACGCTTCAGAAAGCAACGAAGCTGGTTGTATTTTAGACCACAGTCCACGGCACAAATACGAGGGGAGCCAGTAGGATTGTAGGTAACAGGGGCCTAAAATGAAACAAGCAAACACAAAAAAATACAAATTTCACAGTGCAATGAATAAAAAACGGAGTAGCTGCTGAGAGACAAGCGCCTACCTTGATAGAGACTTCAGCAACCAAATTGCGAGTGTTGGGGTCCATGAAGGAGAGCGACTGGATGGCAGGGTTCAGGCCCATGACGATGTGGCCCAGGATGGAGCCTCGCTCGCGAAGGCGCTGCGTCAAGGCTCGCGTGTCGATGCCGCAAATGCCCGGGATGCCGTGAGTCCCCAGCCACTGCGAGAGGGTCCGCGCCATCTCCCAGTGACTCGGGGTCTCGCAAATCTCCCCGACCACCAAGCCGGAGGCCCAGATTCGCCGAGATTCAAAGTGACTAGAAACAAAATAAAGTTAATTTTTTTTTTAACGATTTAAAAAAATGGAAGCAAGGGTGAATAAATGAGAAATCTCACCGTGGAAGTCCATGTTTATCAAGCTCCTCATTGGGCACACCATAGTTTCCAATGAGTGGGTAGGTCAGAACCAGGATCTGGGCGTGGTACGAAGGATCCGTCAGTGACTCCGGGTATCCTACCATACCAGTCTGGAACACTGAAAAAGTACAGGATAGTCAATCGGTATTCCCTGCTAAAAAATAAATTGGAAGAGCAAAACGGAATTCCCCGCATCCACTGCATTCTCCGACAGACAAATTTAACACCGATGATAATTTTTTTCAACAATGCAAGCGTGCAAAATTTATTTGCGGCAACGACAGGTTTTTTCCAGTTGGTGGCGTGGACGCACACGCCTAAAAATCTAAGCCTGTCAACACAAATACAACCGGGCGCCGCCAGCCGGCAGGCAGGCAGGCGCCCACAGCCGAGTATCGGCGGAGATACCCCGCGCCGCAGAGACTCGGTCACCGGCGGCAGTGGTGGCGGCGTAGTGTAGCCTACACTAGAACAGGTACACTCAAATCCGCGCCTCCGGGACGAACAGCCAGACCGGTATTTCATCAGAGGCAAACGGCACCGGCCTTCGGAACCATTCGGAGGTTTGTGCTACAAAGTTTTAATTCATTAAACTGGTGGCGGAAGCCCTTGGGCCCTAGGGGGCCTACGTGCCTGCCTGCAAGTGGTCCAGGCCGTCCAGTCCGCAGCATCCCGTGCGTTGACCCAGTCCAGTCCAACCGCACCGACCAGACCGGGTCAAAACACTCACTCACTCAAAAAAAGGAAAAAAATCAAAGAAAAAAACAGAGCAAAAAATAATTTAAAGGCAGTGACTGGGAAAATAAATTAGCAAAAGATGTACTGTTCGACCACTGCAAATGGATGAGTTTTGAAGGAGGAACCAGTTTGCTAACTGCCCTACTCGTCAAAAATCTCAAAAAATGAAAAGATTCTACGCTGTTCTACACGCACCAGTACGACACCTGTTGCACAGTTGCACGGCTCATGCACCTACACTTGTTTACATCCCGCTCCTCCGACTGTAATTGCGCACTTGGCTGCTGCACGTGCACTCTCTCTCACACACACAAGTGCGCTGCTCAGCAGGTGTCCGTGCTGCATGTACTCACCGACTTCGCCGTGCGTGGACACCGGCGCCCCGAAGGAGCGTCCCTGCAGGACGGTGCCATCCTCCAGCACCAGGGCGCAGGGCTGGTGTTCGGCCGCCGTCAAGCACATCCTGGGCCTGGTGCAGCACGCGCGCGCCGGGGAGCCTGTCGGCGAGGCAGGCGAAGCTGGCTGGGGTCTTGTGGAGTCCGAAGCGAACCCCGGACGACTGGCCTGACAGAGTAGACAGGCGTCTGTGTCAGAGCGTGCCCTGCATGGCCCGACGACCCGAACGAGTTGAGGTCCTGGCCGGGACTCGTCGGCCTGGTCTGCCTCGCTGCAGCAGGTCGGCTCGGCTAGCGGCGCGGTGCGCGATGCGATGCTCGCTCCAGCTGAGATTGGGAGGTTATGGCGCCCTGTGTTCGCCGCGCAACGTGCGCAGCGCAGCAACGCAGCAACGCGCAGCGCCGCGGATTGGATTTGCCGGCGGCTTCGGCTTCGGCGGCGCGGTTCGGCGCGGCGGCGGAGGCAGTAGCAATGTTGACAACGACTCGGGCGGCGGCAGTAGTCATATCGGCGACCGGCCCGAGCGGAGCGGCGGGCCGGCCGGGGCCGTCGGGGCTGCGTGCCGAAGCGCATCGCCGCGTCTGTCCTTGTCGCACTCGTAGCACTCGCCCGCCGAGCGCGCCTTCGGACTTCTTCGGACACAGTCCGGTCACTTCGCGGAACTCCGGTCCTACCGACGCCTCCCCTCCCCCACCCCCTGCGGCCCACGCACAGACCACGCAGCCTACGCGGCCCATCCCCCCGCTGGACCGGGAAAGGGAAAGTAAGACACAGCTCGGCGCGAGGCGCGAGGTCAGCGGATGCACGACGCGTCAAGTCAGGTCAAGTTCATCCTGGTGCCGGCGATGCATGGCGATGCAGGCCGTGGGGCGGACCGACCGCACCGTGGGAACCCGCCCACGGCCAGCACCCCGCACAGTGGGCCAGAAGCCGGTGGAGGCGGCCAAAACTCTAGACGCGTTTTGAGCTCCAGAGTCGCTGAACAGGCCTCGAAACGAACGTGTGACCCCACCAACGGATTGCTTCGGAGAGCAATCCCGCACTGGTGAGTCTGGGAACCGAGGAATCTCCTCTGCCTTCCAAGGAGTTAATCCCCGAAAGGATTTTCCCGCTTGCTCACGGCGCTTGCAAGCCTCGAGCGTCCGTGCAGCGACAAACAGACGGCGGGTTTTCCATTTCCCCGAAAAAACTGGGTTCCCAGCAGTGCTCGGCCGGGCCAGCCGGATCGCCGCGACCCCACAAAATTTTCCCGCCAGAGAACGCAAACAACGGTCAACCGGGGGGGGGGGGGGTTTCAAGGTGGACGCCGTTCCCTGGAGTTGCCCTGAAACTAGACCGAAATTAGCCGCCTTTTGGTACCGGCGACTATTTGTTCCTTGCTCTATCATTGCAAAGTCGCATTAGTGCGGGGGGAGGGGGAAGGTCGCTTAGGGGTGGGGTCGGCACCCTTAACTATGCTAAGCGAAGCGCCTGTAATATATATCTGCTCCACCTTGCATCCCGGAATGTCCCATGAGGCCTGGTCCGCACGGAGCCCCCTGCGGCCCCGGGAGAGTAAGAGAGAGAGAGAGAGAGAGAGAGAGGGTGGAGAGCGACCACTTGGGCCCGCAGCCCCCCGCTGGCCTGGGGCCTGGGTCCACCTTCACCGCACGAGCGTGCCGGGCGTGCCTGCCTTGCCGCACCGCCGGCCGCCAGTTCTGCCAGTTCTGGCTAGAGATGTTGCGACCGTGACGGTGGTCGGGTCACGGGCCGAGGGTCAGCCCATCCCTCGTACTCGCGGGCCGCCCCGGCCAGCCCCGCCCTACCCCGCCCCAAGGCAGGCCGCCCTGCCGCCCTCTCCGTCGCACCCTCGGCAAGACAGCAGCGGGGCCGACAAGGATAGAAAATGGGTTATTTTTTTCCCCGGGTGCGTCTTGGGTTCGCCCCGATGCACCACTGCCCCGTTTCTGCCCGATCCCTCCAGTGGACGCGCCCCGCTTCCTTTAATTCCAAGCCAATACTTCTCCCATCCTTGTCCCTCCACTGTGAGGACTCATTTTGTCCCCGCATGGGAGATTGGATCTTGATGCCGTGGGTTTTCCCGGTTTCCTCTGCGAGGGAGACGGACGCCCCTTTCTCGTCCTTATCGCAGTCGGTCACGTGGCTCGCCGTGTGTCCTCTCTCGTCTCTGGGCCACCCCACCCCTCGAGCCAGACGGGCATCCTTACGCAATCATGAAATGAGTGGTTCGGAGCGCCGGCAATTTAGGTTAGGTCTACGTATCTGTATTAAAGCGAGGCGGCTGCTTGCCGGAGTCCTCTCAAGTTGGACGATTTCACTCAGAACGCCACGCCGCGCTGATTGGCCTCGAGGAGAGGGAGTCTTTATTGTCGTTTCTTATTGGCTGCTTCTGCGGGCCTTCGCCCTCCCCCACCCGCATCCCCCATCCCTCTCCCTCCCTTTTACCTTTTCGCTGACAGGACAGCGTTGCGTAAGTGGCACGACTGTTCCCCTGTCCGGCGGTGGACCAATTGTTTCCGCGTGTTTTTTGTGTACTGTATACTCAAAGGGAACTTGCAAAAAATTGTTGCGTGGCTTGCGGACGTTTTCAAACTCACGTTGGCACCCCTGTACAACTGTCACTCGTTCTATCGCGCCCCATTTGACCAGGCTGCCGCCCCCTCTCTCCTCCGCGGCGAGGCACGCTGTGAGGTCAAAAGTAATGAAAGGGCCGAAATGGTTTCCCTCGTCGGCCGGCCCTTCGATATAACCTGGAGGAGAGGAGCGGTCCGAGGCGTCGCCTTTGCCCCGTGCCAATGGGGTTGATTGCGATTATAATGGGAGCGAGCGCGGTCCGCCCAGGGCGGCAAGGCGGCCAGGGCGGCCAACCCCTGGGGCTGGGGCCCGGACCTACGTGCAAAGTGCATGCCTCGAAATACTGCGGGCGATTATGTGAGCCGCTCTGAGTACTGCGGCACGGCTAAGGCTTCTCGTTCGCCGCCGGCAATGCTTTGCGAACGACGTCGTCGCTTTGAACGCATTATCACGATTCCGCCGTAAGTTTGCTTTTTCGTGTTTGGGCGTTTTTTCCGTTCGCCCCGCCGCCATTCGAACAGTCCCCGTCGCTCTGCCTCGGCAACACACTTATTGAAAAGTCGGTGCGCCTCCCCCTCCTTCGGCGGCCTCTCGACGGCGTCCTTGAGGCGTCGTGCGTCGCGGAAGCGCGCGTCCTCGCGGCCTTGGCTAGCCTTGGCGGGTCCGCGGCGGTCCGCGGGGTCCGCGGTGCTCGAGGCCCCGGGGCCAGACCAGACCGCGGGCAGACGGCGGCGGCCACGTCGCTAGTTCCGCCGACGGCCGCGCCATGGCGCGAGGCGCTGGCGTCGCGCCCGGCGATTTGGCGGCGCGATTTGAACCTCCGTGCAGGGTGTATTTGCGCGTTGCGCGGCCATACCCCGCCGCCCGGGACTGCCGATTGGACAGAGAGAGTTATTCGGCGCGCCGCGGGCTGCGTCCGAACGGCGCTGTCTCTGTCGCCCCAGCGGCGCGCGCCATGCGAGCGAGAGAGACGGGCGGTTCGGCCGCAGTGTGCCGGTTTTCGCGCTCCACAAACGCTGGCGGCGGCGTCCGAAAGCGGCGGCCGCGTTGGCGTCGCTCTGCCGATGGCGACGGCACGAGAAAAAAAGGGCGATCGGGTGTCGCCGTGGACGCAGCCCGCCGGCGCCAGAGGCGGCCAGAGGCGGCCAGAGGCTGCCAGAGGCGGCCACAGCTTCCGAGGGAGCTTTGAACTGCCGTATGGCCGCCATGGCGGCGGGGGCCCTAGGGGCTGGAGCAACGCGCTCCGAAACACTCGCCGCGAGTGCGAGAGAGACGGAGACAGCGGCCCCCGCGGCCCGGCCGATGGAGGCATAAAAGGGCTCGGCTTATTCCCGACCTTTTCTAATCTCGCGCAAAGCCACGGTGACGGCGTGGAGGGCCGTGGAGGGCCGTGGAGGGCCGTGGAGGTCCCCCCGTCCCAGCCCGGCCGCGCGCGCTCTTCAAAGATCAAAAGGAGCGATTTGCCTCAACTTTTTGACGACGGCGGTGGCGCGGTGGCGCCGCGGGACGGGGAGGCACCGCCCTCTGCACGCCCTGCACGCCCTGCAGTCCACAGTGGGTCAGAAGACCGGCGGAGGCGGCCGAAACTCTAGACGCGTTTTGTGCTCCATAGTCGCTAAACAGGACTCGAACCGGGCGTGTGACCCCAATTGATTCCTCGTTCGGAGAGCAATCCATTGGTGGGGTCACACGTTCGGTTCGAGTCCCATTTAGCGACTCTGGAGTTCTAAACCCGTCAGTGATTTTGACCGCCTCCCGGTCCTCTGACCCACTGTGCACTCGCTGGATCGCTAGTTTCCGAACGAAGCCGCTGCTGCGCCCATCCGCAACGTCGCTCTCAAAGAACGTTAAAACATGAAGACCCGCAAAAATGTCAAGAACACTTAAACCGTAATGGCGCGAGGATAGGCAGCCTCGCAGTAAACCTCCCGGCCGCGCTTCTGCCACATTTATTTTTGCGGGGCTGCTTTATGCACCGTCGTGGAGGGCAATCGAATGGCCGAATTGGCCTTTGAGTGGCGTGGCACGGCGTGGCACTGCGTGGCGCGGCGTGGCCGCGTAAAGACGCCTTTTCTGTTGGACGCGGCAGCGTGGCCCGGCGTGTCGCAGAGGGCCGCGTTATATTGGTACTAGCGGCCTGGTCGTCGTTGGGCCCTTGCCGCGCCGCCCACCACACCGCAAATTGACTACACTGGAGGACTCGCTGGGGAGGAAGCACGTTGGGTTGCCTACCGCGCCGGCGCCAGACGCTGGGCGTACTGGGCGCGCCTCCTCTCGAAGTGCTAACCGCGGTCTTCTTTCTCTGTCTTTCTCACTGCGCCGTCCCGGCCGCCCCGCGTACCCTACCGCCATTCGAGGGGTTCAATTGTACGAGTGCACACTGCGATACGGGAGTACGGCGTGGAGGGCTGCAGCAGAAGAGCTCTGTGAGTGCGAGAGAGACAGAGCGACGAGCTTCGAGATCGAGTGGAGAGGGCTGGAGTCCCAGACTGCACGGCCCCGGCCCGGCCCGGCCCGCTTACTTCCGAGCCACCTTTGTTTCTATCCCAGTCACACGAATCCCTTTCCCCCTGTCTTTGTCCACCCATCTCTCTATCTCTCTCTCGCACTCGCTCTCTCCGCTCTCGGCTCCAGCCAGGGATTACCCCGAGAGGCCCGGCACGGCACCGGGCGCCAGCGCGCCAGCAGCCGGGCTTACCGTGCGCTGGCCGCGTTGCGCGCCGCGCGCCCCGAGCCAGGTACCAAGGCAGCACGCCGCCGTCTCTCTCGCACCTTGGGCCGTGCCGCGCTGCCGCGGGGTGCGAGAGAGACGGCGCGGCGGGACCTCTTCCGGCC